TATCTCTGCAATGTGAAGAGAAAAGACACATTTCAAATGAATGCAGTGTGCTCCCCTTGCAGTACTAGAAGAAGAATGGATGTGCTAGTCCTCTGGCCTTCCTCACTTCTTACAGGCTGGAGAGGGAAAGGGGTGTCTTTGGGGCAGCAAGAGAAAACTGAACCTGGAATGTCCTCAGACAGCCGGCACTGCTCATTATTATCCCTCTGAAAGGCTGCCAGGAGAGGTTTAGCAGCCTCCACCCTTGGAGGTTTTCCAGATCCAAATAGACAGAGCCATGAGTAAATGCAGTCTGATCTCAGAAGGAACCCTGCTTGAGCTGGGCTTGGACTAGAGACCCCCTGGGCCCTCTTCCAGCCTCAGCTACCTTCTGGTTCTACGAAAGAAGCTATGTTTTGATAGGATACAGAAGAGACTTCAGAGAAACCTGTGTGCTATGTTCATAAGCTTTCAAGGGGAAACACAAGCTTCAGTCTGCACTGCCATGCACCAGAGTAACATAATGAAATGGTCTGCTGCATCCACTTGTCACCCAGGTACTGCCGGACCTTCATCTTGAGTTATGTGACAAAGTGATTGTACTGAAGTAAAGCAGTTTTTCAGTGTTTTACAGCTAAATGCTCAAGAGTTTGGAGGGGCAGTTCCAGCTGCATTTGTAACCACAGAGGGCATGTGGTGCTCCAAGTCCAGGAGCCAAATAGAAATGCTTGGACTGGATTTGATTCCCTACTCCCACTACTGCTTCTGTCCACGCATGGCTGCAGTGTCAGTGTGGTCTTTGGCAGCCTCCCCTAGTAACTCTTGGGCTTCAGGAGGTGCCTGAGCAAGGACAAATGTGAAAGAAAAACATTTACCAGGGCACCACCAACACCACTGCTGCAGCTCTGGAGCTTTTGTCTTACCCTGGAGACCCTCACATGTTAGCTTAAAAATCAAACACATCACCTTGATAGTATTAAGGGGGAGGGAATTTGGAGATTTGAACTATCTTGTCCTTAAATTCCATGACACAGCAATAACACAAGGTGCATACTTTAGGGAAAAGTATATTATAGTTTGGGCTTTCCCATGGTAAGAAAGAATGCTGAATATGTAGCAGCATTTTAACACTTTATAGCATCTCCTTCCCTCTTTAGATGTACTGATTGTGAATTTTTATGCAATGATTTTCTAGGCACAATACATTAGAAATTTTGAAGAACTCTGCTTTCTCCATCTCAGAAAATACATGTATTTGGGGGTCTGCCCTTCAGATTTCAGAAATTCCTGCAATATAGATTTAAAGACAAGTTAAAAATAACACAGCATTTCCAGCAGCAAGACTTTAAGAATCAGATGTCACCCTACCCGACCTCAATTAAGTCTGGCTGAATCAGCTGGATGGGATCAAGCAGGGTGTGAAAATCTGTATTCTAGCAGTGGGCAGAGAAACGAAGGCCAGTTGGAAATTTCAGTGTGAAGCTGGTTCAGTATGAAGAGGAGAATTTCAAGTGTGAATGCGTGTATGTGTTCCTGCATGTGCTGGGGAAAGCTGGCTTGGCAAGGGAGACAGAGGAGAGCTTTGTGTTCAGTGCTTCCTCTGACACAGCTCAGCCTGTTCCCTATCTCCCAGTTTCACTTCTGAATGTGCAGGAACATGCGGTGGCTCCTTGTTCCCACCATCTTCATCATCCCTTATACTCAACAGGTAAGTTCATTAAAAAGGAGAAAAAGATTTTCCCTTTCCTCACCTTGTCCCGGTTAAAAGTTTTTATTTGCTTTATGACAAATTAAATTTCAGAGAAGTAAATTCCTCATAAAGAATAAGGAGCCATTCCCTACTCCTCAGTAAATTTCATTTGCAGCTTATTTGCTGCATCGGTTATGTTTTGGTAATTTTTTTTCTTTCTGTACATTGGTATGACTTAGTGGGAAGACAAAAGTGTGAGGGAAGCTTAAATTGTCACTGACCTTGCTTTGTTTTTTTCTTTCTTTCTTTTTTTTTTTTTTTTTTAAATAAGCAAAAATTACTACCTGATGCAGTAAGAAAGTAAGCATCTTACTCATGCTCATATTCCATATATACATATATACATGTCTTTGCAAATATATATAAACACATGCAGCAGTCTGACTTCAGCCTAGTTTTACAAACAAGAAAAGAACCTGGGCTGTGCTATACTTTGGCTCTTATGAGACAATTTTAAGTGACAGCTTTTCCTAAAGGTATTTGTGTCAAAGGCCAATTTCATTACTTACTTACCTAAAATTACTTACCATTACTTACCATTACTTACTTACCTACTTTACATGTATACAGTGTATTTTTCCTTTACAATTAAGATGAATGTCAACAGAGTTTTCTAATGGCTGTCTCCCTCCCCTTTCTGCCTATTTAAAGCTAGTCTAAGATAATCAAACATTAGTGATAATACATTGCCTATTTTGATATTTGCTTATTTATGCCATACTGACCTTGTTCGATCTTTAAAACATGGGAAAACAAACAAAACATGAAGGGTTCTTACACAGTGGTCTCATTTTCTGATCTGCCCTTAGGATCAGGGAAAGTATGCAAGGGGCTTGTGTGATGTGAATAGCTTTGGTATAGAAACCTGGGGAAGCACAAATTAGAAAAATATTTAACTTGTAAACTGTACAAGCAAACTTTACATTTTCATTGTAACTTAATAGATATGTGAAGATGTTTCATGTCAGCTGAAGTTCTCAGTAATTCCACAGTTAAAACTGTCAGATATTCACCCGATGGTGTTTTTCTTACTTTGTAAGGACTTTTTTGTCTCCCACCTTTCAGCAGACATCTCTCCCTAAAAAAAGGAGAGAAAACTCCCCTAAGTAGAGGTCGGTAGGTTTTTAAAGCATGTTTCAATTTGTAATACAAATTAAACATATTGGGTGAAGCTCATAAGATTACTTCCTGCTACACATACCCATTTTGAAACATGATATCTGATTCAAGCCACATAACCTCATATTGCTGGCATATGGCCAAATCCCTGATGATGATAATAACAAAAATAATAATAATATTCTGCTTCTAAAGAAAGAAGCAGCAAGGAACTGTTTCCTAAAGCAAATGCATTGTCTTAAAGACTGCTAAATGTACACGAACACCTGGTTGTCTTGTTTCCAGAACAATTCTTTAAAAACCCTTATATTCCAATGCACACATTCATCAAATTAACATTAGGGTCTATAGGAAAGGCTTAGCTGCCTTAAAAAGTATACTTGAGTTAATTGTTTCTGTATTATTGCTGAATTTAGGTAGAAAGGATTAAAAGAAATCCTTTAACAAATGACACATTTATGAAACTATCTTCTTTATACTGCATGGAATACCCCATGACATTGTTTAACATCCATCTACTATATGAATTGCTTATGTAAATTAATATCTAGCTTAAAAATCATTCAGCCAAAGGACTTGAAAGCTACTACTTTGGAGCTTCATTAGTGGCTGCAGATTAAGATATCATAAGTATAGTTGTAAATGACCATGAAAAATGGAAATTAGGGGTAGAAAAAAGGCTTTTAAAAGGTCATTTACTACTGCATTCAATTAAGCCAGCTCAATTATGCTGCAAGAGCTTTCCTGGGCTATGACATATGAAATGCTGAATTCTGCAGATACTTCCAGTTTGGAAATTAAGCAGCAAGGAACCCCAGCTGAATGAACCCTTTCCCTCAGCCTGTCTGCTGGACATGATTTCTACACCAGCAGATCCTCGCAGTTTGCAGGAACAGACAGAAACTGATAGGCTGGGCTTCACATGCCCAGAAAAAAAATATAGGATATATGTTCTGGGTGTTTTTTTGCAAGCTTGATGGTGATACTGGCACCTGATGAAGGGCTTGGTCTTCTTTCCCTTTTGCTCTTTGGGCAGTCAGAGCTGTGTGATGAGAGGGCTTCCAGGCCCTGTGCTGTATAGTGGCCAATGCGGTGCATCCCCCCACTTAACTACAGAACCAGTCATCCATGGAGAATAACTATACCACAATCTGCATTTCTGCTGAAATCAGCAGCATGAAAACATTGAATGCTAAGACCTAAACTGCTACGTTTTAGTTGTAGTTCTTAAAATATGCAGATAGACTATAGCTATCTCAAATAGATCCTTTCACACTGTGCTAACTTAATCTGCCCCCATACCTCAGAAAAATAGGCCCATCAAGAATTAGTTTGTCCTTCCTTTACTTAAGAAAAAAAAAAGAAAATAAATAAAAAAAAGAGAAAAAGACATGAATTCTGTGACAGAATGTGTAAACCAGTAAATTCTGGCTAGATCTTAGCTTCCTGCTGCCGATACAAATCTCTTTAATGAGATGTGTTTTTGCTCTGTAAGCTCTGGATTCAATGAAGGCTTAGTCATGCAAATAAATGCACTCTTAGAAAGTGACCTATTAAACTCAGTACAGCTATTACCTCCCTCACTAGGATTAATTTTTTGCATCTAGCACAAGAGCATTTGTAAATATTATAATGCTCCTTCCCAAGCATCTACTCAAATTTTGGAGCAAAAGTAACATTCAAAAGAGGTTCCCTATTTTAAAGGGGTCTTGCCATCAGAACTGGCACACAGGACTGTGGCTGGCTATAAAACACTGTGAGGAATCAAAAGCTAATTAATTTGATAGAAGGTTTCTAGGAAGAAATATTTACAATAAAACCACCATCTACTTTAAAATACTTTTTTAAAAACTTCTTTTCAGTTTTGTTCTATAGAAGGCAAGGGAAAAACCAGTGAATTGTGTTTTGTACAAGCAGTAGGCCAGGCTCACTGGTGGAACATCTCAGTGTATGATACTGATAAAAATGGTCCTCTGCCTTCTACCTAATCCTCATAGCCGCTCTCACTTTTTGATCTTGTCAAATGAGAAATGTTGCGCATTTTCATGCAACTTGTCAGTTTTTTCCATCTTGACTTCATTTTATGCTATTCCAGCTACACATACTGCATTCAGTGCTCAAAATAGCACGCTCTGTGTAAGTTTTTCCACAGCCCACCAGAGCAGCCTGGAGATAAACTTTCAGAAACTGGTGAAGTCCAGCGCAAGGAGGTTTGCCGCTGGCCGTGCCGCTGCCCGCCGGTGCCAGCCTGCACCCCTGGGGTCAGCCTGGTGAAGGATGGCTGTGGCTGCTGTAAGGTCTGTGCCAAGCAGGCAGGAGAGCCCTGCAATGAAGCAGATGTCTGTGATCCCCACAAAGGGCTCTACTGTGACTACTCAGAAGACAAGCCTAGGTATGAAACAGGCGTGTGTGCATGTAAGTTGCTCCTTCATGTTCCCTTCTTGAAATCCAAGAGGGTGGGGACCACCAGGTGAATGGTTTTGGAGGAAAACTGCTTGCAGGTGCTGCACAGCTCTGTGCTAAAGAATTCATCCTAATTTAGTCCTCCAACTGCTCAGTCAGAGAATCTGAGAGTAGGGCTGGGACTGAATTTCAACTTACCTGCATTAGTGAAACCAGGTCGTTGTGCCCAAGCCTGTTACTGGCAGACATATTGATGTCTGATTTACAAAGCTGTGGATGTCGTAAAGACTGACCACATTTTAGCACCCTGTTTAGTAAGACCCATGTGCTCTTTCCATATTAGTAACTGCTGTTCACCATTTTCAGATCTGGTAGCTGTAGGATGTGAGCTCAATGGAGTTTATTACACCAACGGGCAGACCTTTCAGCCCAACCGGCTTTATAAGTGCCTGTGTGTCAGTGGTACAATTGGATGTACCCCAGCATTCACACCAAGATTAACAGGAAGCACCTGTGCCCAGGTCTCAGGCAGAAAGAAGCCAGGACAATCCATCTGTGGCCTGGGACAGCACAAGCAACTTCAATCAACCAACTACAGACTGATGTCAGGTGAGCCTGACTACACTGGTAAACTTTTCTGCACATGAGCCTTTCTGCATTTAGTGTCCCTGGCTCCAGCAGCCAGGCAGGCAGCGCACTGGCCATTGCCCAATTCTTGCTCAAGGCTTTTGCAAGAGTGACTGTTGTGTCCTACTTACCCCTCTTACTCTCAGGTCACAGACTCATTTCTCCAAACCTAATAAATGTGAAAAGCAGAAAGGCTTTTGGCTTCTGTCACCAGGGAATTGGCCAAAGCATCTTTCTGCAGAGGTCTGCTGCTCATCGGATCAGCCCAATTAGGGATGCTGCTGGACAGCCATTTTGCAGCCTGGGAACTGCCCCACTTTTTCCTGCTTTGTGGTGTTAGCCAGTCTTGGCCTTCTCATACATATATTAACAAAACACAGGTCTCTTCTTTCAATAGAAAGCAGAAAATTATAAAAATTGCCTTAGTGGCTTTCCTGCGTTCACAAATTTTGGTCACTGCAAGAACAATACTCCCCCCACCCCATTCTTAATTCAGCCTGATGAAAAGCATTCATCAGCTTGTCCATGCAGCTCTGCCAGGGTCAGTGGATATTCCCTTTAAGCCCATTCTTGCTCTGCAGCTAACACTAGCTTTCTTTTGCACTCTAAGGCAGCACCATTGCCAGAAGCAGCTATGCCAGCCCTTCCCTGTGCATGTGCAACTTTCCATGGTGAAAGTCATCTTTGTTACAGCCAATGCAGGTACCAGAAAGCAGAGCCATTTATTTGGTAGCAGACTGAATGACCATCATGGATCAATAAAATAAAAGGATAGCAACACTTATCAGAAAAACTTTATCAAAAGCTGCTGAGTAAATCAGCTGCTGCACATCAATCAATTTGCAGGTAAATAGACCTGCTTACAAAACCCCAAGTCCAGTTTGGACAACTTCTCACATGTAAGCAGTGGTCACACAAGTAAGCCAAATGAAAAAAAAAAATCATCCTTACTTCAAATTATGATTCTGGAATTTGGATCAGCTGTACAGCATAGTCCTCAGAGCAGACACCCAGCTGGCAAAGCACATTTTCTGTTGGGCTCAGTTCAGGGACCCAACACCCTGTCCCTGTGGTGGCTGTACGATGCTGCTCTTTGGGAGCCTTCTGAAGAAAAATACCAGGAAATTTTTTTTCCAAGTAAAGTCTTCCCCCTCCCAGTCCAGCAGAATTATCTTGTCAACTTGTCCATAAATTCCATGGATGGCTCAACGGGCTAATATGTATTTTGAAAAGTCCCTTTTCTGTTAGAGTAGATAGTAAGTGCTAAGTTTCATTTTACTCCTCTTGCTTTGTTTTCTGGCTTTCTATTCAATTTGATTTACCTAATTCAGATATACAGAGATGTAACTAGGTCATACTTTAAAAAATGTAACAAGTATAAACAACCATTTAACTTCCTTTTATTTGTTGCAGATCTGTGACAGGCTTTTAAAATGCTTACTTCAATGAAATCTTTAAATTGCTGTCTACTTTCTAAGTAGACAGCAGTTCTGGTAATTCCAGGTAATTCTGCATGTGCTCTTATGTAAATGCACAGATTCCACACAGATTTTCTGTAGAACTTTTCCATGGCAATTTTGTTTCATTTTTAAGTACACTCCACCTAATCCAGCCTTCCGGCTTTTTAGTGGTATCTAAAAGTGATTGGATAATTTCATTCCTCAATACAAAACCTAAGGTCTCATCAATTTCTACAAAGACACAAATATTAATGTTCTCAGCAGCCTTTATAAACTATGCTTGGCCTAAAATAAAAGAAAAATCTGGATATTTCATAAGAATTCCACAATTATCTCTTGTCACACAACATTTCCATCAAATGAAACTGGAAGGTGATATAATACATGCAATTTCATAGCCCTTGGTAGGATCTGAGTATCCAGTATCACCAAAGTGTAACTGCAGCTCAGCTGAATTTTGTATAAATGTTATTTATGTCTCATTTTTAGGTTTACCTACAGAAGTACCTTCATGAACAGAAATCAAATTCTTATCCTTGTATTTTCATTTCATTCTTTTGGGGCTGCATAAATAAAATATTGCTGTCTTAGCTTACAGAAGCTTACCACTAGTTTTGAAGAAAAAGTGCCTCATACAGGCAACTCCCTGGACACCCTGTTCCAGGACCTGTGGCATAGGCATATCCAGCAGAGTGACCAACGACAACAGAAAATGTGAAATGAAAAAAGAAAAGAGATTATGCTTCATCCAGCCTTGTCTGACCAATATGCTGAAGAAAATAAAGGTATTTTCTAGCATAAAATTAGTTCCTAATAGAAAATGAAAATATTGGAACCAATGGAAAAATGGATATATTAGCAAGTACTAATAAAACATTTACTTCTTTCTTTTTTATGGGTTTTAAAATAACTCTTCTATGTTTTCTACCATTAATGTTCCTGTTTCAATAGCAAACTACAGATGTACAATTTCAAACAAAAGAATGTAATGTCCTGAAATGTAAGTGCTGCTAATGCTGTCCTGATGCACAGTCACTCTGAAAGGATCTCCTGTTTGTTGACTGACAAAGGAAAAAACAGGCAGCTTTCAGACTGAGTAACTTTCAAGATATTTCTAAGTAAATGTTGCAACTTTTTCTTACATGATCTGCAATTAATGTTCAGAGTTTTCTTTGTTTTAATATTAAAGATTCCAAAGGGAAAAACATGCCAACCAACTTTCCAGCTTCCAACAGCAGAGAAGCTAGTTTTTTCTGGATGCTCAACTACTCAAAGATATAAACTAACTTTCTGTGGTGTATGCTTGGACAAGAGGTGCTGCATTCCTAACAAGTCCAAAATGATCACTGTACAGTTTGAGTGTCCCAACGAAGGCTTCTTCAGGTGGAAGATGATGTGGATAACATCGTGTGTGTGCCAGAGGATTTGCAGTGCTCCAGGAGATATATTTTCCCAACTCAAACTCCTATGACAAATTGCACCATTGACTGTAACACAGGGAGTGCAACAGCACATTCACACCCTGAAGAGGCAGCTGCCTGACTCCCTGCCACAGCAGTGTTTATCATGAAACTGCAGAAGTGAATATTCACTCATTTATTAACTAGCACCTGTAAAACGCCAGAGGGCATCTTTTTAAATGTAACTGTTTTTACATTCCTGAGGATGTATCCGACACTAGCAGTACTCAAGCAAGAACTCTTGGTGACTGTGAAAGGTACAGCAAGAGGGCTTCATACCCCACGGTAACAAGCTTTTGCCTACAGATACAAATAGATGTATTGCCCTGTAATACTTCATCTATTATTCTTCATTCTTAAATTAACATTTTCTGCTATACATCTGAAATAGTAAAACACATCAATGCTGAAATATTGAAACAGAAGTTGTCAACTTCAATCTCAGACTGCTTTTTGCAACAGTCTTTCTCTAGTGTTATGGATATAAACACTGGATGTGCAAAGGAACAAATAAGTGGGCAACTGCAGTTAATAGATGCAAGACTTAAGAAAATTTATAGTTTTAGAACATTTTCTTTCTCAACATTCTTCATTTCTCAACAAATGTTATCACAATACTTTATTGAATACTTCTGGGCTTACACATTCAAAATTGTGCTTACTTACATATCCACTCCAACTCTACTAGAAGGACTTCAAATTTCAAGAAATCAATCCATTCTGATCTGTAACAGCTCACTGGCAAGCAACTGGAAATAGCTGTACATTCTATTTTGGAAAAATTCTCACTGTAATATAAAAAGCTGCCTGATACTCCGATAATTATAAATATTAAAACATCTATTTTACTTGCATTCTTTCAAGGCTATAAGCGTTTTTCTACAAATGGTATTAACTTCATCATAAGTGCATGTTTTACTCAGAGGTATTCTGTATTATCTCATTATCAAGTGCAACTCAGCATTCATTAATATGAATCATTAAAATATTAATTAATATTCCAAGCATAATACTTGAAACAAAATTTATTTTTTAAAATTTTCTGTTATTGCTGATTTTGGTATTAACTGAGAATCCTCTAATATAGTTAACTACAACACAGGAGCAGAAATACCAAAATGAGGAACATAGCTTAGAGCATTCTGAAATGTCTACTGCAAAGTGCAAGAAAGCAGTTTCATTAGAGACTTGCTTTCATCTTTGAAAAGACTACATGGGCTTTTCTTCTCTTTGTAGTTGCTTGTTAAAAACTAAATCTAGCAACGGTGATCCTTCCTTGAAGCAAGACCAACCTTTAGTTTACTGGAAGTTGAAAGTCTAAGAAAATAATTACACTTTTGGCTGCTACATGCAACCTCTCCTCCTATTCTTCACAGCATATTGTGTGTCAATTTACTCCACAGTTAGGATTACTGTCCTTACTGATACCAGCCACAATTAGGTGCCTTCAAATCTTTCTCACAGGCATGGCTCCCCACTTAATGATCACTCTTGAGGAAAGGAAGCTGTTCTGCTGGTCCCACTTTGGAATTACAATAGCCAGGCATGCTGAAAGTCATTCTGGTTAACTGAAGTGGCTGGATGTTTAGGGAAAGTGCTTTTTCGTTTTTAAAATCAGTTCTTCCTTCTTTAAACAGCTATCTTCAGTCTTGAAGGATCTATTCTAGGCCCACCTTTTGTAGCATCCAATTCATTGTACTCTTCTATTAGGTCAGACAAAGAGGATATAGCTTCTGAAAAACAGCTTTGCTCCATCCCATCTATTTGCAGATAATGGTGAAGGTGAGCCTAAGAGGATAAAAAAAAAAAATCAGTGTTATCCTTTTCTTGGTATTTGATTGCTTTGGCTCAGTAAATACCAGTTAGCCTGTACTGAAGGGGGGGAGTGCAAGCAGTGTTGAAATGGCACTTAGAGATTTATATCATGACATCCCTTGTTTAAACACTTGGCAAGTCTGGTAACAATCCCCTAGTGAATCACAGTTGATATTACTGACTTCTTAAAATCCATCTTTTCATATTTCTTGGGTACACCAGACCAGCTGTGGATTGGGTTTACATGGCAGGGGTTTGGCAGCAGGGAAGTGCAGGGCTGCAGGGGTGGCTTTTGTGAAAAGATAACAGGAGCTGCCCCCATGCTGAACAGAACCATCCCAGCCAGCTCCACTATGGACCTGCCACTGGCCATAGCTGAGACCACTAGTGATGCTGGTAATGCCTCTGTGACAACTGGGGGGTAAAAATGCTGCACAACAGCTGTGACAGAAGACTCAAGAAAATGTGAGAGAAACAGTCCTGCAGACACTAAGATCAGCAAAAAAGGAACAGAATTCTGAGGCTGGGAAGAAGGCAGTGGAGTGGGGGTGAAGGTGTTTTCAGTTTTTTTTTTTATTTCTCGCCATCCTACTCTACTATTATTGGCAATAAATTAAACTAATTTTCCAAATGCCAAGTCTGTTTAGCCCATGACAATAACTGGTGGTTGTTCTCCCCGTCTTGATCTTGACCCACAAGTTTTTCACTGTACTTTTCTCCGGTCCTGCTGAGGAAGTGAAGTGAGAGAAAGCTCGGTGGACTACAAGGTTTAGATTAGATATTTGGAAGAAACTCTTTACTGTGCACTGGAACAGGTTGCCCAAAGAACCTCTGGATGCTCCATCCCTGCAAGTGTTCTTGGCCAGGTTGGATGGGGCTTTGAGTCACCTGGTCACACAAATGAAACCCTTGGGCTGTTAATTATAAACAGTCTCTTCACAACACTAAGATCTGGGTTTCAATATTGCAAGATGCTAGTGATTAGTGACTATGGATGTTATAATGATAAGAGTTGCACCTTTTTCTTGTAGAGCTTCATAAATCTGTCTTTGAGTTCAATGAAAGTCGGTTTTACACAGGTGTTGTTTGCTAAAGCCAGAAGGGAATGGGAATGACCCACAGGAGGTACTGAACACAAACCAGTTTTCCAGCCCTCTTGATTCCAGGAGACAAAGTGCAGAGAAGGCTTCAACCTGTGATACAAAAATTTAATTAACTAAGGAATATAAAGAACACAAAGGCTAACAACTAACAGTTTCAACTAACAGTCTGAAAGATTAACATTTAAGCACTCGGGATTAAGGAAGACAGTTATAACTATCACTGTGAATAAGGTATTTTAGACTTCAGACTAAACCACTGTGTCTCTATGTTAAATTTAAATTGCAAACATCAATTGTGTTTTGTTAATTTAATGCATCAGGATTTGAAAAGTGAAGTTACAAGTACCTGTTTCTATAAAAGAGAGACTGGAAGCACTCTGAGATTTAATAATTTAATAAAGGGGCAGATTAATACTTTGTGAGGGTAATCAGTCTACCTGTAGTTTTGAAATAAGTAAAATACTTTAGATTCCCAGAAATTTTCCCCATGCAACCCTGTCTGCCTATAAATTCCATTTTGCCTGCCTTTCCTGTTACATCTATGTAGCTCAATACTGTTAAAGAAAATGGGTGCTAACACAACACAGAGTTGTTAAAATAAAGATTATTTCCTACCTATGTGAAAGTAACCATGGAAAGAGAAGGGCCTTCTGTTCAGCAAAAACAAACTTCTATTACAGAACTCATTACTCCAACATCCTTTGCTGTTGGGAGACCCCTGAAAGGGTGGACTTTGTTTTTTTTTTTGCAATTTTGAGGAAGACAGGAGTAGCACCTCCCTTTATTTGAAAATCCAGGAATAACTTTTTTTTTCACTCATTACATAAGTTAATTATGTTTTCTTCCCTTCTAAAATTAAGAAAAGGAAGTTGGATTAAACTGATTTGGTATTGAAACTGTTCAAATGAAAAGCTGGAATGCTCTGGACAACTGCCAATATCTGTACAAATCCCATGACTACTCTGTGTGGTATTACAAACCTTTCAATATTCCTGCGAAGGTCTGAAACCTGCACATTTCCTCGAACAAGAAGTGCACAGGCCAGGTAGAGGCTGTGCTTTGGATCTGCTTGAATTAGTTGATGATCTCTGCTAAAGGCATCTGAGAACATCTGATCCAACCTGGGTGAAAAGAAAACAGTTATCTACTCTTACTAAAGTAGGATACAAAGGCTCTTCAGAATGCCCCCCTCCTTCAGGGTTTAAAAGTTCATAAAATCCTGGATAAAGGTACATTTAATCCAGGACCATAAATGATAGGAAAGATTCAAACCTTTATATATACATATGTTGGTAATAGAGTTTTTAAAAACACACTAGATCCATTTTTTCCTCAACCACAAGTTACAACCCACTGTTGAATCAGAGAAGTTGCCTTTATAAAGGCAATTTGAGGCCAATGGTTACAAAGTCTTAAAATTATGTAAAAGGATTTAACTACTTGGGGTTCTGGTTATGTGGCAATTTGAGTGGACAATCTCACTGGAAAGGATCTGACAAGGGATATCAAAGTGCTGACCCTTATAGAACTGATTATCTGCCAGTTACACTTCATTATTTAAAAGGATCAATGAGTCATAGAACTGTATTAATTTTGATTAATGATTTGGGAAAAGACAGGCTATATCTACTTGCCTAGTCTACTTATTCTAATTTTATCACACATGACTACTTTAAAAGATGACACTGCAGATCATATTCTTTCTCTCTTCACTTCCTTAACCAAGTTTCGCTGTACTGTGGGATACCAAAGATGGTGTTCTGTGGACTCACAACATCTAAGACATTCTTTCCACTGGTTCCAAATACTGTACATTTATAACCTCTATTTCTTTTTTTGTTGTATCATCTCTGCCACAACCTGCCTATTACAAAAAAATAAAGGCAATAAAAATATTACTGTTCCCTCTTCATTCTGAAACATCTTTGACCACCTCCTCATAGTCAGCTACCTTCCCCCAGCCCTACACCATATCCTCAAGGTATGTTCTCAACAGATCTGACTGTCACAACTTGGAAAATAAGTGTGGTCCTGCCCTCTTCTCCACTTTGCATACTTCCATCACTTACCCTTAGCTGTCTCTACCACTATTTGTCTCTATCTCACTCTTGCTGACTGAACATAAGCCACCAAACCCAGTAAAATCTATTTTAACTGGTAATCTTTCTGCTATGTCAATGGGATAAATATCTCACAAAATTTGACACATTAAAACAAGATGTTAAATAGGCTCACTGCCCTCACTGCATCTCCAGACTGAAGTAAGATAAATACTGAAGTATTTCCCCAAAGAGCCTAGTTAATCCCTTGTTTGTCTTTAGAGTATTTTGTCAGTCAAGTACAAGCTGTTATTCAAAAAAACTTGTGGTGTGGGTTCTAAGTAATACATTTTCCCAACAGAACCACTTCCAGCAGAGATTAAAAGCATGTCAAGTTTACTGGCTCAACCATTACATAGAAAAGGGACAGCAGATGTTCCATAAATCAGCAGGATGAATTTGAAAATGTGGCAGATATACAAGTTTCAGAACTTCCACCCTTAGTTTGACTACAGAATAGAATTTTTAAATGAAAACTATGGAAAAATCAGAAATTAAGCTTTAAATGTGAAACTCCAATAATATTTTTTCTTACCTTCTAGAAGGAACATTAACATCTGCCAGTGTATACAGAGGAGTCAAGCTTGAAACCAAATAATGAAGTCGAGGAAATGGAACCAAGTTCATGCTGATTTCATTAAGATCCATGTTTAGGGAACCTTCAAATCTAGCAGAGCTGAAAAATTAACAAATTGCTATGAAACTGATACAAACTAAGTACATCACTTCTATAAAACAGTGAAATCTATTTTCCAGCTGTTCTGTACAATAAAACTGTAAAACAACATGGCATTTAAGCAAGTGTTTGAGTATAATCACAAAACTTTCACATCTGTCAGTAACAGTGCTATGTCTTACTTATACTTCTCATTAAAGAAGAGTAAGTTACCAAGAGCGATTCCTTGTTTCCCAATTGGAGTCTTTAGCATTGATTTATTATCATTAATAATCTTTAATACCACTTAATACTGGTTAATTAGTACCAGCTGGTTAATACCAGTTAATTATTACCACTTTTACTAAACAGGCTATAGTAAAACACATGTGACTTAGCATTCCTGACAAGCTGTTTAAAAGAAAAACAGGCCAACCAGAAGTATAAAGTATATTTCTGGCAGCAATAGACAGTTTATGAGCACAAATGATCTGACAATATTTACAAAATAATGCCTAGAAAGCCAAACCTCCATGGGTTCCATTAGGCACTTGTAAAAGACAATTTCCTTCTGCCTATAAACTTACCTCAGGCTTAAGATTATCATGGCTAAAGCAGCACCACTACAATCTGAATACTTCCAAGTACTTTAGCATTTAGTAACCAGTTCTTATAAAGAGAAGACTCATACTGTAATATGAGTAATTAATACTACTCAAGTTGATGCAGGCCTGCATATTTACAGCACCCACCACCTCCAGCAATCCTACTTTGTTACAGAGGAATAACCTGTAACTTTACCTTGTCAGGTTCAGCAGCAAGTTGGCAATGATGTTATTCATTGCATCAAATGGCTTCTCAGGTACTGTTTTTGCACTGCCTGCACTTGATGTTACCAAGCTGTTTTGCTTCACAGTTGATCCTAACTTCCCAGAATTGATCATCTGATGAATTTTATTAACTATCTCAAACAGAGACTTTGAAAGAGAGGAAAAAAAAAGCACAGAATTAGTACTGAGTACAGAACTTTGAAATTCAGTACCACACATTTCATTTCTAATAATCTTGAAAGCTCAGACATTGTAATGTTAGGTTAAAGATTATACCTTGATACATCTAAGTCCAACTTTTGAGCAATTGCAGTTGATTGGAGTGTTTCTAAGTCTGTCCCTTACATATCACAAATACATACACAGCTTGACTCAGAAGTTTGAATTTTATTCAACTATTCAAAATGCTTATGAAAATTTAAAAAGCAGTTTTAGAAGAGAACACCTGTGAAGCAAAAAATGTAGTTTCTAACTAAATTTCATCTTCTCTTGCTTTTTTCATAAACAAACAGCAAGACAGCCACTGAAGCTAGATTCAAATGAGTCTAGCACTTTGCAAGATCAGGTATATCTATGATGCCCATATCACTAATCAGCACAGTTAAGCTTGTTGGAATCTGGAGAGATCAGAGGTCCTTGAAGCACCCTACTAATACCATGCACAAATTGATTGTTAAAAGAATTGAGGACACTATCTCAGTAAATAGAAGCTTTTCACTGTTTATCTCAAAATAGACATGATAAAATTTACTCTACCTTAGTTTGAAGGAGCAGAGCAACTTTTCAGTGATACCCATGTTCATTTCAAAAGCTTGCAAGTGACTTAGAAGTTAAATTATTACTTTAAAAACTGAAATTATGCTTTTGGATATTTTGTATGCAAATCAGTACTGAAAAGGAAGAGACATTTCCACATTCTAATAAAAAAAATTACATAAATAGTATATTATTTCTTACTTCATTCTCTATTGGTAGCACACAGTCTGCATGTTCATTAAGCTCCTTCATAGCCAGAACACTGTTATATGGAGAAGTAATAACATCATCTTCACCAGAGGGATAAACTGAAGTAACAAATCTATATACTTCTGGGAATTCCTCCTCAAGCAAGTTTAGTACAAAAGTTCCAAGACCAGATCCTGTCCCTAATTATGAATGAAGACAGAATGAGAGAAGACAGGTTCCCCACATTATCTGAGGCTCTACGACTCATGTAGGAGACATACAACTTTTCAATTATATATATTAATGAATATTTTCTGAAGCATTTGGCAGACAGTAGAGGGTACTCAAATGTAATTAAGGCAGGAAGGTTTGTCCCAGACAGGAAATTAATTATGTAATAAAATTATTTCCCACAGTATGTCAGTCAGAATAAAGAATACAGTCTCAAAAATTTCTGCAAACCAAAAAGTCCTACGATGTAACAAACATTTTTCTGACCTAGTATTTCTAGTTATTGTTTTGAATTCTTTAATTTGAATTATGAAACACAACATTTGCTTAAAAGCATTGAACTGCCCCAAACAATACTATTTTCATTTTAGGGTTTCTTTATGAAATTTTCTCATTCTTCAGTAAAAACAGAACTGCCCCTTCCCCCCAGCAGACAGGCTTTTTTCCTCACTAACACTAAGCACACAGCCCTGAGTTCAAAACAGAGAACTGAACTGTGGTCTTTTTCTGAATATTCAGCTACATTCTCAGTGGCAGACAGTTTAATCTATGAACAAGACAGCAGTTTTCAGAATAACAGAAACAGTATCTCCAGGGTATCTGAAATTAAGCCACAAAAAAGGCCTTTGACAAAATCCTTGCTTCATATTTAGAGCTATTTTCTGTGTCTTTTTACACATCATAACCAGTTATAATACATGCTACTCTCAGATTTCTGGGGTAGGAAGGCTTAATGGCAATGCAATAATGACAAAACTTACACCACAAAGGATTCTTCCTTTTGGCTTATTAACTAACTAGATCAGATTCAAGAGAATTATGAAGAAGGAAAATAGAAAAACAAAGTTTTTCCAAAGTTAAGCAACATTAGAAGTCTCCTTCAAAACCTTTTTTTTCCCCACAATTAAAACGATTATGACAATGCTGTCGGTGTTCAGAGGTCACTGACCCTTCTTCTGATCAGTAATATCTCAGTGTTTGTCTCTGGTACCTGTCTTGACCTACTCGCTGCCTCATCTTTAGAATTTTAGCTGCATTTGTGTTCTGGGTAGCACATCAGAGCTCCTCGGTGCTCTAATATAACTAGTGATAAATAATTACAGGTCCACTTAATTGTACTATGTTAATTTTTTTAATCTGCTTTCTGAATGACGTAGATTATTATACTGATTTTCTTTTCAATATCCATGTTTGCTTTTTTTTTCATCTGTGGCTATTGCAGTCATACTCCCCATAAAAAGATTACTTACCACCTCCCATGGAATGAATTATAAAGAAACACTGTAGACAGTCACAATGTTCAGCAGTTTTTCTCAGCTTTTCCACTATGTTTTCCCGGTACTGACAGCCATATATCTTATGACCCACAGCCCTGAGGATATGAAAAGTACTTTAAAACCTTCCCCCAAAAAATCAAACTAAATTTTTAATTTTAAATCCTTCTGTGTGACATTTTAGAGTTCAGGATCCAAAGCTGGGTGCAACACCTCATCTATGAGAGTTTCTAAGTTGTGACTACATACGAGCATATGGGAGTCAGGACATGGTTCTAAATTGGAGGATGCAAAGAGATCTAAGTTCACAACTTTGGAGTATACACTTATTATTCTGTACTGGAAAGGAAAAACTCCCACGCTGGATAATCCAGTTGTAGTAATGAAAGCTACATAGTCCTTAACAATAGATATCCCCATGTAATAAATGTACAGATAATCTTTTGAGTACTATGCAAGTCAGTTGCTACTAGTAACAAAAAACCCCAAACAGCTCATTTTCAACACACTTGTCTGCTAGATGGTAAAGACTGCTTTACTCTCCATATTGCACTCTCTTTTGGTACATTTGCTGGTGATTTGCTTTCCAGTCTGTAGTGCACTGAATATTATTAGAGCACCTTAAGGTCTCTGAAAATTTGGAATTCATTATGTTAACCAATCTTTTTCTGAATTTTTCTTTTGGTAATGTAGTTTATATGCACAAAGCCAGACTCTGCTTAGAAATCAGAAGTGCATTTGTTCATATATCTCATTTCCACAGTAGCTGCACAGTCTCAAACTAGATTATGGCTTCAACTAAGTAATGAAAGCAGCTGAATGCCAAAGAAATAAAAATAAAAAGCACACTCTTTTGTAAAGAAAATCAAAAAAGAAGAAAAAAGAGATAAAATGATATATCAGCAGAATTATTCTTCTGTAAAAGCCTTTTCAAAGCCCTCCTCCAGGCAACAGTGACTCCAAGTTTGCTGGTAAAACGCTGCAGCTCTCCAGGTGCAGAACGAAAGCTACGGTTTTCATTTCCCCTTTCAAATACCATCTAATTAGCTGCTAAGAAATGTGTTCTAAAGAGGTTCTCACCAGTTGTTTCCTGAACCAGAAACATCTGTGATAAGCTGCTTGCTATCAAACACATCCCTCAATGGTCCCTGTAGAATTTCATTTACCACACCCTCCTCCATGTCAATCAACAGTGCCTTCAAGAATGGAAAGAATTTAAATTCAGTCAGTAAGCAAACCACCCTTGAAATAATCACACAAAGAAATATGAAATTATTGACAATACAAAAGGAATTCTGTTTTTCTTCTGCTCCAGAGAAACCTTCTCCCACCCTAGTTGTTGACTAGGAGACCAACTAGATTCACCCTAGCTGATTTGCTAGTTGTTTGATAGGACTGCATTTCAGATGAAATTTTGTTAAAATTTAATAATGTTTTGTCCCACTACTTAGGAATAAAAAAATTAAAACATTTTTATGTTTCAAGTTTCCTTGCTTCTTAATCATTTAAAGTGGCTCAAAGAAATCCAACCCTTAGTTAATAATATCTGCAATCATTTTATTAAAATTCCAATATGAGTTACTCAACAAGACTGGCAGCAAAGTGCATTACTGCATTAATAAAAGTATTAGAAATTTTACTTTGAAAGCAATACTTAAACCTGCATGCAATTTTAAGAACTTCATGAGAATTCCCACACAGTTGGGCATAAATATTCAATGTAAAAACAGTGACCTTTATAGATTGCCTTACTCGTGCTTTTAAAGAGCAGATTTTTCCTTTGTAAATATCAGGACCATTATCACCACTTCTGAAAAAAAAATAGTAACAGAAAAATCAAAGATCATATTTGCAGCATAAAATATATACTACAATAAAATTTTATTTCTTATATATTGTGTTTGGAAGACTATGACAACGCAGGCAAACAGAAACACCTTGAATATGCTGCTAATACCTTATAATTCCTGAAAGTAATGCAATTACAGGACATGAACTCAAGCAGAATTATCCTAAACATTACTTCAAGAAGCTGAAAGATAAGCATAAAAGTTCACTCTCAGACAGAGCCTCTGCTTTGTAGCAATTCTACAAGCCCTGCCAAAACTGGAAAGGATTATCTTTTATCAGCATGTGATACGTGTATCCACATCAAACAATGGAAAAAAGCTCCACATGAGCTTTTCAGTGGGAGCAGTACAACGCTGTGCTTGGGCTCCAGGTGTGAAAGCTCTGTAACTGCACCAGCACAGTTCTGTGCTTGACTTATTCTGCTTATTATGATTTACCAGTTCAGAAATCCTGCTGGGCTGACACAGCTAAATCCTCCTTCTTTCCCAGGACTGGTTTGTACTGAGCCAACATAGAGGACTATACATTATGTTACATTTTTTCCCACTCAAATGATGAGATACTGGCCAAACTATGAGTCTGGCCAAACTATATTCAGCACAAGGTTTTGGGAAAAAAAGGCAGGGATACTGGAAGACTGATCTAATTTCCTCTTCCATTACTTACCTAATCTGGGAGCTGGCCAAGTCTACATTTAAGGTATGTCTTAAGACCATCCTACATTTAACCACCATTATATTCACAAAACATCAGCTAAAATTCAGCACTGATGTTCTGAGCCTACCCAGTCCCATCAGGGACAAGGGGAAAAGAGTACAGGGCTGCACTGGATTACTCAAGAATTTTCCAACTTGTCACTCAGAGATGGTCTCTAGACACTTCTCATTAGGTGAGCAGCTCACAGCAGCCTCCAATACCCATGTGATTCCTCCAGCCTACATGACACCTGCAGGACTACACTACAGCACCAGTAAATCCTCCTAGAGAATTTCTCTTCAGGGACTAATAGAATTCAAAGAGGAAATAAAACCAACCCCAAAACAATATTTATTTTTCTGATCTACCTTCTGATCATGAGTAATCTCATGAACTGGTTGATAAAAACTTACCTTGTATCTATGTTCCTAAAGAAACTGCTTAAGGCTTCATCATAAATTCCTTTCTGAAAGGAAACAACACGAGATTATGTGTAATGTCAAAAATTCTCAGTGTTTTTTCATGGAATAATTTAAGTTGGCAGGGACCTCTGAAGGATACCTGTCAAACTTCACAACTTGAAACTGAGTGAACATCTCTGTAGAACCCAGCTAGTTCTAGTCATCTCCAAAAAGAACATTTCGTTGAAACATCAGCTTGTTATTAAAAACTGAGAGAATGTAACTAAGAAATTAATTTTTCAGCACAAGATTAAGCAACTGTAGTAGTTTACTGAAGATCCCAATGCAATGATTAAATTGAAGAGCTGTTCTTCAGCTGACTCAGTTCATCACTGATACAACTCTCAGTTCATCATGAGTTCCAAGCCTGTGATACCAATGCCCATGGAGTTCTGCAAAGAGGACAGCCCAATCATACTGATTCCTGAACTCCCTGCCAAGGGGTTCAATGGCAATTACTTACCCCAACATAAAACTAAAGAGATCTGACAAGTTTAAGTACCTTAAGTGCTTTATAGTCACAGCAAGAAAAGTCTGATTTTGTCCAGGGTACTCAGCACAATCCTATGCCCCCTTCATGTTGCTATTTTGGTCAGTAAAACTGTACAGCAAGCCATGGCATAAGCTAACATGGAAAACAATGGTGGGCTTTGGGGGTGTCCTCTTTTGCTTTGCTGCCATTGGCAAAGTACTGTGTTGTTAACAGCCTCAGACCTGCTAATGCCTGGCTGTAGGCAGACACACTGAGCTTCCAGGGTGCAAATGCTGGAGAAAGCTGGCCAGAATTAGTGATCACAGAATATTCTGAGTTGGAAGGGACCTAGAAGGAACGTAAGAGTCCAACTCTTAGCTCTTCAAAAGACACCCCAAGAGTCAAACCATGTGCTTGACAGTGTTGTCCAAATGCTTCTTGGGCTCTGACAATCTTGGCGCTGGGGAGTCTGCTCCAGTGGCCAACCACCCCCTGGGTGAAGAACCTTTTTCTAATACGTAACTTAAATATTCCCTGACACAACTTCAGGCCATTCCTTTAGGTCCTGTCACTGACAGAGATCAGTGTCTGTCCCTCCTCTTCCCCTCAGGAGAACGCTGCAGACTGCCATGAGACCCTCAGTCTCCCCCAGGCTGAACAGACCAAGTGACCTCAGCTGCTCCTCATATGGCTTCCCCTCGACTCTTCACTATCCTCGTGGCCCTTCTTTGGACGTCCTCCAACAGCTTAATGTGGTTTTTTTTTACATTGTGGCACCCAGAACTGCCCCCAGCACTCGGGGTGAGGCCGCCCCAGTGCAGAGCAGAGTGGGACAATCCTCCCCCTTGCCCAGCTGGCAATGCTGAGCCTGACGCCCCCCAGGACACCACTGGCCCTCCAGGGCACTGCTGACTCATGTTCCACTTGCCATCGACCAGGACCCCCAGGTCCCTTTCCACAGCACTGCTTCCCAGCCTCTCATTCTCCAGTCTGCCCATACATCCAGCGTTGTCCCATCCCAGATGCAAGATGCGCTAATCCCCGTTAAACTTCACACGGCTGGTGACTGCCCACCCTCTGATTTAACAGGGTCTCTTGACAGTTAACCTTACGTTTTGTTTTCATGATTAGTGAAACGGCACAAGAAGCTGGGGGTGGTTGTACCCACAGTGAAGCGCCCTTGGTTTAAGCAAACAAACACAGCGCTCTGCAGACACAGCGACGAACGCGGACGGCAGCGAGGGCGGCTCGCCCGGGCCGGCGGGGCAGCGGCGCACTTACCTTGTTGACGGCGGCGTGTTCCCGCAGCGCCAGGTCCCAGAAACGGCATCCCACCTGGTTCCCGCACTGTCCCACTGCAAAGGGGAGAGACACGGCTCAGGCACGGGGAGGGGGCGGCGGGAGGTCCGAGAGCCACGACCCCCTTACCCTGCACCACCACCGACTGGGTCATGGCAGAGACGCCGGCGCAGGCCTCTTTCGAAATCGGCGCCCGGAAGCCGCGCCCCCCGAGTTCCTGCGGTGGAACGTCCCAACCGGCGCTTCAGCCGCGGGCGCTCGCCGGCTCCCGGCCGCGAGTGGAACGTGCCATTAGGGAACGGGGGGGAGGGGGGGGGCGAACAGCACGGGGTGCGGTGAGGTTTGCAGACACTCGGAGGGTCTGAGGGGGACCCAAGAGGGGCTGCGGGGTCTCGGCTGAGGCCCAGATGCAGGAGGCCTGACAAAAACCCAACATAAAGTCTCTGTACAAGAGAACAAAAGTATTTCCATACAGTACAGTTCATTATCCTTTATGGATAAAATGTTGCAATAATAAAGCGCTTTATTTTGCCCAAATACATAATTCAGGGAGAGAGCGTGAAATGTGTGAAACGGTGTGAAAATACAAACTAAAAATTAAATGAAAAAGCGGCCATTTGGAAATGCTGTAATGTACCCTCCCACCAGGCTTGCACATTAAGCTCAGTTTCATATTGTGCATATAATTGTCTGCAGTGAAAAAACAAAGAGTGTAGAGATGCTGTTGTCTCAGCATGGCAAGCCTGGTCCGCAACACAGCTCGGCTGCAAAATAATAAAATCCTTTAGGTTGGAAAAGACCTTTAAGACCATAAACTGTTAATCCAGCACTGCCAAGTCCAGGACTAAAACAGTAAAGAACGTGGGACATGCAAAGCCTGCAGAAAGCTGTCTTGTGACACAGATGGCATTTCTGCTTCCTGTGGGAGGACAAAAGCAATTCCATGCAACCCAGTCCATTAAGTTTTATGGCTGAAACCTTCCAACAAAATACTCTTTTTCCAAATAGATTATTTATAATTCTGGTGTACAAAAAAATTGTTAAATAATTTTTTTCAATCCTAGACATGACTTGGTAGAGATTAATTGTAGGTCTATGGGAAAATAAATTTCTAGTAAATGACTATTTAAAAAAATCAAAACAACTTTCCTGGGAAGATTATGTATATATTGCAGCAAATAAAATATTGTACAGCATGCATTATATACAAGAAATAGATACACAGAGTAAATTTGTGAAACTTAATTGAAATCATGTTGTTCTTAAGAAAAAGTACTGGGTGGCCCAAGCTTACGCAAGTGTCACGTATGAAATGTGTGAAAAGGACCAATGGCTTTAGCGTTATAGGCATGCTTAGCATGAATACAGTACTACTGCTTCAAACTTGTCTTTTCTATAAACTAATCACCAGTATAAAACTACATGAATATTAAACAGGAAAGTAGGTAGTCCTTTCTCTCTGGACAGATTAGATGTAACTATAACTTAATTTTGTTCCCTGTGTTTTTTTGAAGTGGTCCAAACTGGTAGGCTGTGCTCTGTTCATGTTATTAGATGTCAAACCGCTTCTATACTTCTTGCCTACTGTCATGTCCTTAAAGTTTTCTCTTCATATGTCTTCTCAGCCTTAATTAAAGTTAAAAGCAGTACAACATTGCTTGTAAGCATTCTAATGCTTAATTTAAATTCTACAGAATCTCTTGATATTACTGTATCTGATTTTCTTTCTTCTTGTGTAATTAGCTCCACTTTCAACTTTTTTTTAAATTAGTTGTAGTTTTCGTGCCTATGTCCCATGAAGATTCAGCTTAGTCAGATTCACTCTATTGATTGTGATGTTGCAACAAGACACTCTGAGCTTTGGCTTCCAGTGTTCTTTAAGTGGTCTGTGAAGGCAGATATAAAGTGATTATTCTCTTTGAGCTTGGAAACACCAAGAATTGTGAATTGACAACAGACTTATAGTAATAGGTGTTTCTCACCCTTAATTTCTCAGTAACGTTTTGCTGATGTGTTATACAGGAATGGTGTTCCACAGCTTTGGGACACAAATTGGATAATTGTATAAATAACTTACTATGTTTTTTAGTGGAAATGAATCTCCATGGACCACAGTGAATCTGTGAATAACCTTTAAATCCCACACTGTAACAAGAGCCAAAAGTGCATCACAAGTGAAATATGTGTGCTATGCTTTCAGCATCTTTTTAATAAGTCATTTGACTATTTAAGCCACATGCTGCTGTAGGGAGAATACACTGGAATTTGAACTAATGTTATCCTTTGACTTACATTGTGACTTAGTTCACATATGAAGGTTTGTTGGTTTGTAATTTTGATTTTTTTTGGTCCATTTTTTGTTTGTTCGAGTCTTTTTTAATTTAGAATTGTTGTATTTTGGAAAATTACTGTCAGGCTTGTAACACTTCATCTTTCATTTTTCTGTTCAGGTTGTTGTCCATACACTGGGTTCTTGAGGAGAAGGGTATTCTCTACAAATCTTGAGGTGTAAGAGATAGAGGGGGCTGAGATCTCATTTAAATCCTCTATTTTGGAGCAGTTTCCTGAACATTTGATCTTGAAATTGATTTCTTTATTACACAGTCATGCAAATGTCCAGTTTCAGAATATTTTGAGATACAGTAACAGTGTAGCTGCAGCCCTGATTTAGATAATGGCTATAACAACACTTATTAAAACCTTGAAGGTGCCAGAGAAAAATTATAATCTACTTAGAGTCAGTGCTCATTTCTTGTAGGCTTTCTGCAGAATTTAGATAGTTATATGCACGTTAAAAATGGAAATGGACAATCTGACAATGTAGCTCAGAACTTGAAGGTTTTTCCCAAATCTTTGTAGATGAAGGCTTTTACTTTGAAGGTATAATTTTTAAGATAGATACAGGAGACAAATTGAATTCTGGGAAGATTTATCTTTAGACAGTTGCCCTCTCTTAAACACCAGCAGCCCTTAAAATGAGTGCAAAGGTATGTGCAATATAATGCATCACAGACTGGCTTTCTTAGGCACATATGAAATGGCAATGTTAAAGGTCTATGTGGATGTTGGGGGCAGGGAAATTTACATTATTTTTTGCTCTCTCCTGAGTCTGCAAGTATCCTCGGGTTTATTGTGTTTTTCTTTGCAAACCCTGTTCTGCAGGGGGAAAACCCACACCTCTGAAGCCTAGAAGGGAAAATTGATGAAGACACCCTCCAAAATAGTGCTGTGTTGATTAGCTGGTGATATAGTAAAGAGAAGTAAATTGAATAGTAGCAGTTTATGAATTTTAATTGGTTTTTATTCATACACTGTTTTAGTGTATTTTTACTTTTCTGTATATAAAGTATGCAAAGGACTGATTAAATCAGAAAACTAATTCTTAAACAAAATCCACAGAATGAAACCAAATCACATTGCAGCAAATATGGATAAGAGAAATATTGTTTATTCACAGAGCTTGGATGTGGATATGAGAAAATATGCTTTGGTTTGAAGTAGGTGTGAGACAGAAAAACATTCTAAGTATGTGTGTACCAGTTAACATACAATGCTCCACTTAATCCCAGCATTCACTAAACTCTGATGCTCTTGGGGGCCACAAGCGTTTGCTATTCCTGGCTATCTCTGCTGAGCAGCTGCAGGCAACTCAAACGGAATTTCAGTAATCCTTGTAACCAACATATCTAAGCAGGGAATCTGCTGTTCTTTTCTCTCCAGCAACAGGGTCCTGGAGACCAGGGTCTGAGGAAGCTTAGCTCAGCTTGTGATGTCATGAGCTTTTTTGAGCCAATCTAACAACTCACTGGCACTGGGAGGAGAGAGACTTCCTTTTTTACCTCTCCTCCCAGCTGTACAGCTCTGACACCACCCATGGCCTCTGTAACCACTAGGAACCCAGCTCACTGGTCTGAGGATACTCACCCTCAACACCAATAATAAAATATTCCTGAAGCAAAAGCCCTAAATTTTCTGTTCCATTTTTGGGTAGTAGTTGGGAGCAGAAAAAGCTGAGCAAGCATACTGGTTTTGGTGCCTGAGACAACGATGGCATTTGAAGGCAACTGGATTTAAGGATCCATGCCTGAACCAGAGAGACTGCAGAGGGATACTGTTCATGCTTGCTTCTCAAGCATGAGCAGTGGGCTTTGGAGTGAGGAAAAGAAGGGTCTATATATCACTCCCCTGTGAAGGGGGTATCTGTAAGCTTGGAGTTGGAAAGGGAATCAGTCCTTGGAGCATATTACCTGAGAGCTGCAGGGAAGGGAAAAGGGGATGTGTTCGGGAGAAGGCAAGCAGAAGAGGAATGGGGCTGAAAGTATGAGCAGAGCTGACGAGGCTGGTGAAAGGAGAGGCAGTGGCTACTGGAGCCACACTGTGTTGTTCCCTTACCACCCAAAACTGGACTCTAGAGGCAAGTGGAGAGTCTGTGATGGGGTCCTAGCTACTGAAGAGTTCCTGTGCCTGTGTATCCAGAGGTTGCAGTTCTTTATCCAGAGTAAGCCAAGTCTGCTGCAGTGTGTCAAAACCCTTTTTTCACCCTACTGAGAGTAGTAGGGAAACTGCTGATTAGTGCTTACAGATGTATCTTATTCTGGTGGTTCTTCCATCTGTCCATGCTTTCAAGATCTTTGGATTCCAGTTTTCATTTGTGTGTTTTCCAGATGAATTCTTATTAATTTTCAGTCTCTAGGGTGTTGTCCTTTATTTTTGCATTTCATAGTTTCCTGCTTTGCAGCTGGTCATGTTTTGAGTTGGTTCCAACAATAATTTGCTCAGCAACCATAAAACTTTCATTACTTTATTCTTTATTGCATTACTTTATACTTCAAAGAAAAGAAAGCTAAATGGCTTTGATTCCTTATAGGTGATGATTGAAGGGACTAAGTTTTGCAAGTGATTTGTATCTATTTGGTGTGCAAGCCTACTGTGAGTTGAACCCTACCATTAACTTCCATCTACCTTCTATGGCTATAACACAGCTCACATTTGCAGCCCTTTGCCTTCTGTTTGCATCTTCCTGTTTCACTCTTGGTTGCTCTGCAGCAGCATATCTTCTGAAGGAAGATATGTTCCTTGTTTGGGGATTTCTGCTCTAAACTGAAGTCCTGCAGGAGCCTCACAGGGAAGTGATGTTTTTGTATGATAAGGGAGTCACCTGAAACTGTGACTGTGATTCTGCTTTCTATGCTTCATTTTTACTTGTGTCACATTAGTGCAAATGAGATCACAATGAGATTGTGAATTTAGTGCTGTGTTTGTATGTAAGTGCATTTAAAAATTCAGAGAAAAAACTTGAAATTTAAAATTGTCTCTAAGGCAAGCATTACACTAAAATTACCTAGTTTAGGTAAATGAGTCTATATATAAAACATCTGTCTTAAAAGATATACATCCTCTCTTCATATTGTGGCAGAACATATCCATGAAGTCTAGAAGTGGAATAAACATTTTAATTTTTCATTGTTTGTAAGCTTACATAATTAGTATACTCTCTTCCCCCCATTTTATTTGAGGAATATATAAATGAGTTGAATGGAAAATTAAAAATATACAGTAAGATCTTTATACAGTATTTGCGATGTAAATCTATTATCTAGCTTTATTCTTTAATGTGCATTAGCAGATCTTTTCCTGTGGAACAAAGGGTGACTAGATATGGAATGAGATTATGTAGAGGATCTATTTTGAAAATAACATATTTAATATAATTTTAATTTATTTTATATTCTCATATTTTCATGTAAAAGACTGGCCACACATATACTATAAGAAATGGTAAAGCTCACTCTTGTGGTATGTTAAGAGAAGTGCAGAAGCAACAGCTTTTATTCTTCAGTGATTTTTGTTTGCATGTAAATATGAGAAGTGACCCCCCTTCATGCTTTCTGTAGATGTGGCTGTGATATTTTCATTCTTCTTGTCTTGCTGGACATAGTTTCTTTTGTTCTATTTTTCTTTCTGTGGTCTAAGAAACTTTTCAGAATTGATGCAGTGCACTATCAGGCTGCTGGACAGGTATTAATGCTTACAGCACCACTAACCAAAGCTGCTTTACTAAAACTCACTGGCTTTTCATCAATCATGAAGTTACGAATGCAGCCAATGAAGGAATTGCGTGTAGTCAGGCTTGATGTTAGCAGAGACTCTGGAAAAAGAAGATCAAAAAAATTAAATAAATAAAAGTTTAGAGCTCATGATGGGCAAAATAATCAGTTTGGTAGCAGAACTTTGCTACTAAGTGCAGCTCTTCTGAATCTTCTTTTAAAATGTTTGGCCTACTGCCAGTGTTCTAGAGGCCATTAAAGTATGGTTAGTTATCTACAGTTATGTGAAACTCTTGATACTATATTATCAATAGACACAATTTTGCATTTTTTGACAACTACATTTTCTTTTAAGTAACAGAGTAGATGAGTCCCTGTGTCTGCTTTTAAAATTTAACATCACATGTATTGTAATCTGTGTCTGATTTGTTAGTTTGCCTTCAGTTGGCTGTATCTGCATGGCATTATTTAGTATTGTATCTTATTTGTTGTTGTGAAGTTCTGTGTAAGAGTTTCCTGTGCCAGGCTGATAATAGCATTATAGAGCCAGTGTATGGCATTGCTTTAGTATTCTATAATTAATGTAGAAATAGAAGGCTCTATTATGAAGCAGAACAGCATTTGCAATTACCCCTTTATATTACCTCTCTGGGAAGAGTTCTGTCCTAATAAAATTCCATTTTGGATTTAAAGAGTGAGCAGGCATCTGTGCATAGATTTTATTATTCCCTTTAGGCTCATTTTACCTCCTGGTAGCGTGGGATGGATGTGAACACCATGCACTCAAGCCAGTAATCCAAGATAAGCATTATAATGAATTTTGTAGTTAGAACTGTTAATGATTGACATGCAAGGCTCAGAGAAATAATGCTGCATGTTTTCACTGAGAAATGTATGAGAGTTGACTTAAAAATGGATCACGTAGTGTTGATTACAGTTTGTATATGAACCCCAACAGAGTAGCTCTGTCTGTTGAATAAGGGAAGGAAATGTAGTAATCTTGGCCCATGCTACACAGATGGTCTGTGAGTCACAAATACACAGGAGCAGAAGTCTGTCTAACAGAAACCCCTAGTGAGAAAAAGAATCTCCATGTTTTATCTTGTGTTCAAAGATGCTATTGCTTGAAGAAGAGGAAAGAAGCCTACCAGCAACTAAACCTTGGGACTCAGGTTACAGTGACAGCGAGTTTCCAATCCCATAAATAAATAAATCACTTCTTAAAAAAGAGTTAGCCCACATGGGAAGGAAAAACAGAAAAAAAGAAATTTTGTTTGTTGTTGGCTGACTTCTCTAGTGAATCCATACGTTGCCCTCCAGCAGCTGTGAATGTTTTCATTTCAATGAAGCAGCACATCTTTTTCTTTGATAACTTGAGGCAGAACATTTATGATCAGCTCTTGAGCCTTTGAATTTTACCAGGTTGTTCACATATTTTGTTCTTTTTTGAGATGAAAACTTAGTCTTTATGCTTTCTCTGGAAACAGGGCTGAAATCTCAGAACAATGTACCACAAAGATACCAAAAACCTACCTGGTACACCTCCAATAAACACTGGCTCCCTGTGGTCCATTGCCTTTGGATTTAGCGGCCCTACCACATGGTTGACTTCAGAGTCTACGTCCAGCTGCACCACATTTGCGTCTCTAATAACTGAAAGGAGAAGGAACAGAGATCAGCAAGAAGTGTGACATGAGTCTTTTATAAGACAGACAGGAGTTATCTCTTTGGTGTGAGTAGTTGATTTAGTGTTTGCTAGACTGAGTGTGAGCCATCAGTGACAATTTGTGAGTGGATTCTGGCACAGGGCAGGACCAATGGTAGATACAGTGGGAGCAAGGGTGCTTTTGAGTGGGGCTCTTGATCCCTGGTGGCAGTGTTTAGGCTCCAGGTTATGAGCATACAATGGCTTGTGGCTTAAAAAAACTGTTTCCCAATCACTCCCATTTGGGGATATATTGGAATGCAGTGAGACTTCTCCCTTGCTTGAGTGCTTGGATTTCCTTCAGAAGGGAAACAGAATGCTTGTGGACAGGGTGTAGGCTCAGATCACTTCTGCAGTGATAGTGGAAGACATTCTAAGTCCACATCTAGACAGGAAGATGAGGTGGTTCAAAGCACCCAGGAAATGCTTTTTGACTTTCAAAACCAGGAAAGAAGGATGACTCTCTGGCACAGAGGCAAAATCCCAGCTGCAGACATCTCTCTATCATGAGCAAAAGGTTCCCCACATCTGTCTTGTTATTTGACTTTTAAGGGCAGCGTATACTTTTACCTACTGCATTCTATCAATTTATTTAACCTCTAATTGGGAAAGGAAGACTATAATCTGGTATATGAATTAGGAAAGGTAGCCAGAATTTCAGATGGGCTGCTTTCTGTTCTTTGAACAGGGAGCTTCCATCTTTGTTTGTTTTCCCTATCTTTGTAGGAACCTGTGCTTGTCTTCCCAGGAAGCCCTACAGTTCTGTGTCTGAGGGATGACTAAGACTGTGTCTTTCACACAAACTTGGGTCTTGGCAGGTGAAAAAGAAGAAGCTGAAAATACTTCTGCATTGCCAGTGCTCTAGCCCATGGAGATGGATATCTGGGGAGCAAGAGACGGGCTTTGTTACCTTAAATACGGAACAATCACCTTTCACTGACCTGCAATTCGATGCCACCTGCCGTCGCAGAGACTCTGTTTCAATGTCACTGAAGTTGAAAAATCCCTGATTCCATTATTCAGTTTCACAGTAACCTGAGGGAAAAGAATGTAATCATCACTGTAAACCCCCTCCTTTTCTCTTTTTACCTTCTGTTGTAATAATGTTGTATTCCTCACTCAAAACATGTCAAGTACCCAAGAGAAAGGAAAACATGGCTTCATTAAATTCTTCAAAATAAAGTACCTTTTAAATAATATTTAGGATGGGTTGGTGGTTTTTTTTTTGTTGTTTTTTTGTTTGTTTGTTTGTTTGTTTAATTGTTCAGATTCAAGAGTTTGGAGACATTCCTAATTATCTCAAGGAAGAGTTCAAGAAAAGATTTAAAAATAAGAGCTAATTTCACTCATTCTCTACTCTATAATTTCCTGTGTGATAAATTAGTGTTTAGAGGCATCAGATGATGTTTTTGGCATCTTGCTAGCCACTTAATAAGGAAAACAGTCATGAAAACCCAAGTATAAACAAGCAGAAAAGATATGAGAAAGGAATGGATAGCAAAATTAAGAATTACTTTGAAGTTACTTGTTCAAGCTTACAAGTAAATCTCTGGAAGAGCTAGAATTCTGAATTTTGCACTTCTGTTTTAGTTAATGGATTAATATCTTTCATGGAAATGGTGCAGCAGCAGCAAACCAGTGTTGTGTCCCTGTTGTGGGACATGAGATTCCTGGTGGTGATTGCCAGAGAACTCCAAACTCTGAGCCCAGCCACTCAGGCTTTTCAAATGTTGAAGATGTTCCTGATTATGCTGACTCTATGCTGACTGAAAATCACAGAATCATAGAATGGTTTGGATTGGAAGGGACCTTAAAAATCATCTTGTTCCAACCCCCCTGCCATGGACAGGAACATCTTTCATAAGATTGGATTGCTCGTTCACATCCAACCTGGCCTTCAACATTTAATGAGATGGGGCATCCACAGGTTTTCTGGGCAACCTGTTCCAGCCTCACCACCCTCACAGCAAAGAATTTCCTCCTAATATCTAATCTAAATTTACTGTCAGTTTGAAGCCATTCCTCCTGGTCCTGTCACTACATGCCCTTGTAAATGGTCTCTCACAATGAAGCAACTTATAGTTAATTCTAGAGGGTTTTGATACAGTTGTAACCAAAAAATATTATTTTTTTTCTAGAAGGGCACCAACAAACACAACTAAAATGATCCTCATGTTCTATTTTATCCACTCTTAGACAAAAGTATTGACTGAAGCACATAAAGAATTACAGGAGAAAGTGACTCCTTAATAAATCACTCAGACAAGCTGTACTGATAGAGATGTGTACATTTTAAAAATGAATTATAGTTGCTGATCTTATTCATTCAGCAAAATGGTTTTCACAAAACAGGTCTTTTGTAATGCATTCAAAGAGGGCAGATCGTTAATGCTAAATACACACAGATCCTTACTAAGAAGTTACTGAACTGCTGCAGTGACAAGCAGGGAAAAGCTGCTTTTCCAGGGTGAATTTTTTTTATGAATTGCATTTGCATTATACAGGAAGGGAGGTGTGAAGCAGTAAGTGAAGCAGCACCCTTTGTTAGACCAGTTGGTACAGTTGGGAAAACCAGACAAATTATTGGGCATGCAGAACTTTGGTTAGAACTTGACATAAGAAGTGCTATACTGGACTGGTTCTATACAGTCTCAGCTTTTAGGTGTGACATGATATGCATCAGCACAATGTACTTAAGAATTTCTCTGTTAATTCCCCAGATACAGGGGTAAGAATGGGCTTCATCTTACCTAATCAGCTGTCAAAAGTTAGGTGCCTAACTGAAGCACCTGTTCTCTCTATAGCCAACATAGAAAAAGAAATTCTCTGAATAACAGCTCATTTAGTCACCTAATTAGACACCTGCTTTAGGATAGGATGAATCATCTTGTTAAACTGTTTACTCAGTCACTCTGCTGTAGGTGCTGCTCTTGGAGAAGAGGTGAGAGTGTTTCCTCAGATGTTGCATTTCTAACTGAGGTACAGCCAGACCCACTTAAATACCCTTCCACTTTGATTGACAGGTGCATAGCAGTGATTGAAGAATGTCCACACTGCTTAGTCTCTTGACTGTGCCTTGAGTTTCTCCTCTTCAGGAAAGACCAAAAAACTGCTGAGATTTCCTATGCTCTAAATCTTTGCTTGTGTGGTTCACTTAAGACTGAAATTTATTGCTGTAGGTGTGCAATGCATAGCATGAAGACATCCAGATTTTATCAATAAACACAATAAAAAATAGCAACAACTGTCTGGTGTGTTAATTTCTAACCTCTCCCCTTCATTTGAAATCCAGAGCCTGTAGAAACCAGGCCAACAGACAATCAGAACTTTTCCTTTCCCTCACTCTTTCTATCACACATATATCTGATAAAGAAAGAAGAGACTGAGTGTAACTCAGACTTATCGTTTAAGAAATAAGAAAAAAAAAATATTGACGGTTACTTGTAACCATGATACATTTTTAATGTGTGGGTGAAAGAGCAGTGCCAAAGAGTTGGTGCTTTTGCTTCTTTTCAGCTCACAACAAAATATTTATGGCTTGTATTAGTAAAGTGATCTGAACTTGTCACAGGTGTTATTTTTAGTATTTTAAAATAAATATTTGGTTTGGCTAATCTAAGCTGTTATTATATTTAGGGGAGAAATAAGAATCAGTTAATGGCAAATTTGTAAGACAAAATCTGCATGTAGCAAAGCCCAAGTAAGTGGAAGAGAAACCAGTCAAGGCAGTGGAGGAGATGTGACCTTGTTTATACCTGTCCATTTCTCATGTGCATATTCAGGTACTCTCCATTCACACTGTGACCATGCAGTAGGATTCCTGAGCTGCTTCGGGGACGTATTTCAAAAACAACTTCAAATTTCAGGCCTAAACTGAAGGATTCATCTGTGAAGTAAAAAGAATAACATTTTTTTTGTACCAAGTTAGTGATGAAATTGGACATTTATTCAAAGTCAAAGAACATCAGAGGGTGGATTTCATTTGTTCTTCAAACTATTGAAATATGAGATAGCATGATGTGCTGTCAATGACCCATTTCAACTTTTGTTTTGATTGGACAACTAATAAAGGTTTATTTACTTTTCTCATTATTTAGAAAATGTATTTTGTTTAAAAATGTTTCTTAGCAATAAAATGGACAACAGAAAGTAAATGATTTGTATTTTTTGGCAGTTTCTTATTGGGCAATTTCCTAGACACTCAGAAGTCATTATTGAGTGAGTGGGAGTTCACTTGAGCTTTGATGATTCAATAGGAGAAACTCCCTTTTTCAAACTGGTGACAGGCCAGAGAGCAAATTAGAAACACTAGTCTGATTCTTCTTGGTGCTGCCAGTGAATAGGGTTTTGCAGTTTCCTTTCTTGTTCAAATCAGAGTCTATGTGACTGAAACACCCTCCTAAAACTCTTCCTGGGACACAGCAGGCCGAAATGACAGAAAAGCTATGTTCTGTCATGCTGTTCTGTATCAAGACACACCGAAAGCCTTTCTGCAGGAGTTTTTATTTACATGTTAATGAAAAAAATAAGGGATGACCATTTGATGGTGTACTTGGTTTTGGCCCTGTTGACTTCTATGCTAATTTTTAACATATTATGGTCTGTTCCCTGATTAAAATTATTCCCTTATTAAAATGATTCTTATTATTTGAAACACATACATACATACATGCAGATGTGTTTATTTAACAACATTTAAGTTTCACAGTGACATTGTGACCTGTCAACATCATCTGCTTAGCACAATAGTGATCTGTTTCTGATAATCCTTACAGCTCACAGCCTTGGAAATTACCACACTCTTTAGTGAAAAATGCCATTCTGAAGCACACTGAATACCACAGTCCTATTTTGGGATACATTTGGTTAGGATTATATTACCAAGGACGACATATCCTCCTTCTGATGAAAAATATGTTCCTGCTTCCGATGGGCCTTCAAAGCAAGGTGTTACACTAAATGTCTGTGAAGCTGAAGTAAGCGATCTTCCATTGAGCTGTAAATTGCTGAGACAACCACTAAAGCTGTAGACAGAGTTTATCTGAGGGGTAAAAAAAACCTTGATTAGTAAATAAACTGCTTGTGGAAGGAAATATATTCTTCTGTCCTTATTTTTACTTGTTAATAAGCTGTAAGGCTGTGATTGTCTGGCGCATCAGTTTTGAACTAAAAAACAATTTCCAGAGAAGGTAAGCAGGAAAAATTATTCTCATAGCCTCTCATGTCTTTTTGATGACTTCAAGGTAATTCCAGCTCATGTTGTTTCTCAGTCCTTACTGAACTGTGAGAAACAAAACACAAGTAGGGCAAGGCAGTGCTATACATATACCTCATAGCCTCAAGGCAAGATGAGTCTACTTTTTAAGAGTAGTTTATCAATCTTGTTAGGCATATAACACTACAGATTACCTTGAAAGAGAATATTATGTTCATCGTTGGTTCAACACTCCTTTCTGTATACTTCAGTACTGAGCTGTAGAACAGAATCCTGACCTCTAGGTATTGTCTTAAAACAGAGGTACTGTGAGAACATCAAAATGTCTCCAAAACTCATTCTGTATCTCAGACCTCAGGGTGAAATTGATCTTGCCTAACATTACTTGTCTCATCTAATTTTGGATGTCACTAGGATTTTTCTGTTCCTTATGGACCATTGGTTTCCTAGCTGCTGCTGCAAGGCTGTGGAAGCCTTACCCAGCTACCACCAGCCCAACCCTGTGGAATGCTCTATACATGAGCTGAGCTGTCTGCTCCTTAGCAGGATGAGGGCCAAGATCTTAATCAGATTTTGTCTGATCTCATCCCGACAGTCAGCTTTTGTTTTAACTTTACACAGAGGAATGGGGTCTGTACATGGAGATCTGCTTTACCTGGATGTTTTTTACAGCTTTTCCGGGAGCTACACCTCCAATATAGAGTGGTTCAGTGACTTGCCAACTATTCACATTCCCATCAAAAGATTCTTCTAGTACTCTGAGACCATCGATTATCAAGCGACCAATATTTTTGCCTCTAATAAATATCACCTAGGAAGGGAAGAAAAAAACGTGGAAGATTACTTCCATCTGTTAAGGAATTACTACTGTGCATGAGAAGAAGATGAGACATTTGAGAAGAAAAGTGCATGAGCGATGCTCTACAAGCCTGTTTTGCTAACTTCCAGAATTCTTTGTTGGACAACCCTCATTTTTCACATTCATATGAAGGCTAGATAGTAAAACTGCTGCCTTTCTTACATTTTGGTGTACAAGGCAGAGGTAACTAAGGTGTCATAAGGTCTACTGAGATCTACCTATCACTGTTAGCATTTTCACAGTCATCATTAGTTTTATGGTATGGATTCATCCAACCTGCTTGAAACACTTAAATGCCCAAGTCAGTAGTTTAGTAGCTGTAGACTTTCTCTGTAGTTAATGAGGAGAGGGAGATACCTACAGAGGGAAATTCACCTTGACTCCTAAAATTGTCTTTTTATTTTCATAGACTACTGAGGCAGCCTAAGACAGCTGTGCTCCTTTCTTAGGCACTTCAAAGACATTTGCTGAACAAAATTATTCTAGTCTTTCCTTTAATAACTCATTTAACTCTTAATTGCCTTACTGCTCTGCTTGCTTCCTTCATTTCTGTTCAGCTGTTAGTGTTGGGAATTGCTGAATTTTTATAACTGACTCACTTTCCTGTCCCTAGTTAATGACTTAATAAAATGCTGCGTGGAAGATCTAAAAATATTTATGGAAGTTTCTCAACATATAGGCATGTTTATGAATACATGAATGAAAACTCCCTGAGCTGGTACATGAAAAATGCAGCCTTGACAGCATGTGCCATCATGATTGCTTGCTTTTACTTACATTGTGCCACAGACCATCATTGTATTTCTCTTGGCTCTTAATCCTTATCTTCTGGTGACCGGCATTAAACATAAAAATGAGTCGGCCATGAGCAACGAAAAGGGCCAGGAAGTTGGTCTCTTTTTGATCCGAAATATAACAAATCATTCCGTGAGATGAGTGAGTTTTCAGACTGATAGAGAACTGAGCTCTGGCACATAAAAACACAATATTAACGTTAAAGCAGATACTTTTGATTTAAATCAAACATCAGGCAGAGGAAGACTGAGATTTTCCTTTCATCCAAAAGATATTCATATGCTTTATGGAAGTAGTGTTTCTAATAAACATTCTGTGCTGGTGTTTTGAGCAGAAGTCAAAGCTGGATAAAAAGCTGCTTGGTGAAGAACATTTTTTCAAAAATTAAAACCTCTAGAGTGAATAAGTTCAATGCAGACCACCAAAATCTGACAGTACATTTCCTTTTATGTCAAACAGCACGGCTGGGGGAATTTTTAAGTGTGATGGCACGGAGGCCTGATGTTTAATATTATTCCAGACTGGATCGAAGCTTCTCCTTCCTTGTAGTTCCTTGTGAAGTCCAGGACAGCATAGGAAGTCATACCATTGTTGGTTTGACACTGTCACAGTGAAAATTTCTTGAGTGATTGTTATTATTACTTATGGTCTAAAGCATGGCAAAGCTGTATTGGTGTAGGACAGTGCCAGAACTGATTCCTCCTTTTTCTGATGTCAGGTTTAACCCTAGTTTCCATTCTTCATATTGTCTAAAGCATCTATACATTCCTAATGGCCTGTGTGTGTACATTCCACAGACACTCAGTCCCTTGCCAATATTGTTTTAAAATGACACAACTCATTACTTTTTAAAAATGAACATTATAAAAATGAAGCTTTAATAAAATTTGGCAAATAAATATATGTTTTAGGAATGAAGGTATTAGAGTTTGGGTTTGCCTTCATATGGGTGCCATCAGAACTGCCCTAAGTTAAATGCATTGAATTAAAATGAACATAATGGCTTTCTAATTTAAATCAGGAAAGAGCACTCTTTTTTTCTGAGTTAGTGGTCTGGTATGCTTCCAGGAAGTGCTGTGTTGTTGAACTTATAGTCTTTAATGGAAAGTATTAAACCAAAATCCTTATTGGATTTTGAATATTGCATGAGATATTTTGTGGGAACATGAATATTAAATTTCAACAGTATCTGGACTCATTATTACTTAGATTTCTATTATGGCTTGAATTGGACCAGGTTTTCATAGCTTTGTGTCTTACTGCACTATGAAGATTAAACGACTGACAGAGTCCACTCAGCATGTTACTGCTTCCTTTCTGCTTTAATGCCTTTACTTCTTGTGTAAAGAGACTGATTATTGTGCATTGCTTGTATAGAACTAACATCCTCAAAAGCTTCACACAAACAGGCAAGGAGACACATTTTGTTAATATTCAATACAGATGAAGCTTCCATAAGAAGGATGTAAGTGGAAGCACCATCTATGTTTTTCTCTTACTCAACTGAAGCACCTTTTAATATAACCTAACAACAGACTCAACACAAAATTTAGCCTAAGATATAAAGGAACAAAGCCACGGTAACAGTAGAAATGTGTCCCTTAAAAAAAAAAAAAATTGAAATACATATTTCTCCTGCCAAGCATATTTCATTTGTATTTCTAAAGTCACTTTACCTTTGACTGAAATCCTTTGGTATGTGATCAAATTCTTGCCGGCTGTTTGCTGTTCCTCCAAATTGATAGGCATGTTCAGTTGCCTTGGGATTCATGGGCAAGTGGCACTGAGGCTCTTTTTGCAAATTCACTTGATACAGCTTTTTGAGGCCAGATGAAGGCTGTGCAATCTTGTCTTTATCTCTTCCCACCTTCATAGAAAAAGAACTATTAACCAGAATTTTTAGCTAAGATTGGACATAATAAAATAACAGTATAATTTATATATAAACTAGTAATATATCGTTTCACTGCATAAATACCAGGGTTGTTTCCGAGTCAAATTTTCCTTGAACAGATCTACTGTAAATGCTGATTTAGGACAGAACAAGGCAGAAACAAGACAGAACAAGGCAGAACAAGACAGAACAAAATACTTGTGTAGCTTACGTTATTACAATTAAATTTTTTGCAGTTTTCCTAATTAAATCTTTTTCTCTCTGCTTTTGGTGATACCAGCTATATTATAGGCATGAGAGGATATGCTTAGACTAAAAATTCCGCATGCTGGAGGAAGGTTTTTCCCCATTTATATTAATATGTACTAATTGTACCCAGTAGAGAGCCATACAGCAGCAGATGAGAACAGAAGCAAGATTTTTGCCTTTAGAATACAGAAGAAATCAGAAAGGCTTGTTTCTGAAGTACTGTTTTGAAGAGGTCAGGTATTTTATTTTATAATTCTAGCAAAAGAGAAAGACGCAAGTATAGGCCAGATAGATTGTGTCAGGGCAATCATTTCCAGCGATGGAATATGTAAAGGAACAGGATCCTGTTCATATATGGGACATTGTCTTTGTGCATTTTAGATCCATAATTTGGAGAATTTTGGAAAACTCTAGAGTGGTAGTGGAGCAATTTGTAGCAGACCTTTTTATTACGGTTTCCTTTGGCTTTTGATGAATTTTTTCCTTTCTTATGGAGAAGAGCAACTGGAGGAGATTCAACAGGGCATCCATACAAAGATGCCTGAACTTTCTCAGAGTACTTCTGGAAATCCTCCACTTCAACCTCTTGATCCAACCTGTGTTTCAAAGAGGAGATGACAAGAACAGCTTTTTTTCTCAAGTGTTAGAATTGTCTGCATAAAAATCTCAGAATTTTACATTTATAGTTTAGATTATATTTGAATGTGTTTAAACTATATTTAAATGTTACATTAAATTATATTTAAATTATATTTGAATGGTTCATTCTTGGACCATGGATGAAAGTACAGATTGATCAGTCAATGTATGGGTAATGAGGACAACCCATAGTACATCTGTGTGTTGTATATATGCTGGCATAAACAGAGAATGTCAATCTGCAGCATCAAATTCAACTTTAAAATCTATATAAGAACATATTGTAAAACAATTAAGATCAACACATTCTGATCATTTTTACATGACCAAAGTCCTAACCTCCCCAGCTTCTGCAAGATGTCTTAATACAATTTTGTTTCAAAGGCAGACCTGAGAGCTACATAATATAAATGTAAATTACAGCTATGCAAATTATTCATTGCACCAGCAGCATTAGCAGGTGCAGTACTGAAAGCTTATTTCATCAAGTTATTCCCACCTTAACAATATCTTAACCTAACAGATCTGTGCCAACAGATTCCATGGCAAATAAGGTAAAAATCTTATTCACACATGCTGTCTAGCCTCACAAAATGAGAGAGGAATTTTTATTGTGACAATAAATCACTTCTCACGAGCTACTATTCAAGCTGTCAGGCAGGGCAGTGACTGCCTGTTGATGTGTTTGGGAGGATGTTACTCACCTAGTGAAGTAGGCATTGCTTATGCAGCCAGTGAAGTTGGCTTGCTGTGTTCTGAGGGGAGAGCCACCAAAATAAAACTTCTTGATGCTGTCTGGGCTTTTCCCTGCTCTGTCCTTTGCTGGGTTCTTCTTGCTCTGTTTCTTGTCATCAACAGTCAGCTCATACCTGCAAAGGCAAAGCATCCATTTTGCAGGCTAGCTTTGGAAACGTTGGTGCCAGTGGTCGGGCAGAACAGTGCACCCGAAACGCTCCACTCAGTGCATACACACTCAGTGCTACTGCTCAAAGGCATGAGAGGACCTTGATTTCAGCTGTGCAGTGCAGTGCATTGGCAAAACTGTGTACACAGGCCTATGGATTTAATATTACCCTGCAGTTAATTGTGAAGTCCAAAATTGTACAGTGAAGAAAGACAGACTAGGGGGTTGCTGATGAAGGGATGGAGCCACCTTTTGGGTAAAATAAGATCCAAGCACATGCTAATTGTTTATGGCCCTATCCCTTTTTCTTTCTCTTTCATCACAGTGCAGTGGTGATTGAGCTTATACAATGCTTTTTAACTAATCTGATTTTGCAACCCACTAATTGTTGCAGAAGTCAGGAATGATTCTCTGGCTTTATAAGAAACTAAGTATACTAAAGCATCAGACATTGATTTTGTTTTGCAAACTCAGGGAGACATGACAATCCCCAAGGTTATTCCAAAGCACCTTTTTACACCTTCAGCTTTTCAAACTGTGATTCTTGGATGTCAGAAGTCATAGGTACAAACCTTGATTTCCATTAGGAAAGTAAGAATACTTGTATCTAATAGGTAAGATTCTTAAAGAAAGTTTCTTTGATTATGTGACCTTCTAAAAAAAAAATTAAACATATGAACAATAGTAAAACATACCAATAAACCAAAGCTTTCAAGAGTTACAAGGAGCACAGTGAGAGACTTATTCCCTACTGCTCTATTCAGTCACATTTGTGGCTGCCAGTGCTAAAAATATTTTTAACATGTTTCACTGTGTGCATCCCAGATGAATGCTTTATGTGAAGATGCCTCAATTACTTTAGGGTAAACTGGGAATTGTTTTAACAAATTAAAAGAATCAATCCTGTTAAAAAATTAATCTCATGCTAGCCTTAAATGTTATTAAACTGTTTTCTTACCTGAGAACAAAAAAGGACTAAGCTTTCAGAAAAAGTATTTGCATTTAAAAAAAAGTTCTTGAGCTCAGGCCCGAGTTGGTCAGTTTTCAATCACATTTTAAAATCAGTCACTTAAAAAAAGCCCTGCTCAAGTATTTAAAAGCGAGTGATAAATGATAATGTGCTTTACAAGAAATATTTATGCTGTAAAGGTAGAGAATAAAAGATGCTGTACAGCTTTACCTTTCTGGGGTGACAGAAGTAATGATGAAATGTGTTTTTCCATCATTGTAATTTCGGTCTGGTGACTGAATTTTGGTTCCACTTGCATTTAAAACCACGGCACCTCTCTCCATAGAGATGGATAATACATCTGACTGAAATACAGACAAAAACACCTTCATAAGCAAGCATTACACAGAAAAATTAACAGTTCTGTGAATTTTCCTATTGTATTTATTATCCTTCTGTGTTCCACATTTGTGCTTCATTTGCAAAAAGATATACTCTGAGAAGCAAAACAAGAGATGACATCATTAGAATTTATATTGACAGTTTTAAAGTCTGAATTCTGGGAATTCTGCTGCTGATTGTGTCTCATGTACCTGTCACATGAGCTCCTTCCATGTAGCACAAATGTATGATGTTTGCATTTCATTTGTGTTTCTGGTACCGTATTGAGCAGCTGCTACTGCGAGATTCCTGCTGTCATAAGACCAAGACGTTTTTTTCTTTTTCTAATTCCCTCTGATCAGAGCCATTCAATCACTCAAAATTATCTCAGAGATAAGATGTGCTATCTGGGTCAGGCGTTCGGGATCACTGTGCCACTAGCAGAATGCTCCCAGTTCCATTAGAGCAAGCCCTGCCACTGTTCACTGGTAGGAATCGTTCTGCCTCATTTGCCAAGCGCTAAATAGCTGAACTTCTGCTTGTTTAGTAGGGCACTTGGCACCTCAGGATTAGAGCTGTTGAGTTAAAAACCTGAAGTGGTGTGTGCGAGGCCTCATTTATGCAAACGGTGTGGGGAACTGACACGGTTACTGATTTCAATTGAAGGTAATTCTCCAGGCTGCGACGCAGGAAAGTTTAGAAGTGGTTATGGGTGCCACGCAGCCTCCTCTGCTGCACTGCTGATGATATTCTGCAAGCATAGCAGAACAGACATTTGGGGGTGGTTGCAAATGTTCTGTCATCTGAGCTCATGCTCGCTGCAGATGTCAGTCTGAGCCTGCAGCATCTTGGGATCGCTTTGTCTCACACAACATTTTGTGAGTGCAAGTCCATATTTCTGCCCAGGTCACACTTCTCAGGGGGTATTTAGAGCAGCCTGGCTTCCCAGAGCTGCAAGGAGCCATTCTCAAGTGTAGCTTTTCCCAGTCACACATGGAGGTCTGAATGCCATCTGGGAACATAGGCAGTTTTGTGACTGATTTCTGTCAGCTTAGCAATGCTCAAAATGCCGTGCCACTAATTCAAGCAAACTTTGCTTCTCGGTGATTGTCTGGATGGCAAATGTCAGGTCCTTAATATTATTTGTACTTTGGTAGCACCTGCAGGTCCAAATAGGGATTGCAGTGCTGCTGAGCACAGCAAGGTGCTCTGTGCATTTCTGCCCTGAGGACTTCAGCAAACACAAGTGGATGCATGTTAATTCTAGGCATATGATCCGGTTCTCTTCTCAGCATCAAAATAACACCAAAGCATTACTGGTTTTCATCTATAGATCATATGCAAACTGTAAAAATGAGGTCACCAGTGAATGCTTCTATATTGCAGACTGCTTTATCTTGGAACCATAAAGTGAGAAATTGTATTATTCCCCTAGTATTCTCCTGGGGAAAAAATGAAAAGGTAAAATAAAACAAACAGTAAAAAAAAAAATAGATACTTACTCCTTCAGAATAGTAAAACAACAGCCCACTGGGCTGCAAGGTCCGGAAATTAAAGCCTCCTTCAAACTCAGTAAAGAGGGACACTTTTTGGCTTGATGCAATGAAGCTCTCACCATTGAAATATGCATTGCGGGACATCTGTGTATTAAATAAAATGAAATTAGAAGTACAGCTCAAAAAACATTCCAATAATACAAAGAATGGGGCTTTTTCTTTTCTTTTTTTTTTTAACAGTTGCAGCCAGTTCAGTTCTAAAAACCAATTTTTCCTGCATATCTTACCCTAATTTATATAGGCTTTCTCTCCCATCTTGAGAAAGTGTAGCAATTTTAGACTAAGTCAAATTATTCCCAACTTCCTGGGATCTTGGCCCTATTCTAAGTCTGCTGACGTTAAAGAGCATGAAAAGTAGAAGCAGAGGTGCTCATGCCCCTGTCTGAGTTGCATGGCACTGAATCACAGTTCCAACATGTGACATGCTACTTTGTGTGCTGTGCTGGGTACTGGGGTAGGGTGGAGGGTATTGAACATGGTGGTCTATAACCCTCTGAGTCTCAGGAGCAATGCTAGGTCCAAGGCAGGACAAATTACAGAGAGCTTCCATGTTGACAGAGGGTGAGGTGGTGTGATGACTTCTACAAGCAATCCTTCCTCTTCACAGGTTTGCAGCATGGCTTTTGATAGACGTGGCCACAGGATGAAGACCCCAAACACTATCTGGATTTGCCAGCCTTGCATTGTACTGGACAAATGGTGAATGATAGAAGGGACCAGAAGCTAAATGGCAATTTTCTCAGAGCTAATGCTGGTACAGTTTATGTGTGTGTGTGTCACAGAGGAAGAGCTGATCTGGCTTAAAGGGAGAACTCATTTGAAGGGTGAATTTTTTGCTGTCTTTTCCATTTCACACATCTGTATTAGGATGCATGTAAGGGTGATTCTTCTTGTATCTTTAAGAAAAAAATGAATTACATTGGAATATTTCCATTCAGAATACAGTACATAATTTATTTCAGATTGAGTTTTCACATTGCAATTTCACATATGAGAAGAATTTTAAGTGAAATACCTTGTGCTATAGTTCAGAATGAAAATTGGGTATTATGTCAGCAGACTTAACAGACACACACAAACTCCACACCTCTGCTAGTCAATGAGTGCTTGGTGGCAGACTGTCTTTCCATTGTTTGGAGTAAAACTCAAGCTCCCAGCTATATCCATTGTCAAAATTGCTGTTATGTCACAAATGGTGTTATGCTTACCAATGAATCCTCTGGGCACCCATAGCTGATTCCCAGGGTTCCTGGTTCTTCCAACAAGTTGAAATCCTTCTTTTGGAACTGGAAACCCTTCATGCAGCCTTTAAAGCCGATACTTCCTGCCAGATGTGAACTAATGCTGTTGGACAACAATACCAAACAAACTGCAGTTAGATAGCTCTTGCCTTTCTGAACAGGATTTTGTTGCCAAGATGTTCTAAAAAAGTTCTGGAAGAACTTCAGTCATTTGCCTCACTAGTGCCCAACTCTTGCATCTTTGTGTAAAACAGCTAATGAGCCACATTTTATGTTTTGAAAAGTCAAGATGCACCAATTGTAGAAAATATAATGTATTTGTAACTACTTACAGTAAAAATAAATGGATTTTATCTTAATTTTTTAGCTTTGAAGAGAGGTTCCAATTTAGGTTTCCTGTCTTGACTAGCAAGCTCAATTCTTGCCTTCGCAAGCAAATGTGTGTGGAGGAATAGAATGTAAGAAGATAAAGATAGTGTAGAAGGTAGTCTCACACCTGAGGAGTTGCAGCTGTACTAATCACCAAAGATTAGGAACAGGCCTGCCCTTAACAGGCCACAGCTGTGTCCAGTACAAAGAGGAGTGCTACAAAAGAATGGGTTAGCTGGTTGAGGAGAATTGTTGGAGTTTGTTGGCTGTGCTGTGAAGAAGAAGAAGGAGTCCGTGCTGTGAGGAGCTGCCCATGAGAAATCACTGAGAAGGTATGGCACTTTTGCAATAAGATGACAACAAATAGGTCTCTATTTCTTATGAAAAATACTAACAGAGGTCAGGGAAGTAAGAGTAAGTTCTACTTGCTGATGTGTGGGTTTACATAATTTTAAATGAGAGCAGTGGGTGGGCTTCCAGGACCTTTTTTTAATGTCAGATTTGAGGTAGACAGCACAGCAGTGTATCCCCATTGCTCCTACTCGTTACTCTCAGTTTTTCAACTCCACACCTTACCAAGATACCAGCACAACATTACAGTACAGGATGATTATAATTGAGTTTATCCTCACAATTCTCAAGGTGCATGAAGAAGTAATTTGCATAAAATCACAGTGAGTCTGTGATAGGGGCAAGGAAATTACATGGGAGCTGCTGCGTACCAGTCCAGGAGATAACCAGGGAGCAAATACACTGAAGGAGTGGGTGTGAAATCCAGAGTTCTGACCTGGTTGCCTGGAAGCAGTCTTTGTCCTTTAAGCAAGATGTAGCTTAGCAGTGGGACTCTTCACCTCACGTGACATGATACTGTTGACCTCTACTACCTGCACTTGCTGTCTGTGAGTTATGTCATTGTAAGGCAGATATTGGAAACATGGTAGAAGAACTTGAGGTCTGGAAATGCCTAATTTTTTGCATTGGCAAAACCAGACCATCAGGGGAAGTAGTGCAGATGTACATGTCTGAAACACAGTGAGAGAAGGAGTGCTGTAGGGGCCTCATTTGCTCTGCAGTGAAATCAGCAGGAGGGCTTCTGTCATCCTTACTGGGATTTGGACCAAATTGTGGGGTATCAATTAACCACTATAATCTTTACTCAGATTGACCCTGAGGCTGGCTGTATATGACAAGTCTGCCTTTCTGTTAAATGCCACAACATTTTCTATAAACAAGCTATAGAAGAAAGGCTTTCACTTAAAGAAAGGCTTCTGAGTTAATTTCTTAATTCAGTTAAGGTCCCAGTGCTCCTACCTACCCTTAGCTTTCTGATTTATGCAGAGAGTGAGGTGAGAGCAAAATAATGGATGGTGGTACTTCCAGATTCATTTATTTGGAGAAAAAAGGCAATTGACAGAGAGAGATGCATTTGAAGAGAGTGAAAGTTACGCTGCTTAAGAAGAATATTAGATTGCTGTAAGACTAGAGCTAGTTTCCCCATGCTGCTGCTGCCCTGCAAAGTCAGTTAAATGTGAGTCTGTCTGCAAAGAGGAAGCATAATTATCAGTAGTAGATAGTATCCTACTAATCATGTACTACTCTCTCTACTGCTGCTACTAACTTATGCTCCTGATAAAAATAGAATGATGCCACCACGTTTGGTCCATACTTTTTGCTGTCTACCCTTGTAAAGAGAATGAAAGTTGAGTATAATATCAGAGACAAAGTTGCACCTCTGCTTAAATAATTTCTGTATATATTTTTAACATTATAATTGATAATATTTTTACAATGCCTATGGTATTTTTTTATCTGATACTGCCTATTAATTGAGATGCTATTTTTCCTGCTTTGACAGTACCTTCCAGGTGTTTTTCAGAATAACCACAATCTGCTTGGAAAACTGCAGGCATAATTCATGTGATTCATCTTCTGTCCTATATTTGTGAGCAAGTCTCATCTGCCATTGAGCTGCTCAATTGCCTAGATTTCTAGGTCCTTCTGGGCTTTTTTGATGTTCTTTAGCCTTGATTAATGAAAGTAATTTTCACCATCCTTCTGTACTTTCTTTCTAGATCATTAATGTATTTAATACCAGCCCTGAGAGAGATCCTTTGAGCATGAGCTGTAGACTTTTTATACTGTGAAAATTGAAAAGTTACTACTATGTCCTATTTTCTCTTTCCCAGCTGCTTTCCAATCCACTGCAGCATTTTCTCTCTCCACTCCACTATCTTAATAGCCCCTTATAAAAGACCTTTGTAAAGAACTATTTGAAAGGACAGTTAAGTTATACTCTGTTTCTCCCTTGCCCACCGCTTTGCCTGCATGTTCAATTAACTACAGGAGATTGAAAGGCACAAATTTTCTTTACATGAAGTTTGTCACTGTCTTAAAAGCTTAAAGATTAAGCACTTTGTATCTCATATATTATTTTTCAAGTCAGCAGTCAATTTTGACAACAAAATAAAGAATAAAATGTCACTAAGTCCCAGAAGCTGTTGCTCAACGTTTCCTTTTTTTTTTTTTTTTAAACATGGAGGGTATTCCTGTTAGCAGTTATGACACTTGAAACAGCAGCTGGAGCCATTTTGAAAATTCTGGCCTTGCTGTCTGACCCTGGGAATGAATACTGCCTATCAGAAGAGAATACTCTTCTTCAAGTAGCCAGTCTGCTCTCAGGGCATGACCCTGGGGTCCAGCAGATTCCTGTGGCAGGAAATGAGAGTTACACAGTCTACTGAGATTAAACTGCATTTCTGTCAAATGGTACAATAGGAAAATGAGACCTTTTCTTCCCACGCCTACACAGAGCCAGCTGACTTAGATCCAAAGAGAACCTGAGACAAATCAGAACTGAAATGCTTAGTGGGAAAAAGATCATCTTTAGATTTGAAAATGTGGTTGGTAGAGGGTCTTGGTCACTTTTTGCTGAGCAAGAAGTAATAGCAATTTTATATGCTAACATGTTCTTTGAAAATGCCTTTTTGTTTGAAGAACACAACTGTTTCTGTTACCCTTTCTAAAACAGGGCCAGTGTCAGTAAAATTTAACTGTGCTGGATCAAGCCTTGTCTTGAATACTTAAGAGTTCTGAGACACACTTAGAGTGTCTGAAGGGTTGTTTTATATGAGGTTGATGCCAAAGAAATTGTTTCATTTATACTCCTTAAGGACAGGCCATACAACTTTACATATGGTGGTTAATTGAAAATACTGATTGAATCCCATTTGTAAACCAACCTGGAGTGCAAGATCTCAGCAGGTGCTCCTCCAATGTAAATGTCTGTGAAGGGCATTGCTGTTCTTTCATTGTCCACACTTTTTATGTGTCTTCTGTCTACTACCAAGATCATCTTCTTGGAATTGTGATATATAATAGAAATCTGAAAAAAAAGCATGTGCTTAGAAGTGTAATCTTTTATAAGCTGTTATGGTGATCTTGCAAAATTGGTTGCATCTTTATAGCTTCTGTTTGAAAAGTTCCCCCCATTTAACAGAGAATTTGTTTGTAAATTGGGAGAGGCTGACAATGATTACTAGTAGAAAGTTTGTTTTGATATCTTTTTTTTTTCTGACAACTGAATTCTCAGGATAGTTCAACTAAGAATAAAGAAAATGTACCAAATTCTACACTGTGGCAAACAGAAGCTCTGTAAACTTCAGAATGCTTTCTTGATTTATCCAAAAATTAAGACATATTTTTAAAAAGTTATTTCACTGTCAAAGCATAACAAGTTAAATTGTTCTTTGCTTTAACATGAACAGGTCTATAGCTGTAGTTTTGGTCACGAATCAGACTTTGAATTGACATCAAGTAAAAGGCAGGAGAAGCAACTCACTATGGGGGGAATTTGCTGCTGTCACAGTTGCATTGGCTTACAGCAAATTCCCTGAAACTAAATGCAAGTAGATATTTTACATCTGCCAAAGTCCCTAAAACACTGTGCATATATAAATGTTGCTATCAAATCAACTCTCTTTTTAAAGAAATAGGAAATGCCATAATTCTTGTAAAGCAAAGCATAACAACTAAGGTGGTCAAGTTAACATAATGACATGGTTTTACTTGAGGAAAGTTTTATATTTGATTTAGAGGACTGTCCTTGATATAATTTCATATGGAAAACTTTCTCCCACGTGAATGGTTGTGTCCTTGGTTAGTAATACACACAATCTGTCTACAAGCACTGATTTATGAGGAGGCAGGGACAGCCTTCCCTTTCCTCTGCTCTGTACTGGTAGGACTTGCATGCGCTCTGCTCTTCTGCCTGTTCTACCATATCACCGCCTGCCCCTCATCCTTTGGCACCTTTCATGGCCATTGGAGCAATTATTTCTGCTTGGAGCCTCTGGGATAGTTGGTCAAACAGCTGTGATAGCAACCACATCTGTACCTCATGAAATTTAGCATCGTTAATCCTAGCCTTCCTCATGGAGTCCTCGAGAAGCACAGGGCCACTGCTGAAACCGAAGTCATAGCGGAGGTACAAGAAACCATTCTGCATCTCTAGGCTGAAGAACATGCTCTGTGTAAAAACAAAACAGCAGTCAGAAAAGGACTGTGTGGCAGCAATTAAAAAAAATTTTATAAACAGAGTTATAAGATTGACATTGGGAAAAGCATGCTGGGAAATAAATTTTTATTTGCAAAAGTGTAACACATTTTCTATATTTTTATATTTGTAATATATGTTCATATATGCACATGAACATAAAATTGTTTTATAAGTGTTGCTTTTTGGAAGACTTGGAACTGTTTCTGTATAGAAATAGTATTTGGTAGCACAGTGATGTCACTGTCCTCTACCAGAAAGGTATTCCTGATGTTAACACACCTATTCACTGTTGAAATAATACCCCATGCCCTAAATGAAAGATATTATACTGGTGAAAGCAATGTTGTGCTCATATGGCTATGTCTGCATTGTGAGGTTCCATCACAATGTCTGCAATTGCTCAGGGTTTTGTCTTTTCATAAGCCTGATCAGCACTGATGTATTTACTGAAATGATAGCAATAGCTGGAGTGTATTTACTATGTATTTGGTTACTAGAATTCCTGACTGCTCCTACTTTATGATTCGGTTTCTGTTCTGTGGCTGGGTGACCTAAATTTTATAAACAGGAGCTGTACTTTGGAAAATCTTTAGGGAGTGCTTGCAATGAAGATCTGCACCCTAGAATTAGTCTTGTTCCAAAACTAAACATAAAGAAATAGAGACAAAATTTACAGCAAATGTGCATCTGGGTTAATGCTTTCAATGCTTTTTCTTCTCTCCTAGTGTTCATGGCTAATAGAAACATGGGAACAATAATTCTAAATTCACTACTGCAGTCTAAGAACTGCTGTCTTTGACATAAATGAGTCCACCTTCAGAAGTCACTACTTAAAGAAGTAAGAGTAGGTTTTAATCTAGCACTTTTAAATGAAACTGCAGCTTGGGTTTGTTCTGAACAGCATAAACTTGAAAATGAAACAAGGATTACATTAAGAATATTTATGAGCTGTCTTTGTGGAATTGGATAATGGACCACCTTACACAGACTTTCTAAAAGTACTTGTGAGCAGGCAAGGTCTCCCACAGCTGATATCCAACTTGATTGCAGTTTCCACTGACAAATATAAAACGCATACATCTCCAAGAAACGTCTAGGTGCTTTTGCTTTGAAGAAAAATGAGTGCTCTGCAATTTTGAACAGCAGCTGCTTAGTCAAAACCTCTGAAGAATGAAGGTTAGTGGGTAGCATGCTATGCTACAAAGCAAATTGCTTCCCACCACCCTCCTCTGGAAGTTACTCTAAAGGAGAGAGTAGCTCTTCTAAGAGTGGATTTTTTTTTTCTAAATTCTTAAAGCAATGTTACATGTTGGTGCCTACACAAGTGTCTGTCTGTGGATTGCATCTGCATAGAAAAATGTTTTCTGTGCCTTTTCTAGGTTCTAATCCTGAGCTTGATGTGGAAATGCCCAAAGACAAAAAAAAAAAGAAAAATCCATGTTTGTCTTCCAAAGATATTTTCATGTCCTCAAACTCTTACAGAGATTCTATCACTCTCGCACTTCAGAAAAGCTCCTGACATTTGGATCAAGCCTTTTTATTTGGACTGCGTTCTATTTTCAGTAACTTAAATATTTAACTCTAGTACACCCTGAGGCACAGTTATAAAGTGGCAGCTACCACAAAGTGGCTACTTTTTGGGAGTTACTTCACAGAAATTTCCTATAGCTTTGATTGAGCATTCACATTTAAATAAAGGCACAACAACTGGGCTTAACTGGAGTCTGTCTTGAAGTATCATCATGAGGATATGACCAGTTTGAAGTCCTGACTGTCTCTGGATAAAAGCAGAGTCTAACTCAAGGCTTTGGCTTCCTGAGCCCTTTGCAGAGCAAGTTCCAGTTTCCTCCTAATGTATGCATGCACCAGACAAACACAAAGTATTTCCTCTTCCCAGAAGTTAAATGTGAGGACATAAACATCTTGGATTTTCCAAGGTATTCTAGGTACTGGGGAACTTGTGGTGCCAATGGCTAAAGGGTACTAGCAGGACTTGGTACTCACCCCATTAATCATCAGCAGGATCAATCCGGTGTCTGTAGGTGTTCGAACTTCAATGTCAAATCGAGTCACCTGGCTGAATTTTCCCCTTCTCTCAATGTTTCTGGCCAAGGCATAGCCAGAGCCATCAAAGAAATAGCTCACAGCCCGGCTCTGAGTGAAAGCCAACTTATCTCTATGGAAAAAGCAAGCAGGGAAAGGTCTTAATTTAGGGGAACTTAAATGCCTTTACATTCTTTATTGAAATAATTGTTCTGAACTTCTGCTTCTGCCTGGCAAGGGGGAGACTGATGACTTCCTTGCCATTTTTTTCTGTTTTTTTTTTTTTCCTGAAAAATAATGTGTAGCTCTAGGTACATCTAACTCCATCATTATATCAGGCTTTTATCCTGAGCTATATGTAGAGGACAGGAAAATTCTTTGCTCGTGCTTGAAAAGTGATAGGCCCACAGCACTTCCTCATTATAAGGATGCACAGATATGTCTATTAAGAGCTTTCCCAGTTTGTGCAGAAATCCATTTGAATTCTCCAAGAACTTTAGCTGACTCTGGTATGCTCTGTTCTGGAAAGCAGCAGCTTGCGCTCCCTGTGGGAATGGTGTGGGAAGCTCATTTTCCCTATCCCAACACTTCCTGCGTTTCTTCCCAGTGCATGCTGCAAATTACTCTCCTTTTCTTTCCAGGGAGAGGTTCTGCTGTTGCTGCCTGTAGTGTGAGCAAAATGCCTGCTGTGTCTGTGCTGCACGAATGCTGCAGCTGCTGTTCACTTCTACTTTAGGAGCTGCATTTCCCAGTTTCTGAAAGGGAATCATCTAAGGAATATCTGTGGTGGTTTTAAGTGCATTTAAAGGAAGAAAGTTTTGTGTAAGCCTTCCAGGCTGGGGGTGGGACTACACTGAAGGTTATCTGGCCTAGTAGACCTGACTGGCTGCGGCCGCATTGCTTGGAGCAACGTGATTCCAGTCAGGAGAAGCTCTGTCCAAGGCAAGCAGTGGGGTAAGGAGGGAGCCTGGAACAAGCCCCAGATAATGTGGCAGTTTGCTTTATGAAGACATGAACAAGATTATGAGATAGCTAGTGGAGACAGCAAGAAAATCATAGAATATCTCATGCTAAAAAGGATTCATAAGCAGTCCCACTTCCATACATGCATAGATTTATAAATAAATAAAAATTAAACTTGTCGATGCAATTAGGAGCTAAGAGCCACCAACTTCCTTCTGGGACGACTCAATACCACCTTCATTTTTTTAAATCTGAAGTAGGAATGAGCCGTCAGGACCAACACTTGCAGGAAATGGGGGTGGCAGAGTGAGGACGGGACTGTCCCCTACCTGGCACAAGGTGGCGATGTGGTGGTGTCGATGTTGTAGACGTGCTTGAAGTTGTACAGGCTGATCACATCGTCGTTCAGGGTAGCCAGCTCCAGGCAGCCGATGAAGCCGGGTAGGTTTAGGCTAGGAGGGAGCTGTGCAGAGGACAAGAGTTAAAAGGAGAAGGGTGGCCCCCTTTAGTTGGGTGTTGTGAGAGCATTTGTGCCTGGGATCTGTTTTGTCCCGGTGCAATTTGTATTTTCAAAAGAAAATGTTGATGCTGATGAGAATAGTCTTCATATGATACGGCCTTTGGGCTGTAAGTGAAAAGGGAGCACATAAATGGTCTCACAGTGAGAGAATTAGGCCGGGTAGGGCAACTGCAAACGAAAACTTCTTCTATGGTTTTGATGGGAGCATGCTCGGAAACAGGGAAAAAGGTTAAGATTTGACTAATAAGAGAGCTTACTCAATGTCTTTGAATAACTCAGTGGATATTTCATATCTAATGCATAGATATTCTTCACAGCCAGAAAAATAACTCCATACCATAATTAAAGAGAGAGAAATGAGAGAGCTCTTTAAACCCAGGAGACAGGGATTCAAAATCTGTGCCAGTGGGTAATCCTCAGTAGGTATTATTTTGAACACTTCTTCTTTTAACAAAGGTCACTGCAAATGGAATTTAAACAGCCACACTGGGGAGGGGAAAAATATCAAAGAATAAAGCTAACAGACCTAGACCATTCTTTTTACATTAAAATATTTTGCCTTGTGGAACAGGTGTGATAATAATAACACCTCTTGTACTTCAGAATTTGATCACTGTAAGTAGCTTTTCTTCATCTTCTCATTATTTCCATTTTCTTATGATACAATAGTAATGGTAATACAGCAATACAGAATATAAGTAGCTGTAAAAGAAAATTACCTTCTTATCTTCAGCACCGATACATTTGGTAAATGATCATGTTTTCTTTTTTTTCTTTGTTTCTTCTAGTCTTTGAAATTATGCTAAGCATGGGAGTTCTAGTGGTTAAGTGGTGCATTTCATATTTGCAAAGTATGTAACAGAGAAGCAAAAAGCTTTTAACAAATCAGACTCTATGTTAATAAATAAAAGTGTGAGGTGTCCTTTTCTAAGGGGGAAGGGACCCATATGCCTATCAAATAATACCATGAATCCTTTTTTTCCTATTTCCCTTTCCACTTCACTCTCCTCTTTTCTTTTTCCTCTGCTATGCTCTGGAACAGACTTGGAGGGTTCATTTGCTGGGTGACTTTTTGTATGTGCATGTGTGTATGAAACTGATATTCAATCTTCAGTCCTAGTCCCAGGCAGTTTGCACCCAGGGCTCAGTAATCCAAAATTCCTGCCATACCATGCATCTAGTAGTCATAACAATGCCAAGCTCAGGAATGCATAAGTTTTGAGTTACTCTTTCTTTGTTTTTATGTTTTTAGAAGAGCTGCTTGTGGATCAGTGTTTGGATCTTTTAGAACCTACTACAGTTAGCTTAAAGAATTTAGGATTCTCTAAAGTCTTTCTAGGTGCATTTTTATTGAGCCATGCACTTTTCACAGCCAAGATCATTCACAGCATTAAATTCCAAAAGAGAAACTGGTATGTTCACAGAAGCAGGTAAGTGAGGTGCTAATTTATGCTGACTATTAGGAAATAGACTGATGCTACTGGGTCACACACATGTCTTCAGACATATTTTGCACAGGCAACTTTTCATGCTGTTATAAGTCTGGATTTAAATCAGTGATAATTTAAATTCAAACAAATGACTATATTGCTCCTTTCCCACAAGATCCTAATATTAGCAATACATTTTTGTGACAGTTGTAAAAGAGCAATTCTAAGTACCAAGAACTCATTAGCATAGAAAAAACTGGTAGCCTGCAAGTAAGGTTGGACTAATAGGCCTTTGTTTGTGCATGCTATTTAACAGCTGGCAAGCCTTCCTTTTAGTACTTTCCAGGAAACCTGAACAGCAGCTCACAGACACCTGATCATCATACTTGTATCACAAAATATGCTAGGCAAAACTTCTACACTATGGCTAAAAGATAGGGTTCTAAGATGATAAATGACTAAATAAGGGCTTTTTCTCTATCTACCATTTCTGTGTTTAAATGGAAGTCCAGCAAGTTTAGTTAGTACTATTTAATTTTGAATACAGAATATTTATCTGACCAACCTTGAAGCCTGGAGGCACTCCACCAACATAGAAAACAGCATTTTCAGGTTCCAAATTAAGAAGAGAGCCAGGACCAAGGACCTCTCCCTTTTTGATGAATTTTTCTTCAGCTGTGCTGCTAAGACTGGGCACAGTTAAAAACATTTTGCCGTGTCTTCCGATCCTGCAGAAAAGAATTGTAAGAGAAGAGAATTTCATGTTGGCCAGACCTACAAAAGAACAAACAAGCCCCCATCTTGGGAGGTAACTGAAAACAGGAAGGGTTTTATTTCCTTAGAGAAGACTAGTATTCAGGAGGTAAAAAAGGGAGGGACTACAGACACTATCTCTTCCTCCCTATGGCCCCTTGGGTCTTGGCTCTTCAAAAGCAGGAAGAATTTCCATTTATTTCAGTAGGAGTAGAACCAGGGACTGAAAATTCCTGATCAGCAGTTCTGACACAGCCTTTTCTGCTTGATTTTCCCCATGAACTGGGAAAACATGAACTGTTTGATTTTGGAGAAATACACGTTATCACTTTACCTCTCAATTTTGATGATGCTGAAGTAAGAAGGCCAGGTGCTGACTGGCTTGGCATCCAGAGGTATCTCCACATCTTGGCCCCCCAGATTATAAATGTACACAAGGTTGTCATTTTTAATTGCAAGACCAATGTAGTGTTTTGCCTAAAACACCAATGGAGAGGGTTGTTAGAGATAAAACATTGGAAGAGATTTAATGCAGAACATAAGTAAAGGTACACTTTGATAAACTGAATGACACCTTTAAATATTACCAAAAGCTATTTAAATAGAAACAAACCCTTCATTCTTTAATTGGTTGCTTTCACCACATAAAACTGTACAGAAAAAAAGCCTCTGATATTTTATTTTATATCCATTTTGACTGAGGTAAATTGAAGGTCATGAGATCTCTGCTGACCATGAATTAGTCATGTTCAATGGGAAGCTGTTCATCATTATTTAGTGTGCAGTGCCATGTGCAGGAAATACTCTAAAGCCTAAGTATTATGCTGTAATTAAATATTCTGCCAAGAGGCATTTGACTTGATTTATATTCAGTAGACATTCTTTTTAGGAAAGCTTAAAAATGAAAGCCTGGCTCTTTACCTTCCCAAGTAATAGGTTGCCAGAATGGTACCTGGCTCGTGAGTTGTGATTTTTTTTCTTTTCAGAACCACAGTTTAAAGAACAGCTATTTCAAAGTAATGATCGAGAGTGTACAGAGTGTACAACAGCAGCACAAGCCACAGATAAAGAAGCCTGCCTATCTTGTGGGCCTATGACCTCAGAGATTTGGAATTGACACTGTCAGCAGCATAAACTGATTAAAGCATATCTCACAGAAGCCAGGCAGGTGACATTAACTGCTTCAGAGCACCTCGGTATTGGCAGAGGAGATAGCAAGTGTGGCTCACAGCAGTGACAATCAAAGCAGTACACTGCCAGGCAGTCTAATTTGCTTTTTAGAGAGAATCCTTCATTGTTTGGGGTGACAAGTCTCAAGGACAGGGGTCTTAGGAACCCTCGCTCTTTGCTTGTCACAAAATCAATGATGGTCATAGAATAGACACCTTTTGTTCTGAAACACAAAGAAAAAGTGAGAGGAATAACTGAGGGCAAATAAATTTCAAACTGATTTAATTTTTTTCTTTTTAATCTATGCATAAAAGTTAACTGGGCTATTCTCTTACATTCTTGTTTCCGAGGTACAAAATGAATCTGTCTGGAGAGGCTGCCAGCTGTGGGTTGTCTTTGTGGAGCTTTATGTACAAGCTCATGGAAGTGAAAGATTTCAGTTCTTCCACGTTGATCTTTGGATTGACTTCAACAGCTGATTGGCCTTCAAACATCATAGAGACTTGGACCTGCAGTTGCAAAAGGGCAAAGTGAGACAGGTGTTGTTGTCTGGGGTCACTACTTAAGGTAAGTGTGTAACAATACTGTGCCAGCAGCCTTGCTTACTGCAAGAGTGGAGTTGGCACCTATATATTGGCATGTAAATTGTATGTTTGTAACAATCTTTCCTGAAAAATGCTGTACAGATTATGAAGAAAATTATCTTAAAATTGATTAAACGTCCTAATGAACTCTGTTTAAGCATATTCATAAAGTAAATTACATTTCAGTGGGAGATAGATGTGTGCTTAGTTGAATCAGGGCTACATTACTATGTATGCCACATAATGAAATTCTTACAGAGCTATAAAACTTCTGCCCATAATTTATTTCTTTGCTTTGGAAGTAGTACAACCATTTTCTGCTCATGAGTAATCCCGTTATATCATTGAATCTACAATGATATTTATGAGATGCTAAAAAAAATGGAAAACTGTTCATTTTATATCAAAATGCTTTCAACATAACTGAACTAATGTTTTCAAGTTTAAATGCAGTATACCTGAATCACAAAATTTATTTTAAAGAACAGTCAAGTACAACACACAAACTGATTTTTCCAAGTTGTGTTCCAGCGCTGTGAACATACAATAATACACTGAATTTTTTATTTCTCTGAATGGATTCAAATATACTTGACCTTGGTTTTCTTTTTCTCTCTCTTGTTAGAGAAAAAACCCTCATTATTTATGTATGGTAATGAAAGTGTTTTTTTTCTCTATTAAATATGTGTGAGCCAAGGATTCTCTTACCCTGCAGAAAATTAATTCAAGGAAAGGAAAGGAAAAAAAATGCTGTCATCTCAGAAAAGCTTACATTAAATTGCTGTAATTATTACTCATGATAATTAGCTTTGTAGGAAATTTGCCTACAAATTTTAGGTAATTAGGTTTTGTGGTTCTGGCCACCTTATACATTGTGCCCAAACCTTTATTGTCAAGTTGCTACTGCAGTAACAGTAGTCTACCATGAATACTATGATAATGTCAAAGGCTTGCAAATAGTAACTGTAAAGTTTTTAATGACCTCCAATGTGCTTTGTTCATCCAGTTTTGGGGAGGTGACAATGTTCAGGTTTGTGCTTCTAGCATAGCCCAAGAAAATGGAGGTTACAGTAAGATTTGATTATTAGCACTAGTAACCAAAAGTCACAAAAGTCCAAAAGTTTTACCTTGCTTGCTACACTCCTGGTTTGAGCAATTAACTCTCTGATTCGCTGAATGCTGGAAGAAATATTGTTTGCTGGTGCCTTCTGTTCTACTCTGCGCATCTTGTCCAGGAGTTGAGGGAAAACTTCTGTAAGTTTCTTCACTGCAGTTAGAAAAGAAGAGACAGATTTTTTTTCCTCTTTGAAAGACTGGTTTTGTATCAGGAATATTCCACCCTATCCTCTTAGGTTAGCTCACCTGTCTCCTTCTGCTTTCTGACCAAGTTATAATTATGATGTGTGAGATGAAGTGACTCCAGAAAGGGTAATGATTTCTAAGAATCTGGTATTACTAAAGGTTTTGGAAATAAGTTTGCACAAAGGACAGACACTATGTTTTCTTAGGACTCATAGGTAATACTGTGGTGTGTACCTCTGTAATACTTTCCTCAAGGAACTCTGAAAACATTAGCAGTTTTAACCTTTTAATCTTCCTTCAAGACAAATGAATGTTCAGCCTAATTTTACATCTACGGCAACTGGAGCAGAAGGATTATTTGTTCAGCATCTCATTGGATATCTGAGGCTGACCTAGGAACAGCATCCAAGAGTTATGGCTCATGAACTCTTCAAATTCACTGTGAGGGAGATGTATAGGCTGTTTTCAGCTATGTGTGCCTCCCAGTGTTCATCACCCAGACAGCAGCAGTGGCTGCACAGGAGATGTGTTTGCTTGTGGCTCATAGTCATGACAGAAACACTGCCAATTTCATCCTGTGGTGTACAACAATAGAAGGCCTTAGATGATGATGATGATGATGATGATGCAAGTGCACCTAAACTGTGCTTAGTACCTATCCTAGCCCTTGTGATTAGTAACCTTGTTAACTTTCCTGCCTGCATCTGCCAGGGGTTATGAATTAGAGTCCTGGACCTTTGGTCTTTCACTGCTGTGTCCTCAGGTGGTTGCTGTGCAAATGTCATTGTTATCAAAGGGAAATGCAGGAGCTCTGTCCTGTTCAAAGTGAGAGAAGTCCTTTCCCAAGAAGATAAGCAGAAAAATTATCAAGAAGGAAAAATAACTACCCTTAATTATAATCCAATTTTATCACATCAGATTCCAATGACATGGTGCCCTTTGAAGGATATTTACACATGACATCATTTTTCATCTTTAATTAAATGTAGGTACAAGAAGCTGAGTATAATGAAATGCGATTTTAGCTGCGAGCTACGTGCATATAAGAAAAATCCAGCATTCAGAGTTAATTTTAATGACATGGATTCACTGTAAAGGTTAAGACCAGATTTGTAGGGTTTAAAGTTATATTTTAGGGGTTGCCAACTTACATCCACCTGCTCTTGTGTTCTCCTTGTCGTATTTTTACCTTTGTCTGAGACTTACAGAAGGGCTTGGTTGGAAGATCCCCTGGTTCCGACCCCCCTGCTGTGGGCAGGGACACCTTGCACTGGACCACATTGCTGAGAGTCCCACCCAGCCTGGCCTTGAACATTTCTGGCTGAAGACTGCAGAGAGGCAGATAAAGGGGCTCATCATCAGATATAGGAGACTGTATAAAATACAGGGGAGGAGGAGCAGACTCCAATCACTCTTCTGTGCTTCCAGTCTGCATTGAATAAGCTTCAGCCTCGTTCATCTCAACCCAGACTATGAGAATACACCATGGAGTCCTACAAGTCTGCTTGTTTTTGGGTAGAGTGAAAAATCTGTATTTGTCAGTCCTGTCCTGTCTCTGCTTGGCTGTTTTCATTTGTGTTTCACTCTCCAAGTTCAGTCCAGGAGTGGGCCATATAGAACTTTAGACCCTCAATTTTTTTTCCATTTTGTCCTAGAAGGCCTTATGTAGTAGAACTTAGTAATCAGCTGTTCTATATAAAAAACTGTACATTAAAATATCATGACTTTAATGAATCCTCAAAGAATTACAGTAAATTTTGGTGATCCCAAAATGTGTTAAATTTTCTATTTAAAAAACCCCAACAAAACCCAAATCAACTCACAGGAAGTTTTCTTTACCTTTTTCCATTTTTAAGGCAAAAAATACTGCAGTCTCAGAAAATGATTTAGCAAATTGCAGCTACTTTTTTGTTTTTAATAATCTGTAACTCACTTGGACTTGTGTTTGATTTGTTATCTTAAAACCTGGCTTTTCTGTTTGATATTTGATGTATTAAACTTGAAATGCTACTATAACATGTAAACACAAAACTGACATCTGTAACTACTAGAACTATTGTGAAATCTCAGTATAAATCTCTTCCTCTTGGCCTTTATAATGACATTCTTCAACACAGAAGAACATTGATTTTGATTTTTGTCTTTGAGAAGAAGGTGAGAGTGGAAAAGAAAACTAGTCTTACACAATGATAAAATATATAAAAAAAAGAATAGAAGGGAAATTGTCAAGAAGGAAATACCCTTTTACTTTTTCCTTCCCAAACTGTCTGCCACCCTCTCTGCTGAAGCCCGCCCGTTCCCTGCACAATGGCAGCATGGACTATTCTCAGAAAAACTGCACAGCCAAGATATGCTCTCACCCTTCCAAACACCAAGTGAAAGCTTTATTCAAGGGCAGTGCAGACATGCCAGCTTAGAGGCTTCAGCTGCTCTGGCACTGATATTGGCATGAAGATCAGGTGTTTTGGTGTTCCAGGCACCTGTCTGAACATTTGTTTTGACTTTTCTTTGGACTTGGATGGACATTGCTCCTGTTGGAGCAACCTCTTCTGGCAGAATACACAGCTGATCTGGGAACACTCCACCATGCCTGCCATGTCTGCATCTGTCTTCTTGGGCTGTCAATCACAATCACATCTGTCTGGAGCACTACCTGTGCCAGCCTCCTGTGTGGCACTCATCTCTCTTCTCAGCTATTTCCACTGGATCTTTCTGGCAAAAACACCTCATCATGCCTTTAGACAAACAAATCAAATGCCTTCAGAGCAAAAATGCCACGGGAAAGCTTCCTCCACAACTGTACTAGGGCACACTTTGCTGTAGGTTGGATATTAGCATCTCACCAACAGTTAGTTTGTGGTCAGCAGGCCCTCCAGGAGCTCAAATAGGAACAAATATTTTCAAGGTGACTCCTGACCTGCAAGCCCACCATCACAGAGACTTTTTTCCAGGCACATCACATATGAGCTGTTCTTGTTCCTTTTTGGGAACATAGCCAAGGGAGAGCTGGCCATTTTAACTCTGTTCACTCTTACAGAGCACCTCAAATGCTGCTGGAAATATTTCCTCCAGTACAAGAGCTAGTATGAGCAGATTTTTTTTGAATCCTGTATGTCTGCTGGCATTTTGAGCATGAAGAGCCAAATGCAGTCTGTGTTGCTGCTCTACCCGCTAAGCTGGCAAGGGAAAATGTTAAATGTAAATCAAGTGTAAAGGTGAATAAAAACAGCCCCATGTGTAAGCTACAGCACACTGTTTCACTTGGAAATTTTTCATCGTACCATTCCCTCTTGGGAGGCCAGTCATATCCACATTTGCATGATTTTACATGGTAATTAGAGCTCATAGCCTAAACTACTCTGTGGTGATCAAAAACATTTTACAGGAATGCAATTCAATACAAGTGCTGTTATATTAACTACACTCTTATGGAGCTCTGTGCAGGGACTAGCAGTGAGCTTACCCATTCCCAGAGGGACAGGTTCACTGTTTCCTTTTGATGAAAAGCTCAGAGAAATCTGAGTTTCCTCCAGTTCTGGAGCCAGAAATTGGGATATTGAATATCACTGAATTTCTTCTCGTAAAGGGAACCACTTCTATGCCAGTTCTTGGGAGCACTCACTTAACCAAAAATACTAGGGGTGAGGGTCTTATGGATCATGGAATTCTGAAAATAACATGACTCTTGGGATTCCCCAGCTGAGAGGGAAGACTGTGACTTTGGAACACTAGAAACAGTGTTGGGTTTGGCGCTCATAACACCATTTGCAGTAAAATGACACTTGAGTTGCAAACTTCCTGATAGAAGGAGAAAAGACTTAGGGCAGTAGATCTGAGATTCAGACTTTCTGGAGACAGAGTCAATGAGGTTATGGAATTTCTCTGGGGCACTTTTAGGAGGAAAGACATCACTGAACAGGTTTGCAGGTGATGGTATCATCAAAAGTGTGAAGGAAATGACTTGTTCTGGACTTCCAACCTCCCTAGCCATAAATATCTTAGGATAAGTGAGCCTCAAGAATACATGGAGCAATAAATAGTGGTGCTGTAATCAATTTTTTATTCCAGATATTTTCATTTCTAGATTGATTATTTTCTTCCCCAATTATTCTTTTCCTTCTTTCTACAGTCACTTCATTTCAGCTTCATTTTCACGTCTCTTTTTCTACTCTTGTCTACCATCTTCATTTTAATTTTGTAGTCTGCCTTAGCTTTTCTTTTGTCTTTTTATTTCCCTTAAATTTTTCATAATAAGTTTTCCAGTTTTTCCAATAATAAAAGTAGAATTAATGTGATGTTTACAAGCTTCTCCAGAAATCACCCTGCTTAAATATTTTATTTCCTCTTTTATCCTCTTTGACCCCTTTGTTTAGACTACAAGCTCATCAAGTGAGGGACCATTTCTTCTCCATGTTTGCACTCCTGAAGACAAAAGGGCTCTGTTTTCAAATGCTTCTCAATGTTAAAAAGCAAATAAATAAAAAACCCTAAATCACCAACCATAATGGGAAGAAGTGTTTAAACAAGCTGTTTACCATTCAATGTGACCTTGGTACCCTGATAAAAATGAACTAGAATTCAGTAAGTCTTCAGCACTTAAGTGTTTAAATAGTTTTTGGAAGTCCCTGAGGATCCAGCATTCTTAAAATATAGTCAAGACCAAGACAACTGCTAATTTGTGAAAATTTTCATGGAGGCAAAATGCTAGAAGGTTATACACGATGAATATGCAATGTAAACAATTCATACAACATGTTATTGCAGTGATTTGTTAACACTGAGGAATGGCAAACTTCAGGTCACCCTACCTGCATCCCCAGCTGAATGCACAGCACTGTCATATGCCTGTGAATTGTGCTGGAAGTCTTGCAGGTTTTGGGACCACAGCCTCACGTTCTCATCCATGGGGGTGGTAGCCTGTGTTACTGTTGTGGTGGCACTTACAGCCTCTGCAGTCTTCAGCTGAGCTTGCTCCAAATGCTCTCTGGCCTCCTCTACAGAACAAATAGGGAAAGATAGGAAATGAACTCTCTCAAATATTCAAGTGTTGTGTGTCCCATCCCTGCCTACTCTCTGTCTTTCCCTTCCCTTTTCTCTTCTTCCCTCCAGTTTATAATACACTGAGCATGATGCTGTATGGAATGGAATATTCTTTTGGTCAGTTGGGGTCAGATGTCCTGGCTGTGCTCCTTCTTAGCTTCCCATGCATCCCCAGTATCCTCACCAGCATGAAAAGCAGAAAAGGCTTTGGCTCCGTGTAAGCCCTGCTCAGTAGCAACAAAAGAACCTCTGTATTATCAACTCTGTGTTCAAAAAAAATCCAAAATACAGCCTCATGCTAGTCACTGTGAAGAAAATTAACTCTACTGCAGCCAAGACCAGCACAAGGTTCAAGAAGAATATTAAAAATTTCAGTGGCAAAACACTTATTTTCATTCTGAAAGTGTTAAAGCAGGGTATTTGATATCTAGGTCTGGTAGTTTCAGCCAAACTCTTTTAAGTGTCCACAGTGCCGAACTCCTAGTAAGCAACTTCACATCCATATTCAAAGATAAAAATGTGCTCTTGAATGTATGAAGGTAAAGCATCACAGAGATGAATGTATGAAGATAAAGCATCGCAGAGATGAAGTTCCTCCTCCAACCTGTCTCTGCTGACTGCATTTTTGCGATGGCTCTCATCAGCTGGCTCCGCAGGGCGTTCATTCTGGCCACAGTGCCATTGACTTGCCAGCTGGTGTCTGCAATGGTGTAACTGCTGCCTGTGGGGACAAAAGGGAGGCACAGCTGAGGGGCGTCCAAGTAGCGTCTGAAAAGGTAAATTCAGTCCTGGGGAGGTATGACCTTAGGTATTTACTATGCCATGGACAGTATACCATGGCCTCTTTTAATTTATGACATACTTGCACTCCTGACTTTACAGAGTCTAAAGGAAAAACCAGCCCTGCAGCACCCCTGCTTGCCACAGGGTGTCTTCCAAAAACCTGGAGAGCTGTGTTGCAGTCAGTATTCTTTGTCCTTGCTTTACCAGAAGTGCTGAGAATGGCTGCAACTGGTACACAGGAATAGTCTCAAATTGTCCTCAAAATTTTAAAAAGTAACTCTGTAATTCTAGATCTTTCTTTCATTTACAGTGAAGAAAGGCCAAACTACTTTAACATTTATTATTACCCTCCACTGGTGAAATCCAGCTTTCTGAACATTTAAGCTGCTGTGATTTGATTTTAATTGAACTACTTAATTTAGTATATTTACTCAGTGAAAAACAGTTTGCAGGGTCCCATATTAAAATGATAGTTGTATCTGAAATGGACTTTTCATGAATGAAATAAACTATCAGTATCTAGTAGGAAGATAAAACGTGAGCTACTCAAACTCTGCCCATGGCCATTTCAAGTACTTTGTGTGGTAAATTCAATCAATAACCTATTCTGTTGCAGCAGTAATTCTGCTTAGTGATGTGCTTCTGAAATTTATTTTAGTGGCTATAAGCTGATTGGGAAAGTAGAAAGAATGTATATTTACTGTCATGTGCTGTCCGTTGTAGCTGCATGGCTCGGATGAGAAGTTCTTCACTTTTACCTTTATGGTAAATGACCTGAGTATCAATTCCAACTGCAGCCTACAAGCATGTTTCAAAAAAGAAAGTCAGAATAATCCTTATCAAATATTCCACTTTATTGTGATCAATTGTGGACAATATTTTACCTGCATATAAATGCAACTGCAAAGTCACTGCAGTTTCATTTGCTTTGTTAACATTTAAGATTGGCAGTTGGATTGGAAAAAAGTCTGAAAAGCAAAGTTTTCTGTTTCAAGAAAGTTTAGAGAAATGTATGGTTTTCCAAACAACAGTACTGAGTAACAAAGATGGAGAAAAAAATCCTTGTAATTTACCAGCTCCAGTTTAGTCAACGTGACTAAATGCTGCATGTTATTTAGTGTTGTGACTGTTCATTTCTACTGTCATCTCAAATGGGTGATTAGTGCTTTCACTTCATGGAGAGCTGCCTTGCAGTCTGCAGCAGTATGCTGGAAACAGAGGGCTGGACTTGAAATCCTTCAGCACTCTGGGGTGCAGACCCCTTTAATCTAAAAAATCCTCTTGCTATCCCACTAATAAATTACTGGTAAATAACATGTATACAGGTTGGTAACTACAGGCATACAAAAAATATGTTTGTAGTTGTAGAAAGTATTTTTGAATAGAAAGGCCAGAGAAAAAAATCAGCATCCTACTCCTTACACTGAGTGTATGCATGAGCTTTGTCCCATTTCAGCCTGATTTTCTATGAGGTGCAGTGATGCCTTGACCACGTTTCCTGCCACATGGCACTGAGTGAAGCAGGAGGACTCAAGCACTAAATGCCAGCTCAGGTTCCTGCAGGAGCAGGGAGTTGTCTGTAATTTCACAGAAATGTCTCAATGTGAGTGACAACACAGAGCAGCATCACCCTATGGGACAGAGACAAAAGAACCTCTTGTGTCTTTTAAATACCAGGAGACTTCAGACTGGAAGAATAATTAACTACATGGGATTTAATTCAGGAAATAATAAAGGGAAAAATTGTGCAGTGAGAAGTTCAATACTGCCAGTTAAGATAAATTTGTTTTTTCTTTACACTTAGGTGCCTGGAGTCTCTGAAACATTGTAAAGTGAAAGCTAGTATGAAAATTACTTACATCCTTGACCCGGTTTGTTGTGTTCAGTGCCAACAATGCAACTTCATTGGCTTCTTCTATATAACCAGCAATGTTTTCATACACATTTGAAGCATTGATTGCCCTTTGTACCAAACCATTTGAATCAACACCATACAAATTCCTGTTAAAAAGAGAGCAAAAGGTGAAAGAAACCAAACTGAATCAAATTAGTTTCTGACTACATAATCACGCACATAAATGTACTTGGCCTAACTGGTATTCTCTTCGTTGTGTTTGACCAATCTGAAGCAGGTGAAAACTGTTTGGATAGAAGAGTCTTCCCTGCCATTTAACTCTAAGAATTTTGCCCTTAACATTTATGTGAGCAGCAACAAATGACTACTCAGCTTTTACTTTCTTTCTTTCTTTTTTTTTTTTTTCTAGATTAGATATTCCATAAATTAACAGAATAACAGGTCTCCTTCTTTAGGAATAATTCCTATCCATGAATGGAAAGACCTATGTGTTCCATTGCCCAGGATAGCTGTGTCACTGTCCTGTTTATATTTTCCAAAGATAAGTGGGAAAAGGGGGATAATCAGATGAAGAACTACCCTTAGCCATGAGAATTTGCAGAAAGTTATACTGAAAGAAACCTTTAATGGCATGGTTTTGATCTGCGTATTAGGTGATAACTGGTCTTCAGGGAAGGTTCCAAACAGAGGATAGTTCAGGGCTCAACATTCATCTGTTAACCATTTTGAATTGATATTATTTTTTAATGTTTTTGTGATAAGCAGATTTCAAAATATATTTTAGAAATAGATTCTAAATATAGATGTGTTTGCACATGTGTGCATTCACTTCAAAGTGTTTGCACACCGAGAGATTATTAAATTTCCAGATTCAGCATTATTGCAAGAATTTTCTGCTTAAGTCCCTTAAGGCAAAACAATAAACTCAGTCAAATAAAAGCCTAACAGGCTAATAAAGCAAACCTATAAAACCAAGATGTTTTGAAGACAGGCTAAATGTTTTAAAGAATTAAAGTTTCACTGCAGGACAATCTTCTCAACAAACAACGGAGTCAGCATTATTCCATCTGGGTATTTTGTAATTACTTCTGTTTGCTTTTTGTGAAATTCCTTATGTGTTGGACTTGGTAATAATTTTTAAATTATTTTGGTAAGGGAGGAAGAGTAGCTATATGGGGTATTTTCTTTCAAGTTGGTCTGCTGTCCCCAGTTAGCTGATCTCAGACTGAACATACTCTTTGGTTTTTATGTTTCTGCAGTTTGTGTGTCATTATAGAACAGTTTCAGATGTCAGCTTTATACAATTGCATAAAAGAAGGCCATCTGTTATTTTTTTCTCTATTTTAATCTCCTATCTAGGGCATATGAATATTAAGAAACAACTGGTATTTAGATAATATACTTGAAGAGTATTTGTAAGCTTATCTTCCAAAAGCATATGCCTATGATATTACTTAAGGTAGAATTTGGTGACATATTTTATTTAAGAATTCATTTACAGCAGTGATTTTTTCCATGGATAGTCCCAATTGCAAAAAAAAATAATTAAATTTACCTAGATTTTTTAGTAAATTGGTGCAATATTGATGCATTTAGTATCTTCCAGCAAAATATAAAGACATACAATAAGTTTTTGATATTGTTGTGAGCCAGTTTCATTGGGACAGAACCTACTAAGCATCAGAACTGCTCCATCTGTAAAACTGTTCTTGGAATAAAATTATCTGGAAGCTCGTTTTGTGCCCTGTAATGCTAAGCATTTTTTTCATGAAAATGAACTTACTGACATGAGCAGTTTCTGCAGACCCCATTTAATTTTGCTTGTGTTATTTTACTTTTCACTAATCCACCTTTCTTATTTTGCTCTAGGAAGAGGAAAACATGCCCAATTAGACTAGAGAGAATGTGATGCAAGATATATCCTTGTTCTTTAAAAAGTTCCATAGATTTTGCCTAGCTCAACTTCAGTTGCTCTCTGTGGACCATGACAAGTCCTTCTACACAAGACTTAACTCTGATTTGTTTAGTGCCTATTCATTGTCACTGTGCTTCTGCTTGTCTTTTCAGCTGTTCAGTACGTGGCACTTGTATGAACAGAATCTGCTGAAGTTAAATTTTACCCATCCAGCTCATCAGCAAGTCTTCTTAGGTTTTGTGCATGATGCATAGCCTTCTCTACCAGTTCATCATCAAACAGGGACAGGTTGGCTATTTTTTCTTGCAGTTCCTTTTTTGCTCCATCTATTTCTGCATAGAACCCCGATGCATTCTGAACAAAACAGGGAAGGGAGGAAAGAAGATGAAAGTAGTAAAAATAAAGTCTGTATTTTGATTATTATGGGTTTTTTTACCCTTTATGTTATTATAATGTTGCTTTATTTCTGCTATGGTTGTTTTATTTTACATCTTTAAGAGAAAAAGAGGAAAGATCTAATGGTGAATGCCAGTATGGAGACAAATGCAGGAAGATGAAAATAACAAAAATTCCAGAAATCACTTAAGAAGGCATTGGAGAGACATGCATAAAATAAAAAAGAAAATGGTAAAAGTATTTCTATATGTCCTATATGTTTGCTCCAGAATTGTGCCAATGACAAGTCTTTTAGAGTGAAGTCCCCTTTCTGCCTTCTTGCACAGAGAGATTCCTCATGCTAAGACATCTTGGATTAGTCTAATTTGCAAATCAGTCCACCTAAATACTACCTGTGTATGTATAGGCAAGGAGAAGGGGAATTCCTTTGCCTTAGCTGTGTTTCTTCCTTTTATAAAATACTTGGGGGAAGACCAAAGGCCTGCATTCACTTTCTCTCCAGTACACAAGTTTGCCAATGTATTTGAAGATTATAATGTGGCAACATGTGATTATAAATACAAAATACATGAAAAAGCATGAAACTGAGAGAGGGAAAAAGGATGAATGGGTGAAATGTGAAAATACTTGTTGCTGATGAGGATGGACAATGGATGATATTTGTACTTCCTTCCCTGCAGTGTGAACATCCTCAATGTGGAACCCAAAATGATTAATTGCAGCAATTTGTTTTGCACAAACCACCAGAGAAAAACTCCAACGTACTGCTTGAACACAGGGATGGTTGCAAAGTAAGTGGTTGTTCTGTTTTCTCAAATTATTTTTTCAAAGAAAAATTAATGACTCTTCATAAATGCTTTTGTGTCAAGAAGTGGGCAGCTGTGACCAAAATGAATGCTTGTAGAAGATTTTATTTTTTCTTCAGCTATTTCAAAATTTTAAAGTAAGTCATGAAGAAAGAAAGCAGCTTTGGTAAACATTTTACTTAGCAAATTCCTAGTTTTATTTTCCTTATCTTCTCATAGAAAAGCCAAACCCCGAAAATGTCTACAAATTTCCTTCAGCACCATGTCTGATTCAAAACACTGGATAGTAGTCTATGGCTCCAGAAAAGGATTTCTATACAACAATCTGGTTATATATGTTTGACACAGTGCCTGATTCTAATGCTGGTATCTGGGATCTTTAGTATTCTTCCATGCTCACTTGTAGGCACTAGGAAAGGAATTTAGCATATAATGCAGTCTTTTACCAGAACATCTTTTGGCAGCTGCCTATAATGAAATAATTGAGAACTCTACAGCATAATCTTTCATTATGCTTTGCCTACAGTAGTATGTCCTTATATTAGAATTATTTATTTTTACAGTAAATTGTAATAACAGAGCTTTTCATCCAAGAAAACCATCTACTTTTTCAGGGAATATTAGCCAGTGTTTCACTGAAGCAGTATAAAGAAGGAGAGCTTTTCCATTAGTGATCTAAACATGACTTCAAAAAATCTGGATGTATCATTTAAACAAGCTCCTGAGGCACTTACCTTTATTACTTCACTTAACTCAGAATTGACCTTTTGTGGTCCTTCCAAAATAGCTGTGGCACTGAGCAGAATGCTGTTCACTTCATCCATTTGCTCTTTTGTCTTCTCATGTTGTTTCTAAAAAGGAAGTTCAAAACATAAATCACATCCAATACCATTTGTGCTTTGATGTGTTAATTTTTTGTTAAATGTGCTGGAGTTAATTAAAAGATAGTGGTGAGCTAAATAGATTTTAGACATATCAGAAGTCTGATTTTCCAAGACAGGTCTAATTGCTACATTTTATGATGTGAATTAATTTTGTTTGTTTGTTTTGTGAAAGAAATGTTGGATGATTTGAAAAAGTATTAATATAATTTTATGTTACAGACTAAGAAGCTATAGGAATGAAGCAATATTCAGTGCACAGCAGAGACAAATTAAACATGGATTTTTCATAGTCATCTGGAGACTAAATTTTTCTGGAGCTTTTTTAAATCTACAGTACAGAGATCTCTTTTCCTTGTCAGTAGTAAAGCAGTAAAGATTGTCAGTGAACAATTTCTTTTTTATAGAATCTGCTTTCATTGTGAGGAATAATGGAGATCCAAATGGTTAAGAACAGTGAACAAATACGACTACACGCTTCAGGCTTTGCTTCATAACTGTGAGACAAGCTGTGGCTTGGCACTGTAATTATGGAACAATGGAAGAACAGAAGAGGTTTTGTACTTAAGGATCTCAAGCTCTTGTGAAAGGATTCACTGGAGGAGCATGCCTGATTTCTCTATTGAATTCTTAGACCTTCCGTATCAGCATGAACTTCTAGCACGGCAAATTTCAAGAACTCAAAACTCTGCCACTGATGCTGTGAAACACAGATGTTGGCCTGAATTTGTGGGATCATTCTTCAATGATCTTCAAAGAATGATTTGTGGGATCATTCTTCAAATCACAAAATTGCTTACTAATGCTCTCTCCTCCAGAATACAAACAATTTCAGCCATTGAAATGAAAACAGTTTGATTTGAAAGGCCCCAGATTGTTCTCTTTGTAATTATTTTCCTTGCTGAAAAAATAAATTAGAAGTTTTAGGTGCGATATTTTGGTTTTGAATCCCTTAAAAGAAATTTATGAAAAGAGGGAAAGAATCACAGAACTGCTCTGAAGAGAAGGGGACAGGTCACTTCTGAGCTGTCTTCCTAAGTGGAAGCTTTACTTCGTTCAGAACCCTGAAACTGTTCATTTGGACAAGACACAGGGGAAAACTGTTGTAGCCTTATAGCTAAGCTAGGAAGTTCTCCTAGCAAGTAGGAAACCCAATTTCAAGGTACCTATTGTGGAGCAGTTGGATGGATTTGTGCAACAATGGATTTGTGCCTGGAGACTCAAGGACAACTGTCAACTCCTGAAAAAGTGGGGATGCATTTTGTTTAAAGTGGTTCAGAGGAAGTTTGGATCAGACAATATGGATGCACTCAGCCCAGGGCACAAATACAGTTCAGGGTCTTTATAAGTAATTGTTTTCTTAGAACAGAATTAGTTGTGTGAACATGAGGCCCTCTCATATTATGTCAGGACAAAATTGGATGAAATAATCCCACCACAATATTTGTAGCAGCCATGCTACCTGAAATTTCAAGTTTCTTGAATTTTACTGTAATGTGCCTTTCTAGTCTAGGCATAAATATCCATCTCTTCCTCAGTCTGATGAGGCATGACATGCAAAAACTTCTCATTTATTGTCTCTCTACAAATAGATAATAGTACCTTGCACTTCTACAAGCTGTTTCTTAGAACTGAAGAGTCAAACTCATCCTGCTGAGTGCTCCATGAAATTCTTTCTTGGTGTGGTGATTCCTGAATCTAAATTGTGTGCAATCTACTGTTTTAAGCAGTGGCAGAGATGGAGCGTTCACAGTCAACACTTATGATAAATGTAGTGCACAGTACCTCCTGCCTTTGGAGCCTGGCTGTGTTTTCCCTGTTTATATCCTCTGTTTGTGTGACATAGTCAAGCGCCTCGCCTAATGCCTCCTCCAGGTCTGACAGCTTCACATCCTGTTCGCTGAGCTGCTCCAGCACATCAGTTACCAGGGATCTGGTGTCATTGTGCTTCTCATGAAATGCTTCAATTTGCTGTAGCACTGGAAGAAAAATGAGGCCAATAAATCCAAAGCTTGCATTTCTGACAGAACTTACCTATACAGCAATTTCTTTGCTGTTATTCAGGTGACAGTAAAACACCTTTTGTAAAGCTCACTTGAGGGATTATATACCTAGATTTTAATTTTCCCTTCTCTTTTAAGAAGGAAAGATGCCTCTCATTTTACTATTTCATTTTAATCCCATTACTTCCCCCTCTGAAATACATTTTATTAAAAGAAACTAGGTCTGTCTTTGCCTGCTTTTCATGTGTTTTTCATTGTTAAACCTAGGCAGCCTGTTCTGGAGAAGACAGTCTTTATGCCTCATATTCTGACTCATATTCACTAAGCTGTGAGAAGTAGGCTGCCACTTTTTCCCATGCTTTCCCAAAGCTTTCCCAAATCTTTTCTCTCTCTGCTGGTGTTTGCTGTCCCCATAACAGAGCTGGCAGGGGGGAGGATGCTCACGTGAGCAATGCCAGCCCTGCCATGAACCTTCCTCAGCAGCTGTTGTTGAGGTGCTGCAGTGCACAGGCGCACACAGACACACAGACCTTTTCCTCCCCGTTCTGCTCTGAGGAGCACCAAGCACCAGCAGGGACTTGGGGCTGGAATTTGGGAGCAGCAGCATCTCCAGCACACCAGCTGGTGCTTGCCAAGTGCCTGCTGGTCCTTCCCCAGGGTTCAGCAGTACACCCAGAGCTGCCCAGCACCTGCCAGCTGAGCATCAGCATGTGGCTGAAGGAAAAACTGACTTAAAACTCACACTCCTCTGCTGCATTTTCCTCCTCATCTGCAAGTTGCCTCTGATTAGTGAAAGGCTTTCGACGTTTGATCTCCTTCAGCATCTCTTCAGCCACGCTGCGCTTCTGGGCAATTTCTTCAGGGCTCAGCTCTTGTTGAATTGCATAGTATTTTGACTTGCTGCTGATTTCTAGGGGGAAAAGGGAACAGATGGTTGATTCAGTATGACTACAGAGAAATAAATACTGCGGACTACTTTTACTTTTGTGAATTGTGATGATACTGATGGCAAAATAAAATTTTAATTATCTTCAGCTCCATAGTAGGCAATCATTATGTTTGATCCAATCTTAATATTAAACCTGTAAATAATTCACACATTCTGTCACATGTGGAGGTCTCAACAGAAGAGGATGGGATTAAGCGGATGTAGGTTGTGTTCATTACTTGGCTTGACATATCTTATAGGCTGGGATAATAATTTTATTTTGGATTCTGTGGCATGTAGCAGGCCGGGGCTTTCATCTAGGATCATGGTTTTTAAGTGCTGCTGTTTATAAAATAATAACAATGCTAAGGAGACTGAAGTAACCTCATTTTCCATCTGCAGAAGTTTGAGGCACCCTGAGGAGGTAACATATGGCTTCTGGCCTGATGCTGCCTAGCTGGTTTGGAGATAGATACTATTTTAAGGTTTTGGTCTCAGATCAAAAAACGTTGTTGTATCCCTGCAGCTGAAATTGAATTTACCCATTCCCAGTGTAATCATTACAAAGTTTACTCACTCCTCACTCCCTGGCCTTGAATACCAATCACCTCCTCTTCTATGTCCTGTGACGTGTGTGCCTTTGGCTAGTGCTTGTCACTAGCTTTGTGGGTAAACAAAGTTGGCAAAACCAGCATTATTCTTATGGAAGATTTTTATAAAAAATAGGTGTATAATTGTGGCACCACTGATTCTTTGGCAGAGTGTCTGTATGCCTGATCTTGATGGGCCCTGAGCTCATTAGTGGAGCTTTAAAGGCTCATACTGAGCAGAAAATGATGATGACCATGGATTTCTTTTTCCTTATGCTGGCACGTGTGTGTGCACACATGGGTGATGCCTCTGTAGAAGAACAGTTTTGAGCATAGTGAAAATAATTTTCACCTACTTGTTTCCAACTGTTTTCATTCTATTCCCAGCCACGAAGATTTTTTTCTTCTATAACAGCTTAATGCAATTGTGCTATTTGTGTGCCAAATTATATGCATATCTGCCTTATGTGGTTCCTGTCCTGCTCCAAACCAATTAATGATACAAAAAGATGATACACAGACATCAACCATGATTGTTAGTGACGTACAGTGAGGCTCATGCTGACACTTTTACTCAAAAATTCTAGAAATAAAATGTGATAGATGCCCAGATAGTCAATGGATTTTTAGCACCAGAGGTGTAAAAAGACAGTACAAATAAAACATACTATATGGTCTTAGCCTGGGTCTTTTTTGTGATAGGACATATTAACCATGTTTCCTGAGAGAAAGTAATGTAGCACCCATGGAGGTAAGGAGAAGCAAGGATAACAGTTGATATGTATCCACTCTTCCTTACACAAGCTGCCAGATGGCTTGCAATAACTGCCAAGATAGAACTAATCAGGTCTATTAATCAAATATTTTCAATTGGAAAAAGGCTGTTTAACCTCAGCTACCAGTCAGCATTTCTATTCTGGTGCCATGGACAGGTTTTGCCTACTGTTGGCTTTGCTGAAGACTGGGAGAAATCTGTTCTGCAGCAGGATGGAGGCTTTCATGTCACAGGTGTACAGGGCACAGGGGTGTTTTTGAGTACATTGATTTCATTGCTTTCTGAAGGTACTGAAGAACAGGCTGCAGTTGGTTTAATCTCATTTTTATATTTCAGGATGATAATGGTATGTCATATATATTCCAGATGAAGATGATTATCTCTGACTAGGAAATTTTTTTTGAGTGCAGTTGAGCTTGAGAGGGTGTTCACTGTTGCCATAAATTACATATTGTCCAATATATCAGAAGATTTTCCTTTGATATATAGGACAGTAAAAATTCTTGATGATCCATTAATACATGAAGGCTTCATTAATACATTCTTGACACTGAGATGAACCAGGAATGAATCTGTTTACCTTCAATGTTATCTCTTATATCATTGAGCTGCTGCACAAGCTGGGAAGCACGGCTGTTGATCTCCGTGGTTTCCTTCTGTACCAGGCGGCCTTTGCTGGATGCTTCATTTCCCTATGAATAAACCATGAGAGGTAAACATTAGATTTCTTTTCAGATGTGAGGGTGAGCAGTATAAACACACATTTTGCTTTCTCCCGGTGAGTACGTGGAAGTCCTTTTTATCATATAAAGTAGTATTTAAAGGTGTTCAAAGTGAAGATCTGTCTTGTCAGTGTTTTCAGAATTGCAGAGTGAGAGATTAAATCCTGTCTCATATTTATCCATCATTTGCTGCAATAAAATTTTCATAAATTATGTACAGTTGTAAAACTCTATCTACTGAGTCTCCTGAGGCATTCAGTGGGGCTGGCTCATTTTGTTGCTAGGTATGGCATTTCCTGAGTAAGCAAATAGAATGAGGAAAAAGGTGTCAAGCTCCCAACTCTTTTTAGATCTGTTTCTCCCTCAAGTGAGGTCCCCAGCCCTGCAACTTGTTAAAGAAAAGGAAAAGCCCAAGGATTGAAAATACTCTGAAGAGCACAGACATGGTCCTGTACTGCATTGTGTTGGGGGCAGCACTCTGCATTGTATTCCCTTACTTAGGGTTTGTGGAGACCCCAGGTGGCATTTGAAGGTAGGGCCAGGGAGGGCAGCACTACTAAAAGGGATGGGCATAATGATAAAACAAATTATAAGGGTTATGAGACTGATAAAGTAAGTGTAAGGGTTAGTAGAAATGTTTCTGGTTCCCATCTTCCAAATATTCATGATCAAGCTATGTGCTGTTTTACTCAAAGCTCATCCCATGCAGACTTTGGAGTTACAGGTAGTTACAGGAGCTATATTTAGCAGGAAGATTTGCCTACAGTTGGTCCATTCACCCTGCCTTTGTGTTTTGGATCAGAATCTGCAGCAGCCCATCCCCTAGATGTAGGGACATGCACATAAAATGCTCTGAACAGAAAATGCTGGGTGTCTCTGCAAAACCCACTCAAGGCCCTAGCACCCATTTTCCATAAATGTACTCTGAAATAGCAAAAGCTCAATATATTCAGAGTTACTATTGTGGTCTTCCACTGTCAGAGTCTGGGGTTATTATCTGCTTGCCTTACAAGCAACCACAAGTATTGATGTGGAACTAGCATTAGCAGTAACCAGGGAGAAAAGACTGGAGGAAATGCTGAATTTATTTGCTCAGGGACAGTAAAACTGAAGAATGAGGAAAGAATTCCCCAGATAGTACTGCAAATGAAATGTTATTATCCAAACTCACTAAATATTCATAGAAAACCAAATGCCTTAATCAGTCTGCCCACCAGCTACAGAGAGGGACACTGAGGCATGTGAGCTCAGACAGATATTCACAGGTATGGAGCTGTGAGTTGATTTAATAAAAGCTCTCTTGAACATAGTCTATATAAATTTTATGTGCCCTTTCTGCTAAGCAAGTGTTGATTAAAACCACACAAACCTAAATTTTCTCTTCCACTTTCCTTTGTGTTCCTTTTTTGCCCCCTGCTTGCTCCTATATTTGAGTTTTAGTTTAAGGTATAATTTTAATTTGTCTTGTGAAGGAATTGGTAAAGGGAATATAAGGTCTGGCACTTTGCAATAAGCACGAAATATAATCTAGTTGTATGGCAGCTGTGGCTATCTTTGTTAATAACATAGAGTGATGTTTTTTACTAATATATGTATATTGCAGCAACAGAAAGATGTTTAATATCATCTTTTTAAAATAGAGGATAAGCAATTTTGAACCCTATTTCTTCTCTTAACATATAGCATATATCATATTCTTCTAGGATGCAATGGAAGTGTTGTGGGAGATGAGAGCTGATAACCTTAATTTTATAGCCTGGCAGCTGGATGTGGATGCAACATTTATGACTGTAATTGTATTAAAAATATCTTGAGTGCTGATCAAGCTCCCATCTCAGTGGGTACATGAAAAATCTTTTAAACTGGCAGTTTTGAAATATATTTTGAAATGTCCAATCAGGACTAATTTAGTTTTAATAGAGCATACAAGTAAAATAGATATAGTACAAATGCTCCCAAAATCAATCTGCATTAGTTTAATGTTGGTTACTTCACTTAAAAATCAAAATGTGAATGAGAAAGGCAATGTGTCTATCCCAGATCAAACACATTTTGTAGGGGGTAGGTGGGAACTCAGATCCTGAGGGGAAGATTTTTGTGACTGGTGGCAAACCTCCAACCACACTCAACACACTTCTTACCTCCTTCCTTTTCTGCGAAGAAGACTTGATAATTAATTTATGCTTTTAATTCATATTTAAAGTAGAAAGTTACAAAATAGAAATAGAAGTAGAAATAGAAATAGAAATAGAAATAGAAATAGAAATAGAAGGTTCTTCCAGCTGTCAGGGCACACCCACTCTTGTTTGGTGAACCTAAAGTGTCAGAGTAGATGTTAAGAAATGTTTTTTTATGAAGAGGGTCAAACACTGGAACAGGTTTCCTAGAGAGATGGTTGATGCCCCACATCTGTCAGGATTTAAGAGGCATTTGAACAATGCCCTTAATAAGATGCTTTAACTTTTGGTGGGTCCTGTATTGCTCAGACAGCTGGACCAGATGATCATTTTAGGTCTATTCCAACTGGGACTATTCTGTACTTGCCTCTTATGCCAACAGGTGAATATGACAAAGTGCAAACCCTCAGAGCTTTGGCAGAAGGCTGTAAACAAACCTGTTCATCAAGTGTTTCTGCTTCTCTGACAAGATCATTCATCTCATCTGCAGCATCATCAACCTGGATGGTCCAAAGCGTAGCATGATTCTTCTTTTTGGACATTGCCTCCTGTGTGTAGGAAAAAAGCATCTGAAAACAAACTCCTTCTCTAGTGAGGGCAGAAATTGAAATTTACAGGAATGGAGTGGACATTCAAAGATTCAAACTACATGAAAAAAAATGAAAAATCATCAATGTTTGTACCTGGAGATGAGTGGTAGTGAGGTTCAGGTCATTCAAACGCCTTTGAGCTGCAACACCTGTAGAAATGCTCAGTAAAGTGGCTTTGCTTTCGTCGATTGTCAGAACTGACAACCGGATGTCATCTGTCAAATCCCAAATGCATTTATCGCAGCCTGATAAGAAAATAAGACAGCGTAATTTTTCTTTAGTGTTTGTGTCAGCTACAGCAAGCCTTAAATTAATGTAATAGTGCTCTTGACCCATGGTGTTCACTCTGTCACTGATGCTTGCTGGTGGATACCTCTTTTCTTTCACTTTCATCCTTCCACTTCCAAGGTTACTTCTACAGTACAGTTATGACATTTCTAGCTGAGCAGCACCAGATGGGACTGCTCAAAGAGGCTGACACAGGGATTCTGTAATCAGTTGGGAGCGAGGGAGAGGTATTTCCTGGCTATTCCCTAGGCGCTACATGTTTGTGGCCTGAAGGACAACAGATGAAGGCCAAACAAAACCAACCGCATTTTGTCAGAACCTCAAACTTGATATTTAGAATTTGGTGGTATGAGAAATAAGGATGTCCAGCACATGGGCTCTTGACCACCTACTTGGTTACAACAAAAACTTCTAAAAGTTATAATGTTATAATGTGCTTGGAAAGTGCTTTGGCAGAATTATATCCTTGCTCCTGCTGAATGATTGCAGTGCCACCTTGTTTATAGTGACACTGGTGCCAACACTGAATGCAAGACAGACACTTTTGCTTGATATTTTAGCAGATCCCAAATGTTTTCCTTCTGGTTGCTCTTCAGGCACATGACCTCTCTTCTTGGGAGTTGGTTCAAGAATGCATGCATGCTACACACTCTGCATTATATACAGGTATAAATACACAAACATTTAAAAAATACCTGTGGTTACCAATAGCTACAACATAGTACTCCTGGAAACTCCCCAGGCTTCCTGTCATTAGGGTATGGGAGATAGTGGGCAAGGAACTGACTGATGGATAAATGCCAGGTTGTCAACAGCAGCAATCTATGTTAGATGTTGTACTGGCTTTGACTGGGGTAATTTTCTGCACAGTTAATTTCAGCAGCTGGTATGGGGCCAATTTTTTGGATTTGTGCTGAACACAAATTGGGTTGATAATGTGGAGATGTTTTTGTTGTTGCTGAGCAGGGTTTACACAGAACCAAGACCCTTTCTGCTTTTTGTACTGCCATGCTGGTGATGAGACTAGGGATGTGCTGGAAACTGGGAGAAGACACAGCCAGGACAGGTGACCCCAGCTGAGCAAAGGGATATTCCAGACCGTGTGACATCATGCTCAGTAAACACAGTGGGGAAAAGAAGGAGGAAGGCAGGGGGGACATTTGGAGTGATATCATTTGTCTTCCTGAGTAAATATTATGAGTGGTGGGATCCGGCTCTCCTGGAGATGGCTGAATGCCTGCCTGCCCATGGGAAGTAGTGAATGAATTGTTTTGCTTTGTTTGCAAAGTGTGCGTGGCTTGTGTGTGCACAATTTTTCTGGCTTTTAGCCTTCTGATTCTCTCCCTGTTTCTGCTGGAGTGTGTGGCTGTGTTGTTGATGGAGTTAAACCACAACTAGAAAACCATAAATTATATGCAAGATGTCACAGGTAAAGTTGTGAGGACAGCTTTTAGGGCCAGAATATTATTTTTCAGGCAGTGTGTCTCAAGGTCTATGGAAGTATCTTTGGTGATACTTCCCTGCTGCTCTGCAGTTTGGACCTGAATGTGTAGTCTGCATCACAGAGTTGGAAACATGCCTGTACTCAGACAAGTGTGTGAGAACATGCTGAAGTACTCAATCAGCAGGACATTGTGTATATTCACACACTTAAGTGCCCTGTGGGACCACCATCAAAATCCTGAGCCCACTGGAGTACCAAGCTCTTAAGTTACTATTTGTAAGCTTCTAAATATAAGAGCAACATTAATTATTGGTGTTTTTATGATAATGTTCTTACTGATGGTTGGGCAGTCTGTGTCAGTAGAAACTTCAGGACTGTCTGCAAGGCATTCTCCAGTCTGGCTGTCACACATTCTGCCTCCACAGTTACATGCTGGGGAAAAAGAAAGGACTTTTGAAAGAAGAATCTTCAAAATGTACAACCCCCCCTCCCAAGACTCGTGAAATTATTATACTTAGGATTGTGTGTGGGTATTCAAACCAATATGAAGAACTTATTGGACTGATTTTCCTTTCAGTAGCTGGAAAAGGCTTTTCTTACACTGGTGAAATTTGAACAAATAAAATATGAAGTGGAAGCACCTCTGTTTCCAGAGAAGAGTGAGAACACCTCTGCTGAAATTACTTGTTCAAAGCTTGGTCATGAGTCAGCGAGGCCAGAGTTGCCCAGAAGGGCCATTGTACATCAATGTCTAGAGAGGGTGACATTTAGGAGATGTATTAAGAACAGCGGGGCAACTAAAGTTAATTATTAGTTACAAATCTCTCCACAGCCCTGTGGAATTTTTAGCACTCTGTCAGGCTGTCACTAAAAGGGCTTTGCAGCTATCAGGGATTGATTGTGGACTCCAGTTACACTGTCAGCTTGAACATATCAAAAAGTAAATATCTCCTACCACTTACAATGAAGAATAAATGACGTTTTATATTTTTTCAAACTTGAGAAAGCAACATTTTTATTGCCAGCACAAGTGGCTTTTTAAAAAGCCCAATTTCTAATCTAACATCTCTAAACCTCTTTCAAGGTTTAATTGGCCTTTTAAAATATATTATTTTAAAGATTAAAATATTCTTGGAACACTTCAATACAATAACAAAAACTCAAGCAGAACATAAGAACAGCAGTAATCTATCTGGAATTTATTTTGGTCTTGTGATTCATGGTTTCAGCAGAATCTCATATAACAAAATATTTTACTGCCTTTTTATTGCAGCCCATTAATTGTTATGTATGAATTGCCCTTGTATTTACATTTCCCATTGCACGGTCAAGGATTTGTCAAGAGAAAATAAGTAAAACAACTTCAAAGACAACACCCTGCACTAATGTCAGAATAATTTTGTGTGAGTGGACCAGTGTTAGTAAAACACTGTTAGTGTTTTTGTACTGTTTTTAGTACAGTTTTTGTACTAATGTAAGAACAGAAATTGCTTATGAATTCTCTGATGCAGTCAATATTTTTGCCTTATCACAATCTGTGCCTCTCAGCTTTTGGATCGATGATTACTTTAATTTGTTATTTCTTTTTTTTAAGAAGTGAAAGAAAAGTATCTGTTGAAAGTAGAGATTTCTTTTTACCTATATCATGGGGACTGGGCTATCACCAGGTAGCAATATTAAACTTAAAAGGTTAAAATTTCAATGAGACTGGTGCTCAAGAAAATAAAATTGTGTCTTCTTGTTTAAATGAATACCTGTGAGTCTGCTACACAAAATCTTATAGCAAAGTAATTCCAAAAGCAATCTGGACCATTTTTCAGCTACTGGTTTAAGAGGTACCACAATTTTTGTAGGGAATTAAGACTTTCAATGATACCATAGTTTGCTGGTGGGGAAAGCTTCTAAACTTACCTTTATTTCTGAGGGCCATTTGTGGAGAGCTTTGAACTATGGGCTAAAGGATATGTGGTTTAAAAAAAAAATTAAAAGCAGCTTAAAACTACCATTCACAGCTACCAAGGTTTTGTTTTGCACTCAAAAGGAAAAAAATGGTTTTAGATTGATAGAGCTGCTTGTTAGTTTAGTGGTCTTGCTTTTTTTTGTTTTATATACCCTTTGACATGCTCTGTGGAAACCACGTATGCAGACTGGCTTGATTCTTAAAATAATTTTGTTTCTCTATTTTTAGTTTAAAGAAGATATTTGACTTATTTCAGAATCAATTCTAAGCAATAGTTCCTAATTTTCCCACAAAGCCAAACAAAGGATGAGCTTTCCCTGTGAACTACACAAATGGTTTGAATATCATGGATGTATTGATGCACTGCAATCTCACAGTACTGTCGAGTACAGCACATTGTGGTGCTCAGCAGAAATGAAGATGAAACGAGAAATGTGTAATTCTCTGAAACATAATACTGCAAAATCAGGATTTGCTAGAGTAAACTTCAAGATTAAATTCACTTCTGGAAAGAGAGAAGCTGTACCTCTCACAACATACTCAAGTGCCCAAGCACTTTTTATTTTTAGCAAAGATGAAACACAGCAAGAAAATCTGCTAATGAAGAGAATTACCACACTGATTTGAAGTCTGTGTGAAGAGCCTGTACAGAGAACTCCTGTGTACCTCCTTAAGAGTGCAAACAAAAAAACTGTACCGAGGTGATGAAAGTTTGAATTGAGTTTTGAAACTGCACTTTTAGAGATGCCTTCCAAAATCACTTATTGCATAACCTGCTCAGACACTTGGAATGCCCTGTGACTCTCAGACTTCTGGCAAAGTTACTCTTAGGTGCTTGAAGCTTTTGGCCATGGGCAGGGCATGATGTGGGCTGTGGTTTGCAGAGGTGAAGTGCTGGGTGTGTTCTGTCTGCCTCATGGAATTCAGGACCCACAGACTGGATCCTATCATTCCTTCCTGGACAACTACAGTTAAGTCATTGCAGGTGAAGTGAATTAGGCAATGAAGTTTATAAACAAGATTTTTTTTTGCCACCTCAAAATCACAGACATGCTGTATTTCATGAACATCTTTGCTACCTAAATCCAGGCAGGAGGTGAGTTTTGGGGCACACTGTTCCCCAGAGCTGATGTCTTTTTAGCTGGTTGGGATACATGGCTTTGGCTTTTGGGATCACTGTGCATGAACACCATCTCTTCCTGTTCAGTATAAATGGAATTCAACCACATGACTTTGCAATATGAGTTACTCACACTGGAGAGTCACACTTAAATTCCAGCTGTCACTGGAATATAAAACCAGATAGGACCATCGTGGCATCATATATGGTCCCCTACAAGTGAAGATAGCAGCACAAAGGGCATGTGATTGCACAGCATCCTCACAGTCTCCATCCTGTGTGTCCCAAAACACTTATAATAAGGAAGTAAGAAACAAAGTCCAAGTACACAGTGAGTTGCAAGAAGGATCAAGATATTGCTAAGTCCCTGAGGCCTGTAGCTCTGTACCTGGAGGCCCTGGATCACTTCTGAGGTCCAAGCTGAGTGTGTGTTTCAACTGTCTTACTTTTGAGTCAGGCTGAGGTAGGAATACTTTGTCTTCCTCCTTTGTGTTCTAGTCCTTGAGGGACCCCTGCCAAAGAATTTGGGAGGGAGCCCCAAGATCCTTGCTCTGAGCACCTACATTTTGCCTTTATCAGTGGCTGTTCTGAAGTGCTTTGAAAGAGGATGTAAACTTCACTTCCAGAGCCAAAGCAAGAATAAAAGGTATGAGGTGAAAGCCCTGTTTGGATTGAACTCCATGTAAATTAGGACATTAGAGGAGACAAAACTTTGCGACCACTCTGTGCAGATGTGTTTAGCCGAGTTACTCCATGTAGCACTTTACCAGACTCTGAAAGTACCTCTTGTGTGAAAATACAGTAACCAGCAACATTACACAGACTTGTAGGAAATGCAGAATATGTCACCAATGTGGAAAATAGCAGAGAGTGAGTGGGTGTTGGGTCAGGACAAGAAGGATGATACTGTTCCCATAAAAAATACTTTCAAGTTCTTAAGCACCATCAGCCTGAGTAGTCATGGTGTGGACAAGCACAAAGATGAGGACTTTGCCCAAAGAACTTTTAGAGAACCTTACTTAAAACAAGATTCAGGAGAGCACAACAGTGTCTCCATTAAACCTGATCAGGCACTAGAGATGTTGGAGTCTGGGGTCTGAGACTTGGTCATGGGAGATGGAAAGAGATGTTTCTCTGGCGCCTGGGATGATTCAACTGAACAGGCATCCAAGTTATCCCATCACCTTCCTCCCAGAGCCCCAGATATCTGTCAACCCAGGTATCAGGCATCTCTGATTTCTGGGAGATCACCCACAGACCGTGCTGTGCTGCTCAGCTCTGCTGTACCAGACTGCAGACAGTACCTGTGCAGTTTTTAGCCAATCTGGCGTCCCCGTAGTAGCCCGGCGCGCATCGTTCGCAGTTGAAGCCGCTGGTGTGGTGCAGGCAGTTGCGGCACTGGCCGGTCACTTCATCACAGTCTTCAAAAATCAGATTTGGGTCTGAGTTGCCATTGCAGTCACATTTTTTACAAGTGCTTCCAATTAGCAAAGGGTTCCCATAGTAACCAGGGGCGCACCTGAAAGGAAGAGCAACACCGGCAATGACGAACAATGTCATTCCTATCTGTGACACCTTTTTATCTCTGACCTTATTTGTGTTACCAGGAATTGATCATTGTCTGCAGCTTCTAATGGACAGAGAGCTAATTAGGAGCTTTACTCCTACAGAGGCTATTTTGTGCTCTAATCTCAATCTGTACTGTTATATATTTTCCCCTTCTGGAACACCCCTGGTATCTCAAGCATACCAGTCTGCATTAATTTATTTTTTCTGTGTTCTTTTAGCAGTGAAATGATTTTCTCCCTATTCTTTTAAAATCTGTGACAGAATTGCCTTGGCATCAAGGCAGCTCTACAGTGTTTGTTTTGGTCTCTTTCAGCTCTGTATCTCGCCAACTATATTGTGTTATATAGGAAACCGGGGTAAGAGGCCACATTTCAGGATGCTGAAACTCAGAGGAAATTCAGACTTTATTTCTATTATAAATGTACATAAAAAGTACTGCCTAGGAAAGGTTTATAGAAATACTTCTATGGTGAGGAATTGGGGTGGCTTCTTATCTTTGCAAAACAGAATAGGCCCTGAGCCAAACTCTATTTTTCAGATCTGTTTGATGTTATCCTGTTGGATGAAGGTAAAAGGCTGAGAGCAGTCACCAGGGAGGATACCTCTCTTGGTCTGCAGAGGGAGAGAGGGAGGTGGGTACCAGGCACCCCAGTGAAGGCCTGAAATAGGTCCAAATTTCATATCATGTCTTGTTATGTTTGGGAAGCATTTCAGTTGAGAAGTTTCTACATCTTAAGATGAGAGACATGTTGATATTATGCTGGTTTTTCATAGTACAGACACACCAGCAATGCAATACTCCTGGATGGATCAGTGGCCCTAAGCACAGAGGTCGTAACAGATTTGGTTATTTAGAAAGGAAATAGTCTCAGTTAAAGATGTTTCTGCTGATATCAGGAAATGTGCTTAATCCTAAAAGCAAGGGGAGCTTTTGCAAAACAACCATTGACACAAGGAGAACTAGTAGCGGGGTGGGCATGGAGTGCTAATGCCCATGATGCAGGAGCCTGCAGCTCGGAGATCAGGGACGCATACCCCAAAACTGGAAATGAAGAATTCCTGACAGGAAGGGAATAACTGGCTGGTGTAACAATTGCTGGCTGAAGGAATTGGAGGATTGAATAGTTGCTGCAATGATTTTGGTAAGGAGTATTTATTGTGGCTCATTCTGTTTTATCATCATGTTGTCCTTGTCTCCCATCCAAAGTCCTGTTTAAGATGCTGTTTTTTTCTGTCTGCTGTTGGTAAGCAGGGAGTGTGAGCACTTCAGGCAGTTCAGATTAATTTTCCCAGATTCTGGCTGGGTACCTTAATCAAGGTCAGTTGTCTTCTAAAATCTGAACACAGTCAAATTCAGGTTCTGCCATGTCTGAACCCTGAAAATGTGTGAGATCTGATAAAAGCTTCGCATTTTGATCTGTTCCCATATTTTCTGTTGTTTTTTTATTTTTTTGGATAAAGAGAGTAATTTCCTCAACACTGCTTTGTTCATGTTCCAGTCCTGAATCCTCACAGTAGAAACATAAAATTTAAAGCATCTTAATATAAACCACTTGGCTGCCTCAAACACTGCTTTTGTCAATGACAAAGGCTCTTTCTGTCTCTTTGCAGCACTGCCAGAATCTTTGGTGCAGATTTTATCATTTGGGTGACCCAGATGTAAAGAATTAAAGTGTGGCCGGGAGTTCTGTGCACCCCCTGAAGAACTGTGAGTGCGACACTGAGTGCAGAGTGTCACTTATGATTATGATTTGGTTGAATCATTCCCCATTCCCATGGGAGTTAGAGCAGGCAGTGATGGGTAAAGCTGCTAGTCAGTCATGCCAGAAGTCTTGCTATGTTTGTCTGAAATTTCAGTTTCTTGTTTTTCTGTAGTAAGGTATTTTCCAAATGATCATCTGTCTAATGTGGCCACCAGGTTCACAGAGGCCACTGAGTAGGGCTGGGGTCAGACCAGCCTTTTGCTCACTGCTGCCCACATCTACCAACAACAGTGTGCTATCCCCACAAGGCCTGTCGTGTCTGCCCTCTCATCAGGACAAGGCCATTTCCCCACTTCTTTTCCAAAATAAACTGTTCCGTTCACTTGCCAGGAATGTAGAGGACATTTCCTCACATCCCCACAGATTCATTTTGCAATTCATGACCACCTGAGGCACCAGAACAAGTTGCCCAGAGAAGTTGTGGATGACCCATCCCTGGAAGTTCAAGGCCAGGCTGGATGGAGTATCCTGGTCTAGTGGAACGTGTCCCCGCCCATGGCAGGGGGTTGGAACCAGATGACTTTTAAGGTCCCTCCCAGCCTGAACTCTTCTATGACTCACTTTTATTAGCCATAACTTCTCATCTGGAGCAGCTGTTTAAAGTAAAAAGAAACTTTCAGAGCCGAAAATAAATGTTTTACCTTCACTCTTCCCTTTGCCCCTCAGTACATTTCATAGTACTGAGGCATTTAACGTCTTTTGAATTGTGGGCAGGATGTGAGAAGAGCAGAGGCCACTGACTGGAAATGTTCTGCTCCATCTCTGCACTTTATGGCCTGAAAAAGTTAAGAGGCCTGGAGTAAATGTCTTTTCCTAGATTGTATCAATAAATGACTCTTTTTGCTAAAAAAGAATATTTCCTCTCCCATAATAAAAGTGCAAAGTTGTCTTTGTTTCATTCTGCAGCCATAGCTGCTTCCTGTAATTATTAGTGAGTAAGAAATCAACTTCCTCTTCTCTGGCAATGCCAAAAGAACCTTTTTCATCGACTTGCTTTGGATGGTAAATTGTAATTTTTTAAATTGTTCTTTTTAACACTTGTGCATTAACAAAACCTGCATGGCATCAGTTACCACCCTGATGCCTTACTGCTGAAGTTCAGGATAAAAATGATTAATTTCTAAATTTCAGTTTGGGAAGCTGGTTTACTCAGTTCCTAGCTAGGGTGCCTGTGAGTTCACACCACCTTTTTCTGGCAGTGCCCAGCAGCAGTGTGTGCCAAGTAGGGACCTGCTCTTTAGCAAGTGGGCAGGGGCAAGCAGTACATCATCCAGCTTTGGAACACTTTTGGACATTTCTGATACAAACAGTAGTAGGACCAGAAGGCAAGTCCTGTCTGTCACTGCTTACACCTTACCCCAGCAATCAGCCAAGCTCTTAACATAGTGACCAGGACAAGCTGATTTCTTTCTGCAGCTTTTTCTACACAGATTTGCCTTCCTTGAGACAGATGCACTGTGTCAGGCTGGGGAGTGGCCCTTAGAAAACAATGCTGATGTTATTTTCTGCTGTTTCTCTGTTACTGCTGCCCATTTCATAGGATTTGTATTGCTTGTAGTCTGGGTTGACATTTTAATAACCATTAAGGAACCTCAATGACCTTTTAATTGTCTGCATTATCCTTTGTGTATAAACCTGACATTTTGAAGGAACAAAAGAATACAGCCGTGGGCCTGTAAACAAGGGTGGGCTTTTTATTTTTGTGCCATCTGCTTTCACTGTTGCTGTCATGATGCTAGTGATGTGGAGGTAATTGACTGATGATTTTGCATCATCTGTAAGGATGATGTTCATTGTTCATCTTACCTTTTTCATTTTGATTTGTCTTTGCATCTTAAGCATCCCTTTTCTCCCTTCTCTGACAGTTACATTAAGTATCATTTGAATTCCAGGCTTGCCCATTATTGACAGACGACTAAAGACTTAAATACTTCAGGGGCTTTAAGGGAAAACAAAAGGAAATGTTCAGGAAGCCATTGTCTGAGCCATCCTATATCCCTCAGTCTTTGTGCTAGAGCTGTTTTAATTTATTGGCTGCTCGAGGACAATTTCTGAATTTTAATCAGGCCCTTGACATTCATTGAAACATCATCCATGTGTGTTCATAACAAGTAAGAAAGCCTCTTACAGCACATGACGTTATATTTCTGCTGTATAGTTGCATTTATTTGTGTCCTTTGTTATTTAGGGAATATTTACTGGAAATTGTTTATGGACATAAAGGAAAGTTGAAAAGCAACACTGGTCTATAATTGTTTGCTTGACTTTATTGAATCATGCCTGTGAAGTGCATTTAAAATGTAATGAAAAAAGCTGCATCTGCTTTAAGAATTTGACTCGATAGTGGATTTTCTCCTTTGCTTTTGTAAAAATTTGGTAGAAACCTGCTACATATTTAAGGGGGTGAATTGCAAGAGGAATCGATATGGTGGATATTTTTCACTCCAGCTGCTGTTTCTGATTTGTATTTTGTACTTTTAAATTACATTCCTTTTAGGAAGATCACCGCATGAAGGTACACAAAACGCAAGAACTAGATCAAAATACATCATATGTAAATGTCTGTCTTATGCTGACACTTCTCCACAGCAAATTTTAGTGCTTTTTATTAGGAAATGAACAAGATCATTTCACAGACACAATTCTACCTGATGAAAACTAGTGCATAAGATTTCTCCCCAGAGAAATCTTATGGCAAGATTTGGCAAGATGGCAAGATTCTCTCAAAAAATTCTGGACTTCTGTGTTGCTGAACAGCAAGCCATCCTATGAATTTCTTACCTTTCACAGTTGGGTCCTGCATAGTTTTCCTTGCAGACACAACGCACACTTCCACTTTTTCTGTAACAGGAGACTGCAAAGCTGGAATTTCATCAGGATGAGTAGTTAGAATACCAGGCAATGGCAGACACTTGGGAATGTTTCTTTGTCACAGTATCGACATTTGTCAATGTGAACTCTGGCTCTTGGTTGTTCATTGCTGAATGGGTATTCAGCTCTCTACATAACTTATATTATACCCCTTGTTTAGACTTTAAATTAGTTTAGGAAGAACTAATTAGTGTATAGAACTATGGAGCTACATAAATACAGATAAATAGGTATGAAAGTCATTGTCTTGCAGTGCAGATCAGACACATCTGCAGGTTTTGATACACACACTTTAGACAAGGGACTTAAGATAAATGTGTATGTCATGTGAACGTAATTGTTTCCTGTCTACTATCCTAATGGATAAAATATTGTTTGTGGAAGACACTGCAGTGAGCACTTCAAGAACTGAGATTTTGGAATGGGTGCAGCAGTTTCCTGTGCAAATCCTACATTTTTTCTCAAATTCCAATCTGGAAGTTCCTAGTGAAGAAGACTGACCTCAGTAGTGCTGTCCTCATCCAGAGGAACTGAGTTTTCAGTAACCAGGGCTGCTCCACCATCTTTCCAAGAAGGCTGGAAAGAGTCTGCAGCCTCTTCTGAGACCAACATGCCAAGTAGTGATGCTGACTGCAGTAATGGCTTGGGCTGTAATTTCTACTGCTGTGATTCTAAATCATGAATTCCTTTGTTTTCTCATGTTTTTGGGATTTAAAAAATATTCAAATAAATATGAGACCCAAGAAACAGCAGTAGCCAGATGTGAAAAGTGCAAATTTTATGTGTATTTCAAAAACAGTGATGGACGTGGCTTAAATACATTTACAGGAAAAAAGAGATACGGTCCTAAGATGTTTCTAGTTAGTTTGCAATATGTGTGAATAAATTTCTCCCAGCACTAGATTGCAACCAGAGTAGTGAGTGGCAGCAGTCTCCAGCTGCAGGCTCATGGTTGCTAAAACACAACTCTTCAGTCATATGGTGCTGGGCAGCTGTGGCTGGGTTGCATCCATTTCACACAGGACAAAAGACTCAGAGCAGTGGGAAAGTGCATGATCCATGCATTGCTTGTTCCAGGAATAAATAGCTTTGAAAGCTGATGAGAATTCCCGCATAATTTCAGTTCCTGCCAGTGTTTCTCAACTGGTTGGACAACCAGAGGCAAAAAATCTGTCTGGATCTCTGCTGTCTCAAAATATTTGGTATAACCAGAGAGAACATAAAATGAGATTCTGCTCACAGAATTTACAAATTAACTGCTGTGTGACTTTTACAAGAACATGTTGAGAAAGTCACAATAGTTTGGCAAGCTTCCTCTTTAACCAAGTCTAATTCCTTCACGTAGTTGCAAAAACCACATTGTGGATCTAAGTTATGAAGTAGGACTGAAATCTTCCTCAAGTTTTATACTTTTTGTGAACTTTTAGGGAGAAAAAAGGCTTTATAATTCCCTTGGGTTTGAAAAGAAGTAACATCTGCTGGACTGTGGCACAACCTCCATCCTCCTTTTTTTGTTCCAAAGGGATGAGATTACACTTCATGTGTAATGTCCAAAAGTTACTCCAAAAGTTCCCAGGATAGAAGATATGAAGACAGCCTGGTCAGAAAATCTAGAGACACTGATGAATTCCTGGAAAAAATACCTATCTGGTGAGTCTGTCAGTTTACAGATTTGGTATTCTATTTCCAAAGTAAAAAAGGGTAAAAAACAGTGTCCTTTGGATGTTTTTTAAGCCATTTAATGCTTCTCTCCTTCTGGTAGAGTTATTATTTTGCCTTACTCTTTATATGTAGTAGGATTAATGAAGGAAAATTGAAAAAAACCCAACTAATGAAAAACATTTTTTCTTTGAATTTAGTTAAGCTTTGGTAAAGCTTAATGTTGCTCAATTTTTTTTTTGCCTGTTCGAGCCCCAGCTGAAGACTATTTCTGTGGTCAGGTCTGTCTCATGCAAGAAGCTGAACAGGCAATTTCTGCACATTATTTAAACAGGGGTATGAAGCAACTTGGGATGGGGCGTTCCTTTAATTACTACCTTCAGGACTTTTCTGAGGGAAAACCAAGGAAGCACAGTGGATTTTTACTGATGTAGTTTCAAAGGAGAGACCATTCATGGAACATTGAATATTCTGAGATGAAGGGACCCTTGAGGCTGATTAAGTCCAAGCCATATATTGCTGCTAATACTGAGGCATCTGCATTCAGATTTCTTGCAACATTTATTCTCCCTTCCCAACCCCATGCTGTTGAGTTTTGGGTTTGGGGTTTCCTTCTCCCTAGTGTTCTGGAACAGGGGAGCCATAATATCCCTAGCTAAGGAGTATGTTGAAACTAGGAATGCTCCTTGGCCTCTGCTGCCATCTCCCACAGCACTGTCAGAGAAAGGCTGTAGCCATAGTCCCTGCTGGCCCCACTGCACTGAGCCCTGCTCAGTGACCTGCTGGACCATCCAGCTCCCTGCTCTCAGGGAGCACCTCTGCAGAGCCTTTGGGCTGCTGTCTGGGGGAATGCAGACCCAGTCACCCTGTGTCAAATCGAGCTGTAGGGAGCACAGACCAGACCTTGCCTGACTGACCCGGCTTGGTAGAGCCTGAGGCTCATGTGGAAGTGCCTCAGGCATGTGCAGCCCAGGTGGTGGCTCAGAGAACAGCTTCTTACACCAAAGTGGCTGCTCTGTGTCCAACAGGTTACAAAAGCCACTTTGCCAAGGAAAAAAGCACTGCTCCTGACTGTTGTATTTCTAATTTTTCAGGCATTACAGCTGCTACTGAAACTGGAAGGAATAGTTTGCTTCATCTTGTTCACTCCTAAGCCTTTTTAGATGTGAGCAAAGCCAGGTTCTTCCACTGTCTCTGGAGGATTTTCTCTGTAATCCAGGCAAAGCTGAAGTTTTTCAACAATAGCTCTTCTTCACCCCATGGCCCTTCTCACATGTCTGCAGCTCACTGCAAAAGCCAAGAAGAGATCTGCAGGAATTTGGCCAGAGTGATTTTGTTCCTTTTCCAGTTTGAGCCCTGAGAAGCTGAGCAAAATGGAGCCCATCCCACCTTAAGGCTGTATGAGTAATCCTATAGCAACAGCAAACAAATACAGTAAGGATGAAATTCCCTTTGCTGTGACATCCTGCTGAAAGCAGGATGGGAAACAACACTAATAGCTAGCTCCCTGAAAACCAGCGCCAGCCTCTTGGCAACCATTTACAAGCATCTCCCTGTGGTGGGATTCACATAGATACCTCTCTCCCAGAGCATGAATCTGAGCAAGAGGAAGCTGATAATTTCTTTCAGCTGCATTACTGACATGCCACTAATTGTTTCTAATGGCTGCTTGTGGCTTGTAGTCTTTTTCTTTTTCTTTTTCTTTTTCTTTTTCTTTTTCTTTTTCTTTTTCTTTTCCTGAAGACACAAAGCACACAATGTCTGGAGTTCTTTGACTTGGTCTTGGTTTTCTGTCAGGCTTCAGAGTTTCTTACCCAAAAGTAGCTGGGCATCAGCTAAAGGAGCACTGTAATTATCACAGGATGCTCCAGCACTTTCCTTTGAACTGTTACTGTGCTAACCAGATCCAGCTGCTGTAGACTCAGGGGACTGCAAACTCAGGCTTTTTTGTGTTTGCTTTTACCCTTCAGGTGACATGGATAGAACTTTCTGTCTTTTTTTTTCTGTCTCAACCACATAAATCTCTGATGCCACCTTTCTTGAGAATTGTTCTTTAAGGGATTTTAAAAAGCAGCCAGACAACTGAATAATCTCTTCCGCATAAAAGGGTGAACTTGAACTTTCTCATTCTCCTCCTGCTTGGTAAGAATTGTTATGAGCATTTAAAAATATTTTACACTTTCTAAATGAAATGCTGTTTCCTGTGGTTGTAAACATGAGGAGATGGTAGTCCTCTCATTTACCCCTGTGTTTGCCAAGGGCAGCAACCTTTGTCTCCTGCATCCAGGAAGGGATGCTGGCCCCACCTTGGAAAAGGCCAAATGCAAGCCAAATGGAAGAGAAGCAAAGACTCTTTACATACTTGGCAAGTGCTGGCAGGGGGCAGGGGCAGGGCTGGCAGAAGGTGGGCACCCCCCTGACAATGTCGCCAATGAAGCCATCGGGACACTGCTCGCAGTGCTGTCCTGTTGTGTTCCTCTGGCAGTCCTGCAGTGGAGGGAGACAGAATGGTGAAAGTTAAATGGAGGTGCTGCCTAATTCAGAAAAAGATCACTTAGCTGAAGACCTGGCCAAGCAGATGAGTGGCTGATGCCACACCTTGACCTTGCAAGGTCAGATTTGGGCAAACAAGCTAACACAACAAGTTAACACAGCTGCAAATAAAAATACTATAAATGATTACAGTGACCAGCAGCAAGGGTTGTACAGGACAAAACATTCATATGAGGCTGGAAGGTGCTGGAGCAGAAGTGCCAGAGCTACTCAGGTGTAGCTGCCAGCCCTGTTTTGAACTGCATGTGCCAAAAGGGAAAAAATCCCCTTTAATGACTCCAAAACTAAAGAAAAGATATCTGCTGGTAAATATTGTCAACAAACTTGAGCCAAGACACAGGCTTCAGCAAGACTGCTTCTGGAAAAGAGCATAGGGAGCTGTCTCACCAAGCTACTTTAGAAGAGTAGGAAGGATACAGAGTGGGTTCCCACTCTTGCAACTGTGCAAGGAGATTTTTAGTGTCCTTGAATCAGAACTCTCCCATTACAGCAATTTGTATAGACACAGTACAGATGTGAGCAGCTATGCCAGGCTTGAGACAGCAAGGAAATAGATCCATGGCAGACATATGTGGAGAACTACTCTGTCAGTGCATATTTGCTGTAGGTTTGGGCTAGCATCCTTGATTTTGTCCTCTTCTGAGCTAATACCATGGATCATGGAAACTGCATATTGACAGATATGATTTCCATCCCTGAGAAGATGACAATGTCTATAATAAAGAAAAATACCTCTGAGTATATGAATAAGCATCAACTGATTCAGGAATTCCTGTTTCACTATCTGCTGAATAATGGTGCAAATAAGCAAGGAGAATCAGAGGATGTAATCTATCACGATTTCCACAAAAAAACCAAGTAAGTTGACAGGATATTTGAAGAAAATTTTCTTTTGCAAATGGAAAGCTGACACAGGGTAGGAAATTAGGGTAGGATGGAACAGTAACTTTTCAGCATGGGAAGAATCACTGTTCAGATCACCACCTAAGCCTTGGTGCTGATATGAGTTATGTTCAGTATTCACCGGTGTCTTACAGAGACAGAAAATGTAGGGCTGCTCAGCTGGGACAGAAAGGCAGGAGGGTGTGTTTGGGTTATGTATAATTCAAAAGTTTGTAAATAAGCTGTATGCAATACAATAATAGCTCACCCGAATTCTGCAATACAAGAACTGAGGGGCAATGATTTGAAAAGGTGCTTCCCTACACAGAACACAGACTGCTGCTACTTTTTGCCAGGAGGTGAGAGTACTTGCAGGGACAGAAAGGGATTCCTTAGACAAATTAATGGGCAACAGATTTATAAATGGATATTCCAAGAACTCAAGAGGTATGTACCCTGTGAGACACCCTAATACAGCACTTGTGGCTGATGGTGGAGTATGAAACTGAGACTTCAGAAATGGGAACCAGTCTAGGTTCTCTCCTAGCCTGGACCTCCCATTGCCTTTGCTGGAGATCATACATGCCCTGCAGAAAAATCCACTGGGGCCCTGCATGGGAGCTCTTGTGCTACCTGGCCCAAGAGCTAGGAGCTGATAGGGAAGATGTGTGTGGGGTTTCAGGAGTGCTCCAAAGGGGAGGGAGCTCCTTAGCCTGGGGCAAGGGGCACCTGGGTGGCTCTGTGGCTGGAATATCTTCAACAGCCCTGGGGTGGGGTGAGGGAGCCCAGCCAACCAACTGTTCACCTGCAGCAGCCCCTGCAGATTTGACACTCACTTTCTTCTCCAAACATGGTGTGCTCTTTGAAGAAAGAGTATGAGAAGAGAGGAATGTGATTAGAGAAGACATTTAATGAAAATAAATAGTCAAGCTTCACTTGCACAGGCATTCCTAAATTAGTTTTGTATCCTCATGCTGTGACTTTGATTTAGTGGCAGAATTTTGTCCTGGCAACATTGATGTTTTTGGTTTTGCTTGTGAAAGCACATCTGTTTTTTTTACTCAGTATTTCTTATTTGAATTCCATAAAGGATCCCCAGTTAGGACTCATTATTTATAGGCTCAGATCCATTTTGATTCTAGAAGACTTTGCTTGTCTTGCTTCCTGCATACTTTATACTCATAGAGAACTCATTGCCCAGAAATTATTCTTTGTGCAAGGCTGTCGTTTGGCCAGACAACACTACAACATGTAGAATGTGATGAGATAAAGGAAAAAAAAGTAAATTTTTATTCCACAGATCTTTAACTAGATTAGCCATTAGTAGTTTTAGAGCTAAAGGTGGTTTTACTTAGTCATATTTGTTGTAAGGAATAAAATATTTAGTATATGGAAAACCAGAAGGTTATTTTAATTAAGGGCCTCTAAAATGAGAGAATACTAGGAGAAAGTTTAAATAGGAAGAAGGGGAGGAGGAGGAAAGAAGGGCACTAACCACGGGGCATGTGGTGAGAGCCAGAAGGCTAATACAGTTTTAAAGATATTTTGCATTTGTCATTATCCAATGAAAAAATGATGGTAATGTACCACCAGAGAGACAGGAGAACATGGGCACTGAGCACTTGAAGTGCTTGAGCCACCCTGTGTCTGAAGCACTGGCAGAGGCCTTGGGTGTGTTTGATTGTAGCCTTCACTGTGTTTGATCAATTCGCTTCCCCTTGTTTGTCCTCAACTCACAACACATGGGTATTAACAGAGTAAATCTGCTCCTGCTTTCCAAAGCTCAAATACAACTGCAATGAACAGAGCAAGACAGCAAATGTTGCTCCTCAAATCTGCATTTTTGTATCTAAAGTGAAGGGAAGTGAAAAAGGGCTCTCTTACCACAGATGCTCTGAGTGCACATTTGTGGTTTTTCTCTGGTTAGTGATTATGTAAAAATGACTATCTTATTTAGCAAGACAGATCTTCTGTGTGTATTTAGAGCCATATTTTTACGGTGATAGAAAAGGCGTCCTTATATTTTATATTCCATCATTTTGCATCTACAACTAAACTGCTGAGTCCATTAAGCCCAAGAGACCTATCTGAAGGCAGGAGAACATCCTGCAGCTCATGAGTGATTCTCAGCATTGGGGGACACTGGTGTGCTAGTTTGAGAAAAGTGTTTTGTTTCTCTGTGGATCATTTTGAGTGGATGATCAGTAGCAGCTTGGCTTCTAAAGGCTTCTACATGAGTCTACAGTATGAAATCACTCATCCTTCAGTAAACCAGTGGCTTGTCTGATGACAGAGTAGCTGGATTGTATTTGCCTGTGTAAGAAAATGTCTTAGCTGGTCCTATATTACTCCTCTCTGGCACTCTCACTGAGTGCCAACAATCAGTGTGAGCATTTTTATCTGGTTCTTACTGTAACTATTAGTGCACACATGAAAAGAACATGGAATGGGGCTATGAGTGGGGGTGAGGGTGTGTGGTGTTACTTGGAAATGATTGTCAGCACCGAGCTCCTAGACCCATTTGATTGGAAGGAAAGCTGGAACTACCACAGAACACTTCATATGATGCAGTTCTCAGTTCATACATTTGTGCAGAAATAATAATGAAAAGTTTGTTGTTTCTCTTCAGGCAATAGTACTAGGACAAGTTTCCCAGCACCAGACAAGCATGCTTGTGTAAATTAATATAACTGAAAAACCAAGGCATGAATCTGCCCCACCTTCACTTAGGAACCTGAACTTGCAAGAAAAGAGTTCATACTGATGGTCTTCAAAGGCACCAGCTTTGTTAAATCTGCCATTTGTGCAGTTTTAGGGAAATTACTTCATCTGAGGGATAACAAAGTGCAATTTAGGCAGTCTGGATCTTCTCCATAGGAAACTGGTAGCAGATTGGTTTTCTGTGTACCCCCTAAAGTTGAAGACAGACAGGACCTGCCACAGAGTGTTGCAGAGCACCTGTTAGACACCTGATGCTGGATGGTATGGAGACACTCCAGGGGCAATCAAAAGTTAATACTCAGCCCTGCCTCTCCTAAGTTAGTACAACAACAACCCCCCCACCTCTCCAAAACCACAAATAAAATCCCCCAGAATAACAGGGTCTTAAATATTGTTTGTGAAATCTGGAAGAGTCCTTCAACGTTGACAATCTTGCTACTTTGGAGATGAAAACAGTTATTGTTGCAATGTATTAGGAATTGTCTGTTTGTTTACCTTTTTTCTCCCTTATTACTTGTCCTTCTGAGAGACAGTCTTTTACCAACTGTTAATGCAGGAGATTGCACAAGGATAAATAAATTGTATAGGTAAAGAGATGCAGATGGCTTACATGGCTGGGCAGTCTCTGTTTGGAGGTAGATTTAGACTTCCCCTCATATATGCTCTCACATCTGAGGTTACAGAACTGCATAGCATGGCCCCTGCCAGCACACCAGAATTTGCTGCTATTCCAAAATAATAGTAATAAAACCAGAGTGCATCATAATTACTTGAAAGCCAAGAGTTGTACATGTTTTATCTTTTCCATCTCTGAGGTTTAGGGTTTCAAGCTTTCTCTCTCCAGCCACTGTGGGTGAGATGCAGTATTAGTTTTCAGAATTTCATATGGGAGAAGGAGATGAGGCACTTAAAGTAAACACAAAGTATTGTGCAATTTTTCACTAAAGACACTTGTCTAAGTAAAAAAAAAAAAAAAGAAAAAGAAAAAGAAGAGAATAGCTACATAACTAATTTCCTGATGTGGTTTGGGTCAAAATACCCCCTCTGTGTCAAAGTTTTGATTTATAGACCTTGTCCTGTATTAGTGAAGTGGGAGATGATGCCTTGCCAAAGCACCTGGCACACTACTTTCTCAACCCATCACTTGGTGTATCTAACTGTGACAAATGTGGCTGAGCAGGTGGGAGAGCAGCAGCCCCTCCTTGCAGTCTTGGCCTGATTACCTTCATGCCTCTTACACTGGCTGTGCAGGAGTGGAAACAAGTGTTCGCAGATTGGGGATCACTGTCGCATGTTTTCAACAGTAAACTGGGAGGGACAACAAATACTAACTTTAAACATAGCTAAGAGGGAGGAAAATATCTATACCTGAGAAAATGTGTTGATTAACACTAATCTTTTTGACAATCACTGCATACTAACACTGCATTCTGGTCAGATTTTCAAACATATGTCACCAATGTGTATAGATATCTGCAGCCCATCTTTGCAGAAAGAAGCAGTGAGGTATAAGCAGCAAGGCTCTTTGTGAAGGCAGAAGTACCTAACGAGCTGGGGAGTTTTGCTAGCTCCCTACTGCTTTTTGCTCATGCTTGATGGATGGTTGTAGATCCACTGGCAGCTCTCCAGACCAGCCTTGGCAACCATGTGGAACATATTATCCTCTTGGGCAGAACTGCCAAATCTGTTCCAACCTTTCCACTCAGCTGTAAACCCAAATGCTTAAACACAAATCACTTACACGACAATATGCTCTATTGTAAAAAATTCCATAAAAGGCTGGAAAGAATACCGGTGGATTTATCCTCTCCACTGTTAGGATCATTTGGTCTTTCCTGTTCCAAAATGGTCACATTTATTTATTTATTTATTTATTTCCTTATGAGTATTTGGATGCCTTATATAAAGACCTATCAAATATATGGAACAGAAATGATAACAAACTACTTAGAGATTTCTAGGAAGACAGCAAGAAATTTACCTTCACCTTCTGCTATAATGCTTTCTCCAGACTTCTTTTGTTCTGTGTTTTCATGCATCAAGGAAAATCTAATCTCCATTAACAGTAGACACCTCATGTAAGACACTGATAACTCAGTCTTACAAAAATTTTGCCTGGATAAACAGCTTGGTGTTTTTAAAAGAACTTTCAGCTTTTCAATCCATTTTGTTGTGTTCTTTTGGAGTCATTGCCATAATATATTGCAGTCACCTCAAGCAACTTGCTTCCCTAGACTGTGCAAATTTTTAAGTATGGTAAAGCCCTGTGAATTGTACTACTTGCACAATCCTATGCAAGTGTGACAGTTTATGGCTTTAGAAAAGCTGTTCCACCTCTATATGCCACCCTTTTCAGAGGTGACCATCACTGCCCTTCTGATGATCAGTCATTTGAAGACCACTCCCATGCCTGAATTTGAAATGTGAAGCCCTCAGTGGAGGTGCTCTAAAGAAACAGGCCAGCTGTAGGTGGTGGGGTGTGGTCTGGGGAACGGTGAAGGAGGTAAAACGTTCCTTTCATACCTTCCTATCTTACTAGCAGCAAAACATGATGGGCTGTATGCAGGGAAAATACACATCCCCAGGCCTGCAGATGGCCACTTGAGTCTCTTGCAGTTTCACCCAGTTAACATCATATGTTTCCAAAATCACAGCCTAGAGCCTGAAAAGGGACTTAATTTTCTTCTCATAGCCAGGATGGAGAAAAATACGTTAAAAATCCAAAGTCCAAGATCAGCACGATGAATTGGTGTTTCTTCCCCTGCTGGCCTTATATGCATCACCAGATAGTGTCCTTGAAATGAAGCATTATTTGAAATCTCTCTTTTAATATATCATTAGTAGAGCTTACACTGTGCTGGCTATTCCTCTTCTAACACTTGGGTGATTTTCCATCCTAACAAAATGGACTGTGTGTCTCTTCAGTTTTAGTCACAGGGTCACATCACTGATTTCTGTACTCTTTTTATGTGGACATCTATGCAAGGGAGGCCCTGTCTGCAATAATTTCTTCTGTCTGGTTACCTAAGGAGATTGTTGATTCATTGACTGTGTCATTCAATAAGCTTTTAATGACTCGTGGATTTGATTTGCACTCTATGAATAAGCTGAGAGAAGTTTTGAAACAGAACCTCAAGATATATATATCAGCAGAAATTAAAGATATGAGCACTCTACCTCAAGCCATCATTAAAAAGGGTTTAATTTTATTTGATTTTGAATTTAGGGCACAGGCCAATGAAAATTTCATTAATTTGTATGCTGTGGGAACTACATTTGTCAAACTGATTTGAGGGATTTGCATAATATGATGGCCTCAGAGCATCATATGGGGCCCAACCCTTTATTTTCATCCCTTTTGAAGCAGAGTACTTTTTCCTTTTCTTACTGTCTTGTCTATTTATTCAGGTCTTACAGCTTAGTTATTACTTAAACTATAAAAAAATTTCTACCAACCAAACACAGTGTTATTATTGCTTTCATGTTATTATAGCTTCCAGCATTGTTAGCAGAGTTAACTTTGAAAAGTGATGTCTTTTTTAATGTCCAAATACTTTCATTATGTTGATAAACATGGAGATATCGAAAACTTTAACTTTGGGGAAGATCAGTTCTTCTAAAGATCTGCTGCTAAAGATGGTTTGTATCTGTGGCTCAAGATTAATGTAAGACCTGGTTATGGTGGAGAGTCCATATGTGATGAAACTTTATAATAAGATTGCATCTTAGAAACAGGGAGATAGCAAGTTCCTAATCATGGAAATAGAGACTAAAAACAATAATAAAGTGGGATAAATACAGATTTATCCCACAGCTCATTAAAAAATAACTGAATGCAGGAAATCTTGTCTAACTACCAGGTATGGTGGTTTCCACTGCAAGACTTATTGGAGTAGGTGGCCTTAAAATTTGAGAATAGGGAGAATGGTGAGCTCTCCATACCACATGGTCCTATCTCTTCACAGGAACTCCCAGATATAGAGGTATTGACTCATTTCTGCCCCGGCAGGCTTTGTCCAGATATGTACATGTCCTTCTCCAGCTCTTGGGGATGGCTGCTTTTTCCACTGATTCTAATACAAGTCACATTACCAACCATCAAGTCACCTTTCCCTAATCTAATGTCCTTCTTCCTGCTGTAATTAAAGTTACATCTTTCTCTCTCTAAGCTTTTCTTCTCCCAGGCTTTCTCAGTCACATTTTGCTGTTTACCAATTTAATTACTCTTCCAAAGTTCTCTGGAAATTTCTGAATCTTCAGGAAGGTCCTGTTACTGCAGTCCCCATGGGCATCTCTGGGTCTGGTTTATGCTATCAAACCTTTAAAACTCCTTTTCATTCTATACTTTTCCTCTACCTTTCACTTTTATTTCTCTTAAGCCTTTTCACTGTTCCTTTTTATTCAGAAGTAAATGACCTGAGCTTAGTGGCTTTTAAAATCCTTCAGATAAGCTATCAAAAGGCAATTTGAACTCAAACAGTAAATTAGGGTTTAGCTTTTAGTTTTATTCCTTACTACCTAGCTGGTTCCAAGAGAAGAAACACCAATCAGGAATGTACATTTACTTTCAGATCATTTCTTCCTGATACTGTAAATTTTCTGAGTTTGTTTGTTCGTCTTGAACCCTTGACTTCAGCCATATTTTTGTAGAAGACAGGAAACAGCTCTTCTGTTGTGTTTGTAACCTGAGGATATAATAATTTCCTAACTCATATATTCTACTCCAGAAGCTCTCTGGTGACCAGAGTCATCAGAAGCAGACGTGTGACAAGCTGTCTTGTTCCCAAGTCTTCCATCAGAGGTTTCCCCTTGGCATCACTGTCACTTGACATTGTCATGAAGGGGACCATGATCCCATGAGCCAAAGGCCTTGTGCATGTGAAAGAGAATAGCTGGGAATGCCTGGGAGTCTGAAACCACTTTTGAAAATTTAATATTAAAAAGTAAGCCAATATGTGTTCTGCAGAAACCAGCCAATTCCAAGCACATTACAATGGCCAAGCCATAGTAATTTTTCCTGTGCTGAGCAGCTGCACATTCTTCTTCCCACAGAAATAAAAATGGTAGGAAATATGCCATGGAACTTGACTCGATGTATTTGAATAACTGAAAACTTGATAGTGGTTGCAACAAAGAAAGTATGTGAATATTATGAGTCCATTTTATGAAGAGATAAATTGAGGGCAAAGGTTTATGACTTGTCAAAAGTAACACATGGCAGAGCAAGGGGTTCTGGGCTCTTACAAGCTACACACTTTACAAGTCTGCAAAGAGTGTACTAGTGCCTAGCTCTTGCTATGTGGTTTAAGCAGTATTAGCTTCCATCATTTTTTTAGTGTATTAGTGCCCTAATTGCCCACTAGTAGTTGGGATTAGTTTTACTGGGCTCATTTGTGCTCTGGAGCTACAAATGTTTGACTACTATTACTAACACACAGCTTTCTGTATGAGGTGGTTCTGAGTCAGATTGAACATGTGGGAAATTGTAACAGTACCATGGAATTCCACACACTCTTTCCCTGGTGTATTGTTTCAACCTTCTCATGTTGTTCCTTGGCAGCAGGAGACTGCCATGCATCTGAATTGCTCTGGGAACACATGTATATACACTCACAGGGGTCACTCACCATTGTAAATTGTTTATATTATACACAGCACTGTATTAATAAGGGGGAGAAAGAAATGTGTTTGAATTTATACATTCTTTTTCTCCAGAGGTATACAAAACTCTTTCCATATTTCTGATGGACTAAAAATTTTCCACATGCTAACTGTCACAAATACTGCATGAAGGAAGTGTTTTGAATCTGCAGAGATAATTTAAGTGACAATTAATTTTGGCCAGGACAATTTATTACGGTATTGATCTTGGCCCTACTTATGATCCTTCTTCAGCAAAAAGCTTCTGTGGTACAGACACTGCTTTTGCATTATATTGAAACTATATTAAAAGTCTTTCAGTGGGAACAGAGGAATTCCTTACCACACAGATTCCAGATCCATCAAGGCATCTGTTTGCATTACCATTACAGTTGCAAGGAGAGCATTTTCCTGAGCTGGTACGATAAAATCCTTCTTGGCATCCCTGCAATGAGAAAGAAATTATTTCCTATGCACATGTAGCTGGAGAATTAGGTTTGGTGAGAGGAGAGGAAAGCAAGGCTACAGCCATCAGGTCTCCCCAGAGCACACTGCACAACCCCACCATAGCAGACCACACACACACTGCTGAACTTGAGTCTGTTCTTTCACTCTGTCCTGGTGCTTGGTTTTTTGCCTTAGAGTGTTAAAGCTGTCAGCATTCCCGCCTGTGTCCTGTCCCTGACAAGCTCTGGGTGTGGAGCTGGCAGATTCTTACTGCATATTGTACTAGAGGATGAGTTAACCAGAAACCATAATCCTTATTTGGTAAAGAAGGTGTATTTATAGGAAAGGAATAGCTTTTACTGAAAGAAAAGAAAAGAAAAGAAAAGAAAAGAAAAGAAAAGAAAAGAAAAGAAAAGAAAAGAAAAGAAAAGAAAAGAAAAGAAGACAAAAGCTTTAGAAAATTTACTTTACATCAAAACTTTGATAAGATTTGGATGAATAACCTTTGGGAAACAGAAACATACCTACAAAGATCAATGCCCTTTTGAATAAATGTATGACTTTGCCTGTTTATATAATTTAGTAATTTTGATAATTTACCTCAGCTTACCAAGAGGAAAGAGAAATTGTAAATATCTGGATCACCTTCTTTTGAATAATAATTAAAGCAATAATAATATAAGGAATCAGAAACACAAAGCTATTAAGGTGCCCTTCAAAAACTGAAAAATAAAAAGAAAATTAAAGCGGATAGTTTTTGTTGTGTTGATTATAAATTCTTGTTCTTCGCTGAGGAACTTTCCCCTCATTATGCAGAGCTGGTGAGATGTATACAGGCTGATCTCATCAGTGAACTCTGTTAGCTCAGGTACCCTGTGTCACCCTGCTCACCCTGTCCAGTCTCCCTGTGTCACATATATTATGCTAGATTAATGAATTTTTGGATCCTAAACATCTCACTCTTGTCTAAGTCTTGCAATATTGTTGCAGAGCTGATGTAAAGACACTGGCATATCATTCAGTGCTCCGAAAATTATTTGCCACACCAGTGATTTGCCAACAGTGATGTTTCTGCTATCACTCACAAACAGCATCCTTGAGCTGGCTGTCAGAGCTTAAGGTATGCCAGACTTTCCTGATATATTTTTTGTGGCTGTCTGTACATAACGTTTTTTATTCTGTGGCTCTTGAGGTCACCTACCCTTGAAAAAAGTGGGAAAAGTGTAAAGTTCAAATAACTCAGAAGGGTGTGTGTCTTGCATTTGTATGAGCCAAGAGGCTTCTTATTGTATTACTCTGATCAAATCAGGATTAGCTTTCCTTCGTATCTTATTTTCCTGGGTTGCCCTCAAATCAAGGATGAGATATTTTTCTGCACGGTGTAAAAAAATAGCTTAGCACCTGTAGCTTCTCATGCTCAGGTAAGCTATGGCAGAACAGCAGGTATGCATTACCAAATGCAGACCCACACAGTGATACCTCCCTACCTGCAGAAACTGGCCTGTGAGCAGCAGTGCCAAATGTCCCTACTGGTGGCCGGGGGGGGCTAGCCAGCCTTGGCACCATGCTGTGGCCTTGTCACTCCTGGGACCTGCACTCACATGTCTGCATCGGGCTGTAGTTACAGCTGGGGAGCTCTGGGTAGCAAGAGCCAGCAATCCTGAGTCTTGGCTGGGTGTTAACTTCCATTCCCAAGTGTGGCTAGGTCCAGCCAGACAGGCTGCTCGCTTAGAAAACAACTTCTTAGGAGATGACTAACAGCAGGCTTTAAAAATGAGGTTTAGAAATTAATCATTGGTCCCATCTTATCCCAGAGAGCTCTGAGAAGTGGAGATGAACATAAATGGAAAACTCAGTTGCCTTTACCATTCTTGTGCACAGAATTTTATCTGGTTTGTTTTGGAAACACTTTCTTTGATAATAGCTCCTAGGAGGCAAAGTCTTCAGACCACAGACTCTTTGGGACAGCAGAAATACTGTCTATTTCTACTGCTTGTTTCTTTCAGTTGTTTAGTCTTTGCACAGCGGTAGGACTGGCTCCCGCCAGACTAAGGATTGCAGCTCAATGATTACACCACACACTGTGGAAGGGAGACAGTTAGTTTCTAAATTGAAAACAGATTCTTGTCCCAATGTCTGCCTTTGCAATATTTCTTTCCACCCATACAGATCTAAAGCTTGTTATATTCTCTGATGAACAGAGCTGGTGGGTGGTCCTAGCTGTGTTCCTCTAGTGTCTGCCCAAAAGCTTTCTTGGTTTTGCAGGTCTAAGCAGAATGATTTTTACTTATGATAGTGAATATGGACAATGGAAATGTTGGAATGCTTGTAAAGGTGTCTATGAAAATCCTTTAGTCAGCCATAATGATAATCTCATTTATACTTCAACTGATGGTGTGGCTGCACCGCAGCCACGAGAGAGCTTCCATCCTGTCCACACACCCAGCAGTAAGAAGATAGTGCAGGTCAGTGCTACATCGTTGGTTTTAGCATTAAGGGCAAGGGCTGCACAGACTTTGCTAAGGTCCACTGGGAACCAGTTTACCTCCTATTATTAGCAGACACACTTCTGAGTTCCTTAAGATATCTGCCTCAAGTCTGGGTCCCTCTATTTTCATTGTCAGAGCCCCACTTCAAAATGAGATGTGGGGAAGTCATCTGGGTTTTTTTTCATAGCCTTTTCCCCCTATGTTATTCAATTAATCACAAAAAACTTGGAAGGTGCTGATGCTTACTATTTTAAACAGTACTTTAAACCATGGGTTGCATCAATGTAAACCAGAAATGAGATATTGACAATCAATGGTACGAGGGACAGTGGAATGAAGGGAAAATGGGATCCAGACTTCCTTTGGGCTCTGAAGTTTTCTCAGGCATTCTCAATTATTCTGATATATTTTTGTTGCTCCTTGCCCTACTAGTGATAATGGAGTGATTGGTTGGTTGTTCCAGAGCTTGAGCCAACATCATATTTATAAAAAGAAGTGTCAGAGTGTTGAGCTAATTGAGGGATTCAAATTGCTGAATGTTCTGGAAGCAAAAAATTATTGCACACAAAGCAGAAACAGGACTGGATCAAAATGGAAATACCCTCCCTGTAAAATAGTTATGTAGGCAATTGAGTGAGGAACATTTCCGTCCACTGTCTATTTCTGATTGGTGAAGACAATTAGAAGGCCAAAATGTTAGGTCTGCATTAGCAATTATGTCTTCACAATTATTAGATATTTTTTTCCCTGAGGGACAAAGTTTGTTCCAGTTCAAGATGAAAAGTCCAATCAGATCTTGGCCTTGCTGATCTCCTGAAAAATCTCTGCACCCGTGGGGCATTTATTCCCCTGATCCCACCCTGCATCTGGGTTGAATGATTGCATTACTTAAAAACAAGAACCAGCTGCATGCTGAAAGTGCTGGGGAGCCTGTAGTAATTTTCTGCTTCTTCAGACCTTTCTAGTGGTCTGGGTACAAGATGGGACTGAAGATGGAAGACAATTCACATACACAGAGTATGAATTTACTCCCATATTATATTCAAGCAGTTCCATCAATTTCATTGTAACTGTTCCTGATCTGCACCTGCAAACTGAGGGCAAAACCAGATCCCCCATTCCTTCCCTGCTTCCAGCTCACAGGAGTGGTGCAGCTGTGCTGGGGTGCCTGTTTGTTTTGAACCTGCCTCTTCTGGTTTTCTTTCCCCAAAAGAAGAGTGCTGTGCTGGTAACACACACAGAGCATTCTCTGTGGTCACATCTGCACTGGCCAGCTGAAGAAAGGCAAGGTGTGGTTTCAGGCCTTAATCTTGCTCCTTGACAGACAGTGATTTTCCTCCCAATGACCAGGCCCAGCTAAGGACATGGCATGTGTTAGAATGTGCTCCCAAGAGCAGCTTTTATAGGGCTACCCTTCTCTGGGCAAACACAAGGGGTGTTTCAGCACATGGACACAGGCTGTGTTATCCCTGTTTGACTAGGAGGTCCCAAGACTGCTTTATTCTGTACTTCAGATGTGGCCACTGACTCTCTCATCTAATGGTAAGAAAACATGGCATATATCTTTAGTTAGTAGTGCAAATTGTGACTTGTGAGTGTATAAACACACAAAGGCTCTCTTCCACAATAAAAGGCTCCCTTGGATCTGCACCAGTGCTTGTTATTTCCAGAGTTTCCTCCCAAGTGCTGAGGTACACAAAAGCATGTACATTCAGGGTTAAATGGTCTGCATTTATAGATGTTTAATGGACATTTCAGCTTGTGTTACATCCATGATACTATTTTCAGTCTTGGACCAGGAATCCCATCACATCTGGTCCAAAAAAAAACCCAGAGAAAAAGATGGTGCTGTCCTCCATAACCATTGTACAAGAGGAAACAGCTGATGCATGAGGGGAACTGAATTTAAGGGACAGCACTCAAAGTAGTTGCCATTGCACATCAGCTGCCAAGTCACTTCTAAGTTTAGTGCCAGCAGAGCCTTGTTTGTAGCTCCCAGTAGTGTTATGGCCTTTGCTGCTAGAGAGGGAGTCCAAAGGTGTGCTTCCTTCCGGGTCTGAGAAGGATCCTCAGGGAGCTACATGGATGGATGGTTCATGGATCCTCAGGGAGGTACAGGCATGAGGCAAAGGTCAAACACTATGGTATTACTTGGTAGAGTCTCACTACTAGAGAGAAAGGTCTGTTCAGGATAGTAAAAGTGAATGCAATCTGGACACAGCTGAGCCTGATAAACTCACGGGCTCGTGATGAAATGAAAATTAATTTAATTAACATAATATCCCAGATCTATCTGCAAAAGTACAAATAAGTTCTATCCTGTATTGCAAACATTGTGTTTTGTGTAGAAGGGTGATTTTTGATGGCCAGAGGGAAAAATGCACATTTTCTTAGTTTCTGGCAGCCTCCACACATTACTTCTTCATATGCCAAGGGGTTAAAGACTCTAGCATCATTTATGATATGCTATTCAAGTCTTAGAAACTGTTCCTGATCATTTTCTTTTAGC